CTTCACACAGCTCTTCATGAATGTTGGATTCCGCCGCTTTATACTTGAGAGGCGAGTACGGGGCCAGCTGACGCACTCATTACTTCACGAGACCCAGACACTCTTCACGTTTCTCCAGGATAGTCGGCGACGCTTTGTAGAACCTTCGGGATGTGTTAGCCAAATTATGACTTACGACGAGGCGCCTATTGATATCCACAACCAAATGGACGTGGACGAATTTTATAGTCTTCTTTTTGATCGATGGGAGGCACAGTTACCTCTAGAAGCCGACAAGAAGAAGCTAAGGTCGATTTATGGTGGTGAGCTGGTCCAGCAAGTGAAGTCCAAAGAATGCCAACATATCTCGGAACGTATTGAGCCCTTCTCCGCAATCCAGTGCGACATCAAAGGTAAAGCGGGCCTCGAGGAAAGTCTCCAAGCCTACGTAGACGGCGAAATCATGGAAGGAGGTATGTCTGTATCATTCCTAATTAACCTGCACCATTCTAACAATTCTAGATAACAAATACAAGTGTTCCGATTGCGACAGACATGTGGATGCAGTCAAAAGGTAAGTCTAGCATGGTATATATTCATTACCGACACTACTAACTATATACCCAGGGCGTGCCTCAAGGATATTCCCGATAACTTGATTTTTCACCTGAAGAGATTTGACTTTAGTCTGAGAACCCTAACACGAAGCAAGATCAATGACTATTTTCCATTTCCAAACAAGATAAACATGCAGCCCTATACTATTGAGCATTTAAGCGATCCTTCTAGTAATACCGAGCCAGACATGTTCGAACTAGTAGGGATTCTCGTACATTCCGGGACCGCGGAGTCTGGTCACTACTATTCGTATATTCGAGAACGGCCAACTGCATGCAGCACGCCATCTTGGGTTGAATTCAACGACGAAATAGTTACGTCGTGGGATCCCTCGCAGATGGAAAGCGCTTGCTTTGGGGGACCAGACTACCGCCCACAATTCGAGGCTGGTGCCGCCTACGAGAAGGTATATAGTGCTTATATGTTATTCTACCAGCGATCTACCTCGTTGCAGAAGGAGCAAGATATGTTAAGGGAATCTGGTCAAGTCGGTCCTTTCCGGTGCAATCTTCCTAGGAGCCTCGAGTCTCAAGTCAAGGAAGATAACTGGTCAATAGTGCAGCGTCATTGCCTCTACGACCCGGCTCACATGCCTTTTGTGTGCGAAGTACTCGCCAATACGTGGGGTACCGCATGCTCAAAAGAACACATAAAAGAAAATCTAGCGATGCAGACGGCGCTCGGTCATCTAGACCAAATCGCATCGCGAGCTAAGGACTTGCCGGATTACGACCAACTTAAACACCTTTTAGTCAAAGTCTGTCAACGGTGTACTATGTGCTGTTACTCGTTCTTCGATTATTTCAACCAACACAGGGAAGCGTTACGCATGCTTCTGCAGAGAAACTCAGATCTCGGCGTGCGTCAGGATATTGGGAAAATGTTCATATTTGTCATTTTAACCCTCAAAACCGCCTTTCCGGAAGAATACGGCCCGCTCGATAATGACGATGATATAATACTTTCCAGCACTGTGGACCGGAGTCTGAGCATAGTGGATATGACTTTAGATATCTTCCTGTACCTTTGGGATAGTTTCCACTCACGCCTTAATTCCTGGCCGGAATACTTTGGAACCATGCTTGAATTCGCCCGAATGGGGCGCCATGAAGCATTGGCGTTCCTAGATAGGGACTTCCTAGTCAGGCTTATCATGGTGATTGCAGTTGACCAGGTTTTTGATCTTCCCTCACAATATGCTAGGCTGCTCAATACAGTATCAAGAAGGTCGGCCAGACCACCCAACTATGAAAGTATTATCGCCCTTATTGATGAGCTTATGGCAGCCATAGATCTGGTACCTAATCCGGGAAGATTCCCCGAGGATGCTCATGGTCGATTATCACTAGGCCTCCAGGATGAACCGGTTCCGTTCACGGTAGAAGAGTGTAATATTCTATACCGGGATTGGGCTAGAGGTCAAGCAAACGTTTTTACGGAAAAGCTCATCTCTCTCAACCAGAATCAAGCGGCTACCGATTCTATTATCAGACGCCTCATGGGCTTTGCCCCGCCAATGGATTTCAAGGTATACCTCACATTACGATTTAATATCACTGGAGACTTGACTTCTCATATGGTGTCGCCTTTCCTTCGCGTTGCCGTAACGTACTGCCGCTACAGTACTCAATACGACAGTGTCTATCGCCTAATCAACTATATATCCAACCAGTGCAGGAGCCTGCAGAACGCAGAAGGCCGAGCCTTTTTTGAGTTCCAACGAGATATCTTTAATGGAGCCAGAAACACGGGCGAGACAAGCGATATCATCCGATTACATAGCTTGGAGAACATCCCGAAATGGGCCCCGGGACTTCTCGGATACATCGACCACGCAGTCAGCGATGATGTAGACAACTTTCTACAGGAGAAGTTGTTCAGGCACGGACCCTCGCCTACATTCGGGGAGATCAATGAGGGGCTTGAAAGGTCACAGGCAATAATTTCCGTGGTCAGGCGTCTGGCTGTCTCATGTCTAGAGTATCTACGGGATACGTACGTTTCTCGGGCAGCGCAGGCAGCCAAATACACGATAGATCCTTTGGACCGAGTGCTCAAGAAGTGTGAGCCATACTTTAGTCTCAACGAGGAGATGGATGATGGTCTTAGGGCACAGTATATGGAACTCCGTCAAGGTACGAATTCCTATACTGGAAGGTGGCAGGTGACCCGCTAGGCCCATTACGTGCTAACTCTGGAATAGTTGTTTTGGAACCGATGGTCAGACTAACAGTCGACGAAATTGAAGAGGACGGTTCCGGTATGTGGAGCGACTCTACCACCGCCACCATGGACTATGACTGACAAAGCCCAAGATTGGGAACAGTCAGTCGGCTCTTCGGAACAAATGGATAACTTGACAGATCTTAGCATGCAAATCGATCGTGATCTAGTATAAGTAAACCTCAGGTTCCTACGAAACATTCCCTTTAGCCACCGTTTAAGTTAATGCAGCAATTAGGGGTAGCTAAGACGAACGGGTTGTTGTAACATACGACTGATGATATAAGACGTGATGACAGGCCGGTCGGATAAACGGAAAGGTAAACTAGAGACAATGCATAGCACTGGCGTGGTAGGCGTCTTAAGGGATGGACAAAAATGATACTTTACACAAGGATATTGTTCAGGCGTAAGCAGTAAGAGAGGTGGGCGATTCTAGTCATGTTTGATTAGGACGTCTAATTACACGAGTCATGGTTTATTACATAGCAATTGTCACAAGATAGTGCTGTGTATTGCGTTGCGTTTCGTTGCGTTTCGTTGCGTTTCGTTGCGATGGATGATGTTTAAGCCAGAAGGGGTGGAAATGGCAGGTTTACTGGTTTACTGGTTTGCTGGTTTGCTTACTTTTCACCGAATACCCAGCTTATTCACATTACGTGAGTTAGTTACAGTACAGTAAGGCGAAAAGGGAATAATACGATGATTTGATTGCAATTAGCTACTGAGTTATTAAAGCAGAGTTACACAGGAGAAGTCTTATGTCTTGTTTGAAACAACTGGTGCTAAAAATATGTTGTCAGTTGAAGTAAAATGATGGTAAGTAAACTTCTCTCGGAATCACAACAATCCGTTGAAGATGCAGTAACAAAGACCAGGTATGATTGGTCATTCACATTAATGAACGAGATGTAAGTAAACGCAAGTAGATGCAAGTGCAGACTAAATGCTACCTTGATAGTATAGCTATCGGGTGCTTCTCTGGTGAGAGACGACATCTTTTGTCTTTTTTGTTGGACCCGACTGCCCGTCAACAATGGACCGATGTTAACTTCTAGGACATGGGGTGGACATGGGGTCTATTTTTGGATCAAACCCCTTGCTAGAATCTTTTGATATCTAACTAGTATAAGTCTAGCTTAAATATATAACAGGGGTTTTAATGGTCGGGTACCGAGTCCGGCATCTATATTTGGGTCATTCTGATTATTGTAGCCGCCGAGACAAGATGCGGGGGAGAAAGCCGCAAGACATCTGGTTGGTTAACATTTCAAGGTTTTGATATCTCTAAGATGAGTGGAGGAAATCTTGTCTTTGTGAGCTTTGTTAGCTTTCTGAGCTGCAGGTCCCAGCACACCATCTAATCACTATCACACATAAATTTCACAAACGAACAAACGCACAAACACACGGACCCATGGATCCACGTATGTACATACCTTAATGCATGATAAGTCTAGGGCTACTAGGACTAATAACGTCTAAGTAAACACATCATACTCTCTTCAAAGATAAGAGGGTCTTTGTATACGCCTGACTTATTATATCCAGTGCTGCATCTAAACAGTAGCTGCATGTGACAGCTTAGCTAGGTCTATTAACGAATCACATATCTTTCTCTCTCCTGAAACGAGACATATCAACCGCCAACCTACCACTACCAGCCAAAAGCGGTGGCCAAGGTGAGCCTGACGCTAAGTTTCATGGCCGCCGGATATAGAAATCATGAAGTATAGCAAGGGAGAGACGGGAAAACAAATAATAATAATGACAATACTCCTTGAATCCCCTTCCCCCCACCCCTTTCTTCCAACCCCATGAACACCTCATGGGGTTCGACCTCGTAACAGACCTTCTTTTCTTCTATTGTTTCTCCGTTTCGTCGTTTCATGTTTCGAAGCGCCTTTCTTTTTATATCCACACTTATTCTGTAGCAAGGCCTCTTCTTTCTGGCCTCATCTTCCTGGCCTTACTCATTTCCCATTTTGGATCTCATCTTAAGATCCCTAGGTTAGCGTCGTGATATATTTACCTAGTATATCTAACAGGTCATCCTTCAAGATCCAAGTGCAAGTCATCGCTACCGGACAACAAAGCATCCGAGTCAGCTCTCCTTCTATTATCAGCTTAAAGACATCATCTATGTTGCCTCTTACTGAGGAGTCCTCTCATTGATCATTATGTCACTATCGAAGCAACGCATCTCCTCGCCTTTAGAGGCAGGACCCTCGATTCTCGATGCTTATAACCTACCTTCTCACTTAACAGAAGCACTAGAGTATACGTCGAAGAGACTTGCGAGGAAAGCCTTGCATATTACCCTAGTTGTTGTGCGGAAGGAATATCAACTCCCGAGCGTAATGCCACCATGTCCTACGCCGACTTCGCCTCCACCTACACCGGGGATTATGTCTCCACGGTTTGCTTCGCCTGTCATAGGGCTGAGACAGCTGGTCCGAAGAGGCACAGGAAACTCGACGTCTAGCGTATCATCTACAACATCAGACTCTTTACCTAGCACAGCTGTGTCGTCTCCGTCATCCCCACCTCCACTGACGGAGCCACTTGTTAGCCCTCGTCGTTGGGTTGTGCCCCCAACACCTGGTACACCATTTCCTCGCACGCCGATGACACCCCAAACGCCATCTAGTGTCCTTACAGCCTCCTCAACGACCTCCTTAACACAGGGGCCAAATGAGTTTGGCATTCGGCTAATACACACGAGCTTACTCACTCCTAAGGCCGAGAAGACATTACGGACCACTATTCTTAAAGCGGAACGAAAGTTTCGTATAGGTACGAGCTGGTTACCTCCAGCTGCTACTGCATCCGCATGCGGCCTAAACGAAGATCTTGTTCGCAGAAGTATGCTGCAAAACGAGGTGTTATTCTCGTCTGAAGGCTTAACGTTACTTGGTCTCGACAGACTATATAGTTTTAAATCAGCCCTTGCCGTCTATGCGCGCTTCACATACGGCACTACTACTACTTTACCCTCTCCCATCTCACCCATTACAAAGACATTAGATAGCACACGCCTCGAAGATGCGGTAGATGCATTACGGCGTCTTGTCCTTGCCAATGGTGGACGGCCTATATCAAAATCAGATCTCCTCCGGAGCTACGACTGGCTCGGGGTAAACGCGCGAGCGTTGAAAGACGTAGAGAATATGTATAGGCGAGCATACGGAGGCCCGGACCGAACCGGGGCTTTCGAAATGATTCACGAGGAACGGGAGCGGGAGACAACACCCGTGATAAAACTCGGCGCACCGCCTCCGCCAAAGACACCCCCTAGAACACAGACAACACCTGTGTTGAAACTAAATACGCAACTAGCAACCGCCACAACGACACGGATATTCAAGCCGACGGCCAAACTCGTGCCGCAAGTAGCGACACAAAAAGCCCCTACAGCAATAGATACGAATAAGCGCTCAGCCGACAAACCACCATATAGTACAGGGGATATACAACAGGTAGAAATCAAAATCAACAGCTTTTTCTACGACGACGACGATGACGACGATGATGATGATGACGAAAACAGAGAAGAAAACGGTGGGAAGCAAGACGACTCGGAGGAGGGAGACCGCACGGCCCGTCCAATACCGGGCCTAGCGTTCTGGAACAGCGCCTCGATCGACTCGATGATGATGCTGTCGCCGCGCGAGAGCCAGCAGTCGCAGCGGCTGGGGCCGCTGACGCCGAACGGGTACGAGGACATATCGCCGGTGACGCGCGGGGAGTGGGGGTTTCTGTTTAAGGGGGATGGGTGGCAGCAGGGGAAGACGGCGGCGGTGGAAACTTGTTAGGTATCTAGGTAGCGATCAGATACTATCTACCTACCTACTTGCTGTATACTGTGGACGGAGATTGCATATATCAGGTATACCTTATATATCCCTGTGTTTATATAAACTACGTATGTACGTCGTAATGTAGATAGATATACCCGCCCAACGGTTTGATTCTCGGCGTCTTGTATGATGGTATTAGGATAGGATAGGATAGGCGCTTACTTACTTCACCGGGCATGACGATAAAAAAAATAAGGAAATAACTCATGATATCTCTCTTTTTGGTTATGAACTTTTTGATTTGATGAATGCCTCGGAGGACAACGATTTATGATTTACGCCAATGCTATGCCATGCCGTAGTATCCTACCATTAGTTCAACCAAGCCGCCTTCATTCTCCACTGCCAAACTCCCTATCATGTACGCACAAATAGGTAGGTAGGTAGGTAGGTACCCAGATAGACATAAATGAGTTTTCCCTTTCCTGCCTTAAGAGATATACCATCATCATCATCACCACCCGTACTTGGCGCTCGCTTCCTTCCGATTCCCATGTCCCTTCGCAAAGCTCTCTTCCAACGCGTCGCGCTGGCTCTGGACCTGCGTAACGAGCTGCCGAAGGCTGTGCTTCCCGGGAGCGATGGAGCGCACGGGGTTATACGTGGGTTGTAGCTGACCCGAGGCGCGCAGCGCTTCGTTGTGCGCGTACTCGCGGTCCGTGTCGAAGCGCACCACGCGACTTCCTGACGAGGACGACGGGTCGCCGCCGCGCCCGAATAGCTCGCGTCGCGCTGCGGCGGATAGGTTCATGTCTGCGGCTATGGAGTCGAGGGTGTCGGCGTTGGAGGGGGTGGCTTGGGGTGGTAATGTGTTGTGGGATGCTGCGAATTGCGCGTCGTATGCGGCGAAGTCGTCCGCTGCGGAGGTGGGGGCGCTGAACATGGGTTCGTAGATGCCGGTGCTGGATGTGGTGGTCTCTACTGCTTCTGTCTCCGGGTCGTCGGATATTGAGAAAAGTGATATTTTCTGCCTTTTCGGAGGCGGTTCCGCTTTGTCTTTCTCCTGTGCCTGTGATTCCGCACTTGGCTGAGGAGCTGGCGGTGTAGATGTAGTAGTGGTTTTCTTCGATGCTTTGGCCGCGCTCTTCTTGCCTGGTTTTCGCGATACTGATAATGGCTTAAACATTAATGGCTTGCCGACTAATTTGACCTCGTCTGCTGGCTTCTGTTCCGCGGGTATAGATGGCTGCTTTGTCGTAGATTCTGCATCTTCGCCCCTTTTTGATGTCTCATCTAAACCCCCCTCTTCATTCCCATCCACCTCCCTACTAAAACCAGGGGTAGCACCCGTCTTCAGGTTGATACCTGGCCTTGGCGCCGGTTTCCCGCTATTACTCGACGCCGCAGGCTTTCCTACGTTCTTTGGAGGCGGGAGGAACGAGTTTAAGCCGCTGAACGCGCCTCCTCTACCCGTAGCCCTTGTGCGTTTCGGGGGTGGTTCATTATCTCCATCTGCAGGTTTGCTCTTGTCGCGACTAGATGAGCTCTGCGGGAGGTTGACGAGGATCTTGCCCGGTTTCGCTCGGTCGACTACCTTCTGGAATGGTTTCTTGCCGCTCGCTCCTGGAGCGGCCACCGATTGTGAGGGGGGCGCGGTCTTGGCAACGGGTTCGGAGTCGGATTCGGAATCTGAATAGTCGACGAGCCCCATTTTCACGTAATGAAGTAGGAGTTGGCAAGGTGTGGAATCTGATGATGTAGTTTCAATGTTTAATATCTGAAAGCTTAGGTTAATGTGGCGTCATAAGGCATATGCAATGTGGACTGTGGCTATTTAAGTGGATCGTTTGACATGTGCTTATATAATTAAGATACATGGTACTTATATATATATAGCACCTAGGTCCACTACATGTAAGTCACACAGAGGCTAAGTACCTAAAGTTAGATTTATTCAACTTCATCTCTATTTCAGAGCCTTGGAGGAATTTTCTACTCCTTCTCCCTTTATGGAATAAAATATACATGAATGCATATCTTACCGTTACTTTTGTTAATATTTCTTTTCTTTATTAGTACCAGTTAGTAGTACTAACTGAAGGCTAGAAAATTTTATGAAATACGACGTTATTTTCAGCACTACCGAGTTTCCTGATGAACTAGATCGACTCATCGAACTACTAATTGGAGAATTTTACTTATAGTCTTAGTCGAAAGCTTGGCGAAAATACGAACTTACCCGCAGTATACCTAGGTAGTATTTGAAGAGCCCGGTAATTACAATGGTTGTTTTCCCATTTATAGTCGTAGGAATCTATCCCATATCACATCCAAGGTAAACAATGCTAATGATTTTTTGTAGTACCTCAGTTAGAATACAATACAATTTTTATACTATACGTATAGGCCTTAGTTAATGATGGCATTGTATCCCCTTAACTTCTTAGTTTCAAGGGCAATCGGAGCTAGCTATCTCTTACCACAACAGCAAACATGGAGAGTAAATTCAGCAAACTAGAACTGCATGACCCATCTCAGAGACCTTCCAGATCGATCTTTATAGTCACGTCAGATGTCCACCTAGCTACCTTAGGCAGGTATGTGGGTGAGTAAGTGGAGATGAGCGACATATTATACGTAATTGGAACATCAAATCACTATAAGTGGATGATCTTAACGACACTTCCCGGAATTCACCATTCAAGATCAACAGATTTTTACGTTTGCACGTAATTCTAGTGGCTTGGCTGGAATGGGGGTGCTCCATGTACCTCTCCACGTTCCTACCGGGCCTCTCCTTTGATGAAATTGATGAGATTGATTAGATTGATAAGATTATCATTATCTAATCAATCGGCTCACATGTCACTTATCCTTCGTATGAAAGAGGAAGCTTTCGACCGAATACCAAGACCGAATACCAAGACATCTTTTTTAGTTTACAGCTCCGGCTGCGGACCTCCTATACTCACGAAGGGTCTGGATAATCATGGTTGGGATTTAGTTAATATAAAAACCCACCTAGCTTCCAGGCCCCAGCCATGCTTCTGTTTTTACTAGTCGTCTTCTTTTTGGTGTTCGGGACTGAGAATAGAGCACGGGTGATCAATCCATACAATGGCAGATTCTCAACCAACACTAAACAGCCTTGCGGCAAAGATTACGGAACTCTCGGAGACGTTTACGCGCTACTTAAAGGATAATAATATCCAACAGCCGACCTTTGCGGCCGATAGTCCAACCAGTTACAGTGGCTTGTCGCCCGAAATATTCGTAACTCGTCAATTGTTAGCGGATGCTCTATCAGATCTATGGTATCTCTCACAGGGTCCGAGTGAGAGTATTTATAATTATGTCCATAGCGTGAGAATTCTCATCTTATCATCTAAGTATCTTTAGATCCCCCTTATCCTAACATGTATAGTGCATACCCGATGCTGCAGCACTCAATATCTTGAACCATTTCGACTTCTGGTCGGCCGTCCCCCTCGACGGTACCGCCTCGTACCCTGAAATTGCCCAGCGCGTTTCTCTTCCCGAGGATGTCGTTCGACGGATTCTACGGCATGCTGTGACTCTCCGCATTTTCGAAGAAACGGATCCTGGTAAATCCTCGTCGAATATTCGTCATACTTCTCGGTCGGCAGCATTAGCACGGGATGCGGGATTAAAGGCACTTGTATCCTCAGTCCTAGACGTCGCAAGTGCACCGATGATGATCATGCCTGAAGCATTGAGAAAATATAGCCGTGGAAAGCCGGCTTTAACCCAGGATATGGAGGAAACATCATTTGCCTTACTATATAGCGGAGGGAAACTTGGAAAGCATAAAACTTCTTGGGATCTGCTTGAGAATGATGGCGAAGGGGAGAATAAGGGCTGGCGGCAGAAAGAATTTGTCTCATTCATGGCCTACATAAAAGGGCTCTTCCATCTTGAAGGAGTCTGTAAGTTTGTTATCCATTATTTGTTTTTTATCCGAACCCAAATCCTCTTTGAAACACAAGCCCATAATATTGGAATTGTAACCCAAGCCCCCTTCGGTAGTCAGCGAGTTGGCTAGCATTCACTAATTTCAACATCATAGTGCTCGATGCTTATGATTGGAAAGCCGTAGGAAAGGCATCAGTGGTTGATGTAAGTTCTTACCATTCCTTATTGTATTTATGTATAACTATCACGAAATGTACGATTAGTTAGAAATATAGGTAGCTAACATTGATTAGGTCGGGGGCTCTGCTGGTCATGATGCCTTCGCGCTGGCACAAAAATTTCCTGAACTCACTATTACAGTGCAGGACTTACCGCAAGTGCAGACGGTATTCGAGGCCAATGTTCCTGAAGACTTGAAAGACCGTGTATCGTTCGTAGCACATGACTTCTTCCAACCGCAACCTGTCCAGGCAGACATCTATATAATCAAGCTGATCCTCCACGACTGGCCGGATCACGAGGCAGTCAAGATGTTACGAGCTATGATTCCTGCCTTAAAGCCGGGCGCTCGTTTGGTTCTCATCGAGTATATTGGTAACCAGGGCGAGACCGAAGAACCAGCCTTGGCACGTTCGATCCAAAACATGGGCACGGCTTCCGATCTAAGAATAATGGCACTATTCAATGCAAGAGAGCGTCCTGTTGACGCATGGGCTAAGATTTTCCGCGATGCTGATGAGCGATTTGAGCTGGCTCATGTCAACGCTAATCCTTTGACCTTTATTTCTGTGGTCGAGTTTGTGTGGCGTGGATAAATTAGTTTAATTATCTATAATCCCATGAGTACATAGCGTATATACTATAGGCGTATATATTGATGAGCCTTTCTGAATCGCTCCGAGTATGGGTTTGAAACAAGGTCATAATCTTGGTGATTTATACTTGTAATATGGTAGAATTGTTCGCGTATCACAACCCAAGTTTTTAGAGTTGGTACCTAGGTGCACTAATAGAGTGCACGAGCCATTTTCGCAATACTAATACCAACACCCCTAATACCCCGATAACCCCCCCTGATAACCCCCTGATAACCACCCGATAACACACCTGTAGGAGTTACTCAACTCCTGCTCCTGAACTTATAACAAAGACTTATCGGTTTACAATTGCGCCAGTTGTGTCGCAGACACGCACCTCAAATTTGCTTCATACCAGGTATTTTAAACCTGGCATGATTATCGCCTCACGAGAATGAATACAATTGGTTTCTTCTCGTCAAGTAAGCTGGCCTACTATTCAGGATGTCGTTGATACAAGTTGAAGAGTAGATTATAGCCCCTCCTTATAATATAATAAATGAATATGCTGACATTAAGTCTTCCATTAGTTTGGTATCATACCAATTACGAACAAGTTACCTTAGCGAAGTTGCTGATGGCGTTGGCGAGCGTCTCATTACGATAAACGATAGTTTCCTTAACACTGCTCCTTTTAAAGCCGCTGGCTGGCGATCAAACCCATCACATATTAAGCGAACCCATTCGCCCCCGATACCTACTGCCATTGCATCTGAATACTTCCAGGCGGCCCCGAGATCTACAGGTTTGACGCTCGAGGATGAAGCCGAAGAAGGGGGAATGCTGACTGGTGGCGGGGATACATTAGGACCGGGAAGCGCTCTCAAGCGGCGCAGGGAAAGGCGCCGAGAACAAATGGAGGAAGATGACAGTAGTGACCTGAGCGACGAGAGCGACGACGATACAGACCAGAGGGCTGCACAGCAGATAAGATTTGCAAAAATGCCCCTTCGAAGTCGAGCTGGATCCTCACCTATTCAATCGTCCAATCTGCGTCAAGCCACTAATATGTCATCTCCGCGTGCTACTCCGGTACCTCGGCGAGGATCGCAACCAACTTTGGAGACCGTCAAGGAACGACCGCGGCGGGATACCGTTACCAGTAGCGAGATCTCGTCTGACAACGAGTTTGATGCTTCAGGTTATCACAAAAATAAGGAAGCTGCAAGAACGAGGGCAACGAGATCACACTCTAGAACTACTCTAGAATCCAGTCAAGGTATCAGACATCATGAAAGTGACCTGCTTGCCGAAGAAGATGAGAATTCTGATATGTCGGACACTTCCTCGGCGTTTGTCGAGAGTGTTGACTCAACTTCTATCCTGGATACGGTTGAGAACCCGGCAGTTGGTACCTCTCCCGGCCAACAGGTTGTCGGTAACGTGCCGAAACAACTACTACGGCAGTCTACAATTAGGAAGCCGGCGCCACCAGCGCAGCCACAGGTGCTTCAGGCTCTTCCACCCCCTCGACCCATGAGTACTATTAGGCCTCTAAGCATGGCCCCACCTCGCAGCCTTCTCTCAGATGCCTTCAAGGCGAAAAATACGAAGCCAGCTATGCCTTTTGATGCGTTTGCATCTTTATCAGGCCAAGGAGACCCTGATCCTCTTAGGATACGAATATATGCGCCGTTCTCCGAAGATCCAGAGACACCTTTCGAAGTCCCTATAAGACGCAATATCCAGGAGGCGGACGGAACATTTAGACCAGTGACAGTTGCCGAGTTAATTGGCCTGAGTCTATGGAGGTATCATGCTGAAAAGCTCCAACCTCCAGTTCCTGCCGATAAGCTAAACGTGAATTGGTGGACTTTACGAATGGTCGAAGAAGGTGGCGAGGTTGACGACGATTTCGAGCCGTTGGATCGTAAAAAGCCTGTGAATTCGTTTACTACGGCAAACAATAGAGCAGCGAGATCGCGATCGGCTTCCAAGGCCTACGATGAATTTGCCCTAGTGCAAGCTTCAGAGGCCGGCTTCGCGGATAATCAAGTCCAAACACCACAATACGAACAACAAGATGTAGCAGAGACCGTGAATGACGAAGAGGCGACCCCAAAAAGTACACCTCAGCCACAAGTTTCCCCGCTTGCGGCAGCACACCCGCGGTCGAATCCCATTATTACTACAACCTACCGGGTGGACACGCCCCTAGCTGATAAGCCGCCGCCTCAAGCCTCTGCCCCGGCTACGAGTAGAGGGCAACATAAGCTCCTAAAAGTCCATATTCTATCATCCAATACTGCTCCAGGGCAAATGGTAACCCTTGATGTTACTACGGATATGTATCTTGCTGAGGTTCTTGATCTAGTTTGCCGTAAGAGGCAACTGGATAAGAACACTCACGTGCTCAAACTTCCTGACTCTGGAGCTGTAGTTCTCGTAGACCGTACTGTTTCATCTATCGGCAATGTTGAAGACCTGGAACTTCATCGTCGTCGATTTGCAACAGATGGTCCGCTAACGATTGGTTCCCCTAGCAGTCCTTCTCCTAAGCCGCATGTATGGAACGAGCCGCCCCTAAAGGGAAAAAAGAAACTTATGACGCCACACCCCCTTGCCCAGGAGAATATAATGCAAGACGAAGCCGGCAGTGGTGATGTCAAGTATAAGAAATACACAGTTTGGCGCAAACAGACGATGAGATTTGTTGGTATGAACGAACGAATCCTCGTAATCGATGGCGAGTACGTATACATACAACCATCATCCGGAGGCAAAGCAATACGTGAAGGAGGAAAGACCACAACGGTTCACTTCAGCAACGTGGTCGGATGCAGTGTTTCACGTCGCCATCCGACCAATTTTAAAGTAAGTCAATGCGATTTTCTATTCATACGCATGGTGTAGATGCTAAAACTTGGACTAGCTCCTCGTGTACAAAGCCACAGAAAGCAAGAGGTATGATTTTGAAGCCAGGAGTGCTCAAGAGGCCGCAGAGATTGTACGTGAACTTAAGAAGGGGATTTCTCCCTATAATAGGGACATTTAGGAAATGCCCTAATGGGAAATACCTCGAGTCCGGACATCCAAGTCTACCTAGGTAGCCAGAGCAAGTGGCTCTACCGGTAAGTCTTTAAGTTGAGCTCGTGATGATTCAACAGCATATCTATCTGTTCCGGTATATTGGATAGATGTCTTAACGAGATACCGTCCATTATGCGCCAACTATTTGTAACTCTATTTTAGCCCCGTAGAGCTCTGGCCTATGCTATTCTAAGGAGTCTAAGGATAGATGATCTGTGACGAACTGCTCGTCACACAATACACAGACTTGAAGAACAGCAATGAGATCTTTCATCTTGCTGGGCACATATTTAACCATCAACATATGCTCCTAGATCTTTCTAGCCCTGTAGGAATAGCATGCTTATCTATCAAGCTATATTCTTAGAATACCTAGCCTACTTAGGCAAAGAAATAATGGAATTTGTCCGATGCAGTTTCCCTTGCTCGTACGTCATTATCCTATGCTTTTTCGGAATCCCAGCCGGAATCTGTCCTGATTTTGGTAACAATACCAGTTAAAACTACATAGCGTTAAAAGTTGTATATATAAACGATAATTGTTATTGAGCTAGTGAATTAACACCTTGTATCTGTATATTAGTTTATTATCTAGCGTCTTAGGTTATGAAGTATCCTACAATCTCCTTGGCGGTATGCATCTTTTGCAGCCCCTGACTTAATTCATAGGCGCGTCGGTTTGCCAGCTACCAGTCCATAAAGTCCCTGTTTTAGACATGTTCGTAACAGGTCCACTCTACAAGACCGTGTACCCCCCTAGGGTGAGAATCCAGAGTTTTGGGATAAGGCTATCACTAAATTGTATGCAAAATTCATGCAGTGTTTACCTATATAATATAGAGATTCAGTCACATATCACGACAGGGCTGAAGAAATTCAAGTTGCCTCGTAGTCAGCTCATCTTGTAGGCTGGATATCAGATCTAGGAGCTGGAAATGTATCAAGTTAAGTAAATTTGTACACTGCATCGGCCCGTTTGGTAGGGTTGTGCTTCAAGTTGGACCAGAATAAAATTGAACCAGCGGACGACGAACTACCTAACTGAAATTCATTACTTGTGGTAAGACATCATATTTAAGAAGCAGGGATTTGCTAGTTAGATCGTCGAAATTTGTTACCGGGGAAGGAATTCTTGGGGAACGGTTAACTGCCATTCGATATGTCACAAGTAGATGATAGGTAGCCAGCAATATGAGACGATGGCTTAGTAGACGGTAGTACATGAACAAGTCAAAGTTTGCCAATCAAGCGTGTAACTAGGTGACAGCACTAGAAATCAAGTATATCTACTAGGCGGGTAGCAAACGGATAAATTAGATGAAGCAACACTTGATCTGCGGAAGAGCGGGTGGTGGCAGGAAATATTATTAACAGAACTTCAAGATCAAAAAGACCAAGTAGGAAAAGAAAAAAAGGGGGGAAGATATACATGTAGGTAGTACACACATAAATAATTCTAATAGGTTAGGTCTATATGGATGTATAGGAGGTACACATGCTGATTCAAGATATGGACCTTCCCAAGTTGCAGCAACCATGGACCTAAGTGGGATGAATCGATCTAGATTATCTACATCAGATTCCTTATAAATTAGTTGCATTCGGATGTATTATTCACTAAAATTTAAATATCCACTAGGTTCCTGTTCTGATTTATGTACCTTGGTTGCTTCGTGCCTTCCAAAATCACCGTAGAGACGTAACTGCCAGATATAAACGTACTTCTGCTGTGAATCACCCAACAACCCTTCCTTCCTTCTTTCTACAAAATCACCCACCTTCCCGACACTGATTCGAGGTACGAGGTACTACAAACACGTCAAGCCGTCCCTCTATTTTTTTTTCTCTTCCACCTTTTCTTCTTCGCGTTCATCATCCAAACTATCAACCATTTCCTTACACCTTCAAGGTCCTAGACAAATATTCTTCGTCTATCATCAGGACCTTTAGATCATTCCTACTTCTTACAACTCACCAAGCATCTCCTACGACATTCTTCGAGTACACTAGATCAAGTCGCCAAGATGCAGTTCTCTAAGGTCCTCGTTACCATGGCCATGATCGCCATTGGCATGGTGAGTTAAATTTCACTACTTTTAACTGTTACCTAATTTACCCTTTTCATCTCGTCAACCCAAGCGTTTGACTTGCTATTTACCCTCACTCCCTCCCCTCTGTTGCCTAACTATTTATTGACATGCTCAACCCTTTTTCTGACGGCTAACCTTGTTATCCCTAATAGGCTACAACCAACGTTGAGGTTGTCAAGAAGGAAGAGTCTTCCTGCACCTGCGAGGGTGTCACGGTCACTAAGACGGTCCCCTCTACTGACACTACTGGCGAGGCCTACACTCCCAGCGGTGGTTACCCCGGCTACCCCACGGGCACCCCGTCTACTGTCCTCGTGACTGCTACTCCCTCTTCCTACGTGACCGGCTCTGAGACCAGCACCCCCGTCATCGGCTCTGCTACCGAGACTCTCTCTCTGTCGACCACTGAGTCAACCGAGACCGGAACCATCGAGACTGGAACCGGCAGCACCACTGCTTCTGTCACTGAGACTACCAACACCGCGACCTATGTCACTAGCAGCGGCAGCACCACCGAGACCCATTCCTCTCACACCGCTAGCGTGACCACCAGCGAGTCTCACTCTCACTCGAGCACTCAGCCTACTGCTAGCCCCTCTGAGAGCGCCCCTCCCACCTCGGCTGCTGCTTCTCTGCCCATTGGCACTCTAGGCATGAGCGGTATTCTCGGTGGAGCAATGCTCATCGCGTTGATCAACTACGTCTAAAGGGAGAGAACAGGTTACCTGATAGGAATACTTTCGCAACGGAACAAGGATGTTCTTACGATCTCACGCGTTCGATTCATTTCTGTGGATACACAACCATACTAGTGGTATTGCTTTTGCATGCATGGATGATGACGAAGCAGGATTAATGATCAATGGAGATGTATTCTAGGGCCTATTAAGTTGCATTTGCATACTCTCACCTTTATTACGAACTGGTACTGGCACAGGGGGAAGTTTTTCTGATTTGGCACAAAAGGATTCGCAAGCATTGACTCTGAGAGTTTCTCATAGGACAGAAACATGTTACTCAAGCAATAGCTGCTTAATATTATGACTGGCAACTGAACTTTGTTGATGTGTTTTCCTGTTACATTGCACTTGTGATCATAGCTCTCTAACTAGTGTTGCTTTTGCAAATACGATTTTTTGGCACCATAATTCATACTGGCCCCATTTGATAAGTCTTGCGCAATGTTTTGATGTGAAACTAAAAAATAGCAACATGTATTGCTTCACTAATGATAAGTCTTGGTAGAATATGTCTTGCAGGCTACCACGGCTTCACACCGTAATAAGTATTTATTCTTTTTTGATTTTGATTATTATTCAATAATGTAATTTGTAAGCTTATTTACTAATATATCGTAGCCATCCTCCATAAAAATAAATAGATAAAACCAATTTCCCCCTAAAACATCTCAGCCCCAGCCTACAACCTTACAGTTTTGCCCTCTTCCTCTCCGCAGCGCTATCCATCCTCTTGCCCTCATCGTCCTGCTCCGCGACCGTCAAGTCCGGTAGCACAGCCGGCATGATGCGTCGAGGCTCCGAGCCAGGAACAACAGCATACTTGGAGAAGTCAGTGATCCGTCCGCCTACTTCGCTGCGCAGGAAGTCCTCGTCGAGCTCGAGTTGGCCGTTTACGCTGAGGGCGGGCGCGCGTAGGATGGCGAGCACGGCGTCTGAGAATATGGTTGCGCGGCGTAGATCTCGCGCTTCGGAGGGGTTGGTGCTGGTTGTTTTGACGGTGGCGGCGGATTCGATGGCCTGGAAAGGGGGGAGTGGTGGATAGGTAAGTTAGGTATTCATTCACTAAGTCGCACGGGTACTCGCGTGTAGAGAATATTGTGCTTGGCTAATCTAAGGGGATAGGGGATAGGGGTGAGAGATGGAAGAAAAGATAGAAAAAGAGAAATACGTACAGCAGCCGGCCAAAGACTAGTAATCGCCATCTCCCGCAACCCTTGCCTCTCGAAATCCATCGCGAGCCCCTTCGTCAGCACGCTCATGCCCACTTTGCCCATGGCATACGCCGTCTTCCCCCGGAAAAAGCGGCTGTAGATCGGCGGGCTAACGACGATGATACGTCCGCGCTGGTGCTGCTTAAGGTGCGGTAGGCTGGCTTGGATGGTTCCGTAGAGACCCTCCGGGTTTACGCGCTGCATGAGCTGGAACCGCTTCATGGGCGTGTCGTCGACGGAGGCCCACCATATTGCGCCTGAGTTGTAGACTAGGACGTCGAGGCGGCCGTAGGCCTAGGGGTTGGGTATTAGCTGTTAGTGGACTCGTTGTAAGGTAGCAGATGAATGAAGTGCTACTGACCTCGATAGTCCTATCCACAAGCTTCTGCACGCTGGCAAAGTCCCGTACATCTACCGGTACGGCTGTTGCTTGGCCGCCCGCTTCACGGATCTCCCGTTCGACAGTACTAATAGTAGACTGTGAAGAATTGGGATCCGGCGGGAAGGGCACGACGCTCTGGGCGTCACTTGTTGATTTAGCTGCGACGACGACTAAGATGACATACGCATATATATGATTAGGACCGCGATCGTTTATAGTCTATATCTATCTGGTTTGTATAGATGGGCTTACCAGAATATCCGTTCTTCGCTAGGTCCACGGCGATTTGTCTTCCTATCCCTCTTGAGGCACCGACTACGAGCGCAACGTTTCCTTTGGTGTCTGCCATTACTACCTAGCTAATCAACTTATTTAACGTCTAATAGGTTATTGAATTGGCTATTACATGGAAAAGAGTGAGAGACCCCGTACTACATATTGTTCTAGTTTCTAATGTATAAGTGATCCGAGGTATATAGGTAGGTAGGTAAGTATACTCGAACCGATCAGTAATCGTTCATACTTGACTTATACAAGCATCTAAGGTATGATGAATATAGTGGGTCTATGAGAGCAGCCGAGGTTTGATTTAGTAAGGGGTAGGTAAACCTATGTACCGGATAGCATATTCTTTGCTTAATTCAATATAGTTCGATTTGATATGCAAGCCAAACGGGGTACGTAATAAAACATAATATCGACAAAAGCAAAGAGCCAGATGCAATTAAGGGTTATATACTCAAAGGCTCATAGATATGTTCAAATAGGGGGTATTCCTTTTTTCTCCTTCTCCGTCGTCACTCGTATCCCCGATTCCCCCCAAACAATTCCCCAAACCTCATTTCCAATCAAACGCCTCACAAGCGGTTCCCTTTCTGATCTATACAACCGAGAGCTAGCTGGGACTCACAAAAACTTGTCCACTCCCGGCTTCGTAATGTCTATCATCTAGTGATACATTATGTATGTAGTCCCCACCTCTGTCCTACAGGTGCGGGTGCCTGCTCCGGTGAGCGACTTAATATAACCACGGTCCTACTCGATCGTATTAGCTCCGTACGTAAGGGGCGGCTTGTGCCGGGGACCCGGGAGGATCAAACTCGTCTTACCTGGGATGAACCGGTTTTCTTGTTCCCTATGCGTCGGGATCTTGAGCACCTCGCTATGTATCGCGTTCATCGCTGCGAGGGCGTTGTCTGCGTCCACGACGAGAGATATGTTGACTTTGCTCGCGCCTTGGCTTATTAGGTGGATGCCGATCTGCGCCGAGGCCAACGCCGATAGGATCTCGTCTAAGATGTGTTAGCAATCTTTAATTCCTGCCTAGGTATGCTCTGAAATTAGGGCTTTGTTAATAACTTACTAGACACGCCGACCATGTTGCGCATTTTGTGGCCGACTACCGTCACGATGGACATGTGCGAGGTGATGGCAACTTGACCAAATCGTTCGAGCTCCTCCCTAAGTCTCAATAATGCAGTAGGATTACCTGGGGACTGGACTGCAAGGCTAACATGCCTTTCGCTTGTGGCTACTAGATCTACGGGGATCTTATTCCTCTCGAGACGGTCGAACACCTGTGTCAAAAACCCCTGCGACTTGGTATTCCTGTTGCAGACAACGTTGATAAGGAGTATATCATCCTTAACCGTGACTGCGGTGGGTTTCCTGCGCTCTTGCTGAGCTCCGTGGTAGCCGTTCTCTAGCATAAAGCTCGATAAAGGTGTGATTACTCGGGAAGAGTTCTCTGAGCTATCAGATGATGCGCTGGCCGGACTATTAGGGACTGAACTGTCCATTGATGGATATATGATGGTGCCATTCCCTGAGGGTTTGAACACATTTTTGAGGCGTAACGGTATGCCAGCGTCCCGAATTTGGTCCATTGTTAATGGGTGGATAACCTGTGAGTTGAATTAGCTTACTTTCGTCTCACGTTGGAATAGATAGACTGACCTCGCTTCCATAGTAAGTCAGTTCCGTCGCTTCTTCGGCTGTTACTGTTGATAGGAGCCGTGCTGAGGGCACTTTTCTCGGATCTGCCGTAAATATGCCGTCGACCTCTTTCCAAATCTGCAATTCTTCTGCTCCTACTGCTACCGCACACATAGCCGCGCAGAGGTCCGAGTATCCTCTTCCCACTGTTTGAAGCAACGAGTCCGGCATTATACCAAAAAAGCCTATAATCTTAGTATATGTCTTACAGTCGCAGTATTTAAAGGGTCTTACCTGTTACGATAGGTATTGCGCTTCCACACTCTCGAATTCGTCCGGCTATTTGGCTGGCCAATGCCTGATAGAGCTTGGGGCCGAGCCTTTCGAACGCAGCAACCTGGTCGTGGATAGAGTTGCCAAAAGCGGATGATATGATATTATCTAGAAATACTGCTTTCGCTGGTGTGCCCTAGGTCAAATCCTGTTAGCTTATTGGCTGAATCGGGTTTGATCGGTCTCCTGGCCTGAGAGGAACGTACATTGCTCGTCAGACAAGCCGCGACAATCATACACGAGAGCTTTTCACCAAGGGAGATGACGCGATCTTTCGACCGTGCTGATAACTCTCCAACAATCTAAGTCCGGTAAGTCAGCTTCAGTTATAATGACATTTCTACCCAGCGAAGCTTACCTGGGCGGCAAGTAGAAACCTCTTGAGGGCCTCGCATTCATTTTGAATACCGGAAGCCGTCTCTTCGTAAACTTGTGAATGGATAGCCATTCGTGCCGGAGAGTTCATAAATGCTCTTAGCACACTAAGATGGTTGTCCTTGATCAAGTCTACCAGGTCGACCATCTGTTTCTGAGCATCGAGGCCTTGCTCTGCATATGTTATGCATTGAAGCAGCAAACTTGTCGTCCCGCTAGCTTTGAGGGTTCCGGAGAGGGCAGAGCAGACAACAATGAGATTGTGCTCTGTTCTGTATTGGGGAATAATTTTGCAGCATATCGTATCCAACAGCTTTCCCAAGCTAGTACCACCATACTTCTGGACCAACCAGGACTTAGTTTCCGTCGCAGCCACCATGTTGATGATGATGGTAATGTATTGGTATGGCGCTTATACGATCGTCTCTATGGAATTTGAAGATAGAGAATGGGGATAGGCGAAGAGAGAATGAGGAATTTATGGAAGTGGTTTGTATTGTATTGATCTGATTTGAAGCCATTCACCCTGGCTAACACCCGTTTTTATGCTCTCTTGCTAACTGCCTCTATAGGTGTCAGCACAAAAGCCATACATGGCTCAAATTGGAAGGAGGGGCGGCCGTGAAATGCTAGCGGAGCCAAATTCACAAATTCAAGCCAACCACAGATCCACGGGGTTGCGTTTGTCGGGATGCGTTGCCGGCAATATCGAAAGGAGAGCTATACATAGAATGAAAAATAACGAGACGGGGCGGCATGGGCCGACCACAACTCCACAATCACACGGCGTCGGAATACCAGGGAAAGTAAAATTACCAAGCTAAGGGAAATCAGGATTTTGAATACCCGGAAGGAAACGTCTAATACCAGGTAGGGTTGGCTTCTGGGAAATGCAGTACCATGTACGATGCCTGCTACATACGTACCTACAGATACAACGCATCACCTAGCCGCAAATACTGGGGAAAGGGGGGAGACCATAATGGAGACAACCAGATGCACTCCCAAATCCCGGCCGGCATTTATGATAGGTGTCATGCGTGATAAGTATGCACCGAGCAGATCCTCCTTTCCCAAAGCGGCGCCCCCTTTTCCCCGGACTTTACTCGTTTCGGCCCACGTGATGGGCCCGCGGTGTTTGAACCCCTACGGCTAGTGTTGAACTTCATTATTTCCTGAATCGACCGAGAAACGAAGTTTTGGGATTTCTAATTCTAGAGGGGGGCTTTGTTTGCCTGTTTTCTCCCTCGCTCCCTCGTTATCACACGATGGGAAAAGGGCAGATACTAGGCTATAGTCGTATACGGCCGGGAACCGCCGGAACCATTGCCACCCAGTCTCGTTGTATCCTAGAAGCATACATCACAGCCTCCTCCAGTCGGTCAGTTTCCTTCACGTCTCGTTGCAACGTAGAGTATTCTAAGCACCTTATTTGCCCCGCGGGGATGTCATCATTTGGAATCTACTGTACCATCCGTCTTACTCGCGTCTTTTTCTCGCGGAGCTTACTTTACTCCGTAGTAAGGGAGAGAGGCTCCCGAGGTCTTGACTTAAAAGGATTTCATCCCTTAGTCCGTATTGTGAAATGTTGTACAGAATTTTGCCCCCAAGGCCGCTATTCTACAAGCCACTGGACTTGAAGATATTGTCATGTCATGCTCTTCGTCAGCCGAAGAAAAACTTGGCATTATAGCATGAGAAGTAGGTGAAGCTCTCATAACCGTTCCGTTCCTTAGTAGTATCATCATCATCGAGCCATTTATGCGGTGTTACTAAATCACTAATACAAAAGACATTTTAGCTGTATGTAGTAAGTGCTGGAATAATGACACCTTAACAAGCAGCCAACCCCCGAAAACCCCCCGGAGCCTATAATAAAACACGCTTGATATACAATAACACAGTAAAGACACTGTACACGGCCAATTTCCTAGCCACTCTACCAAGCCTCCACCTCTCCAGTCAAACTGGCACCGCCAGGTTGTGCCGTGTGTTCTCCGGAAAAGCTAGTGTCGTCGTAGGTAGACATGTAAAAATGTGGAAAGTCTCTCTTCAGCTTTCCGAGAATTAGCGTCCCGAGCTGTTCAAATTCAAGTAGGAATCCGTCGTGGCCGTCCGAAGACTTGAGCATCGCAAGTGTAGCATTAGGAAGGCAAGCTGCTAGCCGTTCTTGCTGCTCGGGCAAGAATAGCGCATCTGTCTCGACACTGACTACTAAGGCACCGGACGGTACTACGGACAGCACGGAGAGCAAGACGCTATCACCATCGATGGAAGAATCTTCACCGGCGGGCGCTCTATCTACCGTTACGTCGTGCGCGTCCATTTTGTTGGTGATGTGTAAATAGCAGTTGGCATCGAAACGCTGGATAAACTTTTGCCCCTGATAATGTAGGTACCCCTGAGCGGAAAATGAGGGGTCCCGTCTTGCGGTCCAGCTTTTCCGCTCCGAGCGCTCCTTAGCGGATGTCGGTGCCGCCCCTGTGGCCGTGACAGGAACGTCTGTTCGCGGAAGATCTAGGGGTGGCTCTTGTACGGGCCTCGGCTTCTGCCGCTGTGGTCTGCGGCCGAATCGGGAGTCGAAGCTCATAGATGAACGGTAGGTGAGCATAGCTACCATACGCGCCGCGGCCAAACCTGCCGATGGCTGGCCCTCGGGAATTGGCTCATAGTACCCGTCGTCGAATTTAGGGTCTGAGTAGATGCATTGGCGTTGCGTCTCAGCCCATGAAATGCCCCAGGCGCTGTGATCTGCTGCAGTCGCGATCGGGAGAATACTCTTAACATAGCCAGGGGTGGTGCAAAGTGGCCATTCAAGAGTTGTCATTCCGCCCATCGAACCCCCTATTACAGCTGCTACCGAGCGGACGCCTAGGGCGTCGAGAACGAACTTGTGTGCCCTACCCGCGTAGAAATTGCATTAGCACTCGACAGGAACAATATAGTCATGTCCATGACAATGGGAGTTTAGCTTACCGCACATCGTCGCGGACCGTTGTTTGCGGGAATTCGCTGGCGTATCTCCTTCCCGTCTGAGGGTTGATAGTGAGCGGTGATGCGCTACCATAAGGTGATCCGAGAACATTCGCGCAAAAGATAAAGAAGTGCGCTGGATCAAACGCCTTATCGCGCCCAAGAAGCGGACTCCACCAATCACTGATATCGCTACTACCAGTGAGAGCATGGCAGATCACCAAGACATTGTCTGCGGTGTCGTTGAGTCGACCCCATGTCTTGTAGGCGATCGGACAAGACTCTAATATCTCGCCCGAATCGAGTGTGAGCTCTGATATAACGGCGAACTTCTGCCCCTGAATGAGACCTGCGTAGAAGTTCTGGGGGTTTGGATCATGATCCAAAACTATGATGCGTGAGAATACCTTCTAAGATGGGTAGATGGGTAGATAGAAGAAGTCCACTTACGAGTTGCCATGTTGATGTAAAGTTAGCTTGTAAGTCTAGCAAGATAGATTAAGCAACGAAGACAAGCTGGGCAGCTTTGAGCAATAGAGAGATGATCCTAGCGCCACATCCGTAGATATGTATGGATATAGTAGTACATTGTTCCGCGTACATCCGGTACTATCAAAGTCCCGAATAGCTGGGCAGCAAACTGCATACGCCATATGCAAACCCCCCAGCCCCCACAAAGACTGTTACAATGGAAGATCCAAGGATGATCTTCTAGACGGGGAAGTAAAAAAGTAACAAAGTAACAAAATACGTATCTTGATCCGGTATTCGGCCTACCGCCTAACGAACCGGGATTTGGTACTTCGGGATCTGCGTCGTGTTGCAGAGTAGTATGCGCCGTCGTACTGCATTAGTTACTGTGCCTCGGCTCCACAATCTGCGATTCTGCGATTTTCCCCCCATTGACCAAACACCATCATGGGCTGTCACGATACCTTAAATTGGTATCGCGGACCAAGGGGTAGGAATCGACTTACACTGTCGATCCGGCACCTACCGCCTTATTTACTTTAGGTATCATTACTAGAACCTAAATCTCATTGCCCCTTAACTCCGATAAAGAGAACCCCGAATCAAATTACGCTAGGGATCTTCCTGACTCCTATTTTGATAAGCATACAGCCGCTTTGACTTACACATTAACTAGTGCAAAAAAAAACATGGCTACGTCTCGGGTTGTGAAAGTGGCCGCCGTTCAAGCGGCGCCCATCTCCTTCGATCTCGAGAAGTCTCTAGAAAAATTAACTAGAATAGTCGGTGAAGCGGCTGGAGCCGGGGCAGACCTTATCGTGTTTCCGTAAGCAGGCAATGCACACTCGACCAACAATACCTATGATCTACTAACAGTGGTTATGCAGTGAGGCATTCCTGTCCGCGTATCCATGGAGATATGCGTTTGATGCCACGATTGGTGCTCGAGAGCCGCGTGGTAAGAAGACTTTTTTACGATAGGAGAGTAATTTTCAGAATTGACCTCAAGTAGGAAGAGAATGGTATGCGAAGTATTACGATTCAGCTGTTGCCGTGCCTTCACCGGCAGTTGATACCATCTCGAAGGCGGCCAAATCCCACCAGGTCTATATTCAAGTCGGCATCATTGAGAAAGAGGGTGGTACTCTGTACTGTACGGCCTTATTGGTTGGTCGGGATGGATCAGTACTGTTGAAGCATCGCAAAGTGAGTGCGCAACCGAGCCTTCGTAAAATCTTGTACGGAAACTAAACGCAAATAAGTTGATACCTACGGCTGCAGAGCGCCTGGTGTGGGGACGAGGTGCAGGAGACGGCCTTGGAGTCGTACAAACTGACATTGGCAAAATTGGCACCTTGATATGGTGAGATTATATGCCTCAAAATGGACTTTTGAGTTGTTAATAGAGTCTTAGCTGGGAGAACTACATGCCCGCAGCGCGGATGGCTCTCTACCAGCAAGGAGTCGAGTAAGAAAATATGCCCACTAGTTAGGAAGAAAATGGTCGAGCTTTGTTAACCAATCTTCCAACAGAATCTACATAGCACCCAACGCGGATGATCTACCATCCTGGATTGCATCAATGCAGCATATTGCTAAAGAAGGACGCTGCTTCGTTGTCTCGGTAAATTCAATGGTTAGAGTTTCGGATTTTCCGAAGGACTACCCACCATTTACCCCTGAGCATCATGACAGGAAGCCAGATGGCTCACAGTGGGAGCCTGACGATATTGTTAATCACGGAGGGTCCTTCATCGTAGGGCCTCTAGGAGTTCCTATAACTGAGCCGGTATGGGACAAAGAAGAGATCATCTATGCCGATTTGAAGATATCGGATGTAACGGAGTCAAGAGTAAGTAAACATCTTCAAGCCGATTGACGTCTCGTCCCAACTCTCTAACAATCTATTTTCAGCTTGACTTTGATCCGGTTGGTAGCTACGCTCGTCCAGACGTGTTGTAAGTCCCCGGCCAAGGCTAGAACTCCATAGGTCCAACAAGACGTGGCAGCTAACACATCATAGCACGTTGACAGTGAATACCAAACCAGGGACAAATGTGAGCTTTACCAAATAAAGCACAGAAACGGGCTAGGGAATAGAAAACCTGGAATAACGCCGTTTGATCGATCTAGGAGACACGTAGCTCGATAGGGTGTATATTCGAGGATTCAAGGATCCGAGTCTGGACTTTCATCTACATAGACCGATAGATCGTACGTAGAGCATAACCATGAATAGAAAAACCTGGTTTGTACCCACAGAATGACCCGCTAGGGGTGACTCCTTCGAGAATGATTGCTCGCTTTCACATGTGTAATCTATATCCCTTAAAGGGGTTGTTTCTAAGCACGTGGGACTTGTCCAATGGCCGAGTGGCGCGGGATTTTGAGGCTCCTCGGTGTCTCAGCATCTCAAGCACAATGGGCACAATGTGAACCGAAAACTCGGGTCGTCCCTGGCATCTGTAGTGGTATCTGTGGTATCGGTATCTATGGTGTCAGTGGCGGCGGTCAGCAATAACAGGTTTATCATTTCTTCGGAGGTTGTTAACACGCATGACATGAATGTGCGGGGGATGCCGTCCCTCACATCATGTACCCATGCTACTTAGATATGATATGTATAGGTACGAATCGCGTATCGGGAATCGCGTATCGCTGTTGGATGTTGTATGATGTTGTGTTGTGTATGTATGGTATGTGTGGTATGTATGTTATGTAGGTAGAATGTGTAATGCATGAGACCTTCTCCACGAGCACAGGGACCAACCCTGGGAGTAGTGGGTCTTCCTATCATACGACGACTAAGAAAGCTTCGGGCTTTGCTGGTGTTGCATTGCAGTCTGGCAATAACCAACGGCAACCGGGTATGTATGGAGGCAACTTGTACTTACCTTATCTGACGTAGGTACCTCTAGTTGGAGAGGAAGTTGCAAGTTGAGGGGCGTTACTTCTATACATACCTATCTACCTACATGTAAGGTAAAGTATGTATGTAATCGTTTACAATTCGAACGCCTTGCACCTTCTTCGACGTCTATACATTTAAAGCCGAGATCCTCTCTGTATAAGACGAAACTTACAAACACATCATCAGCCTTCTTAACACTTTCAAACAACTATCATCTTTAGATATCCTATCTTAACAACAGTGTTTCATTCGACTTCAACATGTCTCCTCCGGGATCAATTAGCAACCTGGACTGGTATGTTGCTATAAACTCTCGACGAAGAAAGAAAAAAACATACCTCTAACGTTATTAAAAATAGGGAGCCTAGCTTCGACACAATTGCTGTGCATGGCGGACAAGAGCCTGATCCGATCAACGGCGCAAGAGCTGTACCCCTTTACCAGACTGCTGCGTACAACTTTTCTGACGCAGCTGATGGAGCAAGCAAATTTGCCTGGTCTCGAGACGGATATGTCTATACGCGTATGGGCAATCCCACCAACACAGTTTTTGAGAACCGAATGGCCATGCTGGAGGGTGGCGTTGGAGCAGTGGCTACCGCATCTGGTCACGCAGCGCAGGTGAGTTACATTATAAAGAATATGCAGTCATCACTGCCCTATACTAATAGGTAATCTTAGTTCATGGCCTTGACCCAATGCTGTGAACCCGGTCACAACTTCATCAGTACTAGTTGGCGTAAGTCTCAAATTACAAGAAATGTGGCTGCTGACTAAACATACTAATATAAATGCTTCTTTCTCATAGTATACGGTGGCAGTTTCAACCAATTCCGTGTGTACTTGAGTAAGTTTAAGATAAACGTCAAATGGGTGGTCGGAAACGACCCCGCGAAATTTGACGAAGCAATCGACGAGAACACGCGAGCCATTTATATCGAGACAATCAGCAACCCGAAACATAGCGTTCCGGACATTGCAGCACTTGCCGCCGTGGCCCATAAGCATGGCATTCCCTTGGTTGTCGACAACACTTTTGGTATGGGCGGATATCTATGCCAGCCTATCAAGCTTGGAGGTGTGTAGACCGTATACATATAACCTGTTTAAACTAAAATTTGTAAGCTGACACAACTTTTCTTTTTAGCTGACATCGTTACACACTCCGCTACGAAATGGATCGGTGGCCACGGAACTAGCATGGGCGGTATCGTGATCGATGGCGGACACTTCGACTGGAGTGCATCGGGAAAATTCCCTGGCTTCACAGAGCCCGCCGAGGGTTATCACGGCATGCGATTCTGGGAGACGTATGGAAAGAAGGCATTGTCAGCTAAAGTGCGAATGGACAGCATGCGTGATCTTGGCCCTTGTATGAGCCCCTTCAATGCCTGGCTATTCCTTCAAGGACTAGAAACGCTCCCGCTTCGAGGTCAGAGAACTGTTGAAAACACACAGAAGCTCGCAGAATGGCTCGAAAACCACCCCTGTGTCAACTGGGTGTTATACCCGGGTCTGAAGTCGCATCCTGACTATGAATTGGCACAGAAGGTTATGCCGAAGGGAGCAGGTGGCGTCCTGACTTTCGGTGTGGTACGTACTTTTCACCCCTTTATTTGTGTAACCTCAAGACGTGAGGCATTTTGAGTAATTATGTATTATCAGCTAACGTTAGGTATAGGCTGGACAAGTTGAGCAAGTCCGTGCCGTGGTTGACAATCTCAAGATGGCTAGCCATTTGGCCAACGTTGGAGACTGCAAGACCCTCATCATTCACCCTTGGGTAACTACACACCAGCAGATGCCCGATGACGAGAAGATCAAGGGTGGCGTGACGCGTATGTGTGCCCTAATCCCCACCCTTTCTCCGTACTTAAGAAACGATTGCTGATTTAAAATTTTAATGAATAGCCGACCTTCTGCGTGTCAGTCTGGGTATTGAGGATTTTGAAGACATCAGGCGCGATTTCGAGCAGGCATTCAAGGCTGCCGGCCTTGAGAAGGCAAACAAGAGCGGCATAGATCCGTTCCAGACGGCCATGAACCTCGTCAGTGGAGGATTCATGGGCAAGCTAGCTACGGGTGCTCCGCGGCCCGGTACGGATGGAACCATACAATCTTGAGTAATTGCATCGTACAAAAAGTAAGGGCTCTCGGCTAGATACAGGGCATCGATACCAGGCGGCGCAAGAGTTACGGGCGGTAAGGGTGTTAGTAAGTTCAAGCAAGTGGCATTTGCATTCTTGGGGAGCACATCGGCGTCAATTACTTGGCTACCGAATATGGGGATGATTTGCTTAGAGGAGGTCCCTCTTATGTACATGTAACGATTGCGATTGATTTTATGAATTTCACTCTACGGATAGGTACAAATATAGAGCAATTGCTTTTATTAAATATGTCCTTAGCCATGTTTCGGTTGTAAGTGGGGGAGTATCCCGCAACCGAGGTCGATTACTAAGATCGATCGATACCTTATACATGAATACCCAGCACATCTTATACAACCTTTCGCCAACTTCATCTCATTCTTCAGCATTTTCATCACATTGGATCTCGTTTCTCATTTCTCATTTTCTCCAAAGTTCTTAATCAGCCATAGCCTCGAAATCGGTAATCTGATTCATCACTATGGGTGGTCATATTGATTTGTACCTCGACATCGGTAACTCATCCCCCTCACGACAAAAGCTGTATACCTATCAGTTATCAGTTATCATTTATGAAACTGACGGCTAACTCTCAAGAAAATAATATCAGCGTCGTTGTACAGCTACATAGCACTTATCCAAGCCATAAAATCTCAAGATCTTCTAAAGCAGCACTCCGTAGAAATCGAGTTAGTTCATTCCTCGTTAACTCGTATAATGCCTACCGTAACGCTACCTATGTTAAGTAGCGTTAGTTAGGTGAACACATACGTGTAACTATGGTTCATATCAACTAACAAGAAACCAACCTAGCATCCATCCGTTCTTCCTAGGCGCAGTAAATGCCGCCTCCGGCAACAAACCCCCCTGGACCCTCCCCGCCAAAGCCGTCTACGGGGTCCACGATAGCCAGCGCTCGCTGCGCGCCGTCGGGCTATCCAATGTCTCGGCGCCGGGGGACCTAATGCAAGCAGGCCGGACTATTGTCCCGCTCCGCGCGCTCCTCTACATCAAGTCGCAGTACCCGGCCGCGACGTACCTCGCGACGTGGCGGGCGCTGTTCCACGCGTTCTGGACGCTGCACCAGCCACCTATCACGCCCGAGGCTTTGGAACAGACGCTTGCGAGTATTCCTGCTGGCACTAATTTCGCTAGTTCTTCTCCGCCCGAGACTTTGGGCAAGGGACGGGAGGAGGAGGGGAGAAGACTGTTTTCGGCGGAGGAGGTCGCGGCGATCCTGCGCGCGGAGAAGTCCGTCGAGTATAAGAATACGCTCCGGGAGACGACGCAGAGAGCGCTGGACCAGGGTGCGTTCGGCGCCCCGTGGCTGTGGGTTACGAGTGCGGCGACGGGGGAGAGCGAGCCTTTCTTTGGTAGCGATAGGTGGAGTCACGTGTATGCCTTTCTTGGACTGCCGTATCAAGATGTTGAGCTATTACCGCCTGGGGCTGCAAAGGGTTCGCAAGCAAAACTCTGATTTTAGAATTGAGATAACCAAGGGGGATATATGTCCTTATGACCAAAGTAGTATTTCCGTAGGGAGCATTTCGCAGGTACCTAATGTATGTAGGTACTTAAGGTATATATATATACATATGAGAGTATGAAGACATCAAATCTGCGGTCGCAATATTCATCTATTAGGTAATCAATATGTACGCTATATCGTGAATTTTTATCGAAGAAGCATTAGGTAGGCAGTTTTTATCCTACGGATATATACTTTCGTGAATAGTCGTAAAACCGTAGCGTCGTCAGGTCTATCGGCAAAAAGTGAATGTTCAAAAATCAACAACGCTGGCCTTGTTTCCGGATCGCTGAACCGGAAAATTAGCGTAGGGTCATATGGCTTCGACCATATCAAATCTCGAGGGCCTATTAAATCAATTCAAGGGCCTGGTCATGTGCTCTCAGCGCCATAAGCTTCTCTCTTTTCGCTAACGCCGTCGCCGCAGGTGTTCCGGAAGAGTTCCACGTAGAGGCCTTATTTATAGTCTTCTTGCGCATGATAGCCAAGATATCCTTTTCCATGGTGTCGATACCTTTCTCGATTTCAATATCCTCTTCGGCATACTTTCTCTCGCGTCTGTGATCTATAAACCACCAAACTAGCACGATCAAGAACGTCAATGGTACTGTGACGGCAAAGTACACCCACAGCTCACTCGAAACCTCTGAGTTCCCCGAGGAGCCACCGTTGTCCGGCCCTAGAGAAGTAAGCTTTCAAGTCTGGTTGATAGGGGCCTGTAGACCCTCAGAGAAGGGTTGGGAGTCTATGTGAAAATTAACTACTTACCGATCTTGAAGTCAAAGAAAGTCATGCTGAAGACGGAAGCCATAAACGTCCCAGGGAGGAACACAGCACCAAGGAGAGACAGTGTCTTCATAGCAGTACCATCTCGCTTAGTAGCATGTGCTACTCTCCTCTGTTGCGAGGCTATTTCGAGGTTGAGTTTGGATTCCTTCTGAGCCATGATGTTATACAACTATTTGCCATCTGTCAGTAAAGCGGGGGTTACTTGATAGGATATAACCAACTTACAGCTTGCCGTTGTATGTGTAATCTCTCCAGCGTCGTATGTATGTAATGTTCCATACCCGTGAGTTTCACTCGGTAGAAATCCAGCCTAGCTAGCATGCTGTCGTTCAAGGCGCTGGTTTCATATGGTTGGCCCCCGATCGGCTCATATTCCATGAACTTTCGCATTGCCTCCTTGATTTCTTTGATGATCTCTTGGTATGCTTGCGGCCGCTTCCAGAGGACCTGGGAATGGCATTCAACAAGATCCCGATTGATGCCATCCACATCAAATTCGGAATATACTTCTGCTAGGTCAATCTCGTTTCGCATAGTGATAGCATTCTCAAGACGACGTAGCCAATCCCGTGCATCGCGTTGTCTTTTGTCACCCTTAGATGAAAGATCGTGAGAGAGAATGATGATTGGAAGAAGAAGTGGGTGGCCGACTTCAGCTCGGCAGGCGCTCAAGTGTTTCAGCGACTTCACAATATCTGACGACTCAGTACCTTTGACAAATCCCGAGGTTATACGCGTCTTATACGAATATGAGAGCACTATAGTAACATAATTAGTATGTGCAGCTTGCAAGAAATCTCGGATGTAATGATCAGTTGTGCTCCATGAATCTAGAGTCAGAAACATGCTTGATAGGGCGGGTAGTGACGCAAATAAGTCCAAGTATAAAATAACATACTAATCTCCCATCCTCGAGTCTTGCCTTTCTTGCGCACATCAGATTTCCGGAAGATAATTTCTAAGAAGCGTTAGACATGCTATCTGAATACAGTTCTTTGCCTAATTCGGCAAGCAACGGGGGCTTTAGAGGTATACTTACGTAGATGACGATCATCCCTATCTTGATCGTGAGAGCACCAAAAAAAGGGCCCAACAATACTACTACCCTCAATGGCTCGTAATGGGAGATGCCATGTCTATATCACTCATAATTAGTATATTAAGTAATAATCTAGGTAGGCTAAGGGTTCATTGCTAGTTACGAGGCATGAATCTGGGGCTTGATAGGTGTCCAAGATTTAAGTCAAAAGTCATAATTACTAGGACTGAGAATAATAGATATATAGTATACGTACCCTCACCATAGATTCATAAGTAGATCGCTGAAGAGATATATAATCAGGCGCAAATGTATTGGCATGGTTGGCCTCTTTTTGAATTCTACCACGCAGTTTTTAGTCTCAGTCTTAGAATGAAATCTCACTCTCACTCACATCAAACGGATTCCATCTTGTAATGTCACTCCCTCTTTCAGCGTCTGAGGAGAAAATGTGCCCTAGAAATACTAATGTGTTAGTCTAGAATACCAATGATTCCTAGATGAATAGTTTGGGAGGGATGGTAAGTAGAGTCACCAGAATATATGCAAGTATACACTATGATACTTCTAAGAAACGTAAGACTTGGCATGAGACGGTTAACTTACAGTTTGTCGAAGGAAGTTTTCAAAGTCATCTTCTGTTAGTAAAGAATGGTCCTCGCAGCTATTATAAGCTGGATCCTAATATTGAAGTTAGTATTGATCTGCTCATGTAATATATACCTAATGCATATGAAAGCTTGGCAAAATTTTGAGAGTGGGATTAGAAGTAAATCTGATACGTTCGTAACAGTAGAGTAAAAACGCACCGAATAGTTGAAGATTTCCAAATAAGTCGTTTTCTCCTCGACAGATTTGCATTGATCAAGATGCCAGCGGAATAGATAGTCGTCCATATCGATAGCGGTTAAGAGATACAAATTACGTTATGATACAGGATACAGCAAAGGGGGCAAACACAAGCATCTATATCGAGAATAATTATCGGAGCAACACGGCATCAAAACATCTTCACATTAAGCTTCCGTAAGACTCATGGAACTTGTGACTTGCAGTAGATCGAGGCGCAGTCCCGAATCGATGCGGAGGGTCGTGAGGCGATGCTTGACCGAACTTGTCCTGTTATCTCGGGATTGTAGGTCGGAAGTCCAACGGGCAAGAAAAACCAAGGAAAACGATGTCCCCCAACTTTTTCAGATAAAATAATTTAAGCTAACGATTAAAGGAGAAATAAGGGAGAGGCGGGTAGACTAGGTTAGGTTAGAAGCTTATTCTAAATCGTAAGGAGTTGTGGAGACAAGACACGGGATTGGGTGGGGATTTATGGGTCGCGGCCGTATTCCGAGCATCCGTCCCCATTTTAGGACTTTGGAACTTTGAAACTTTGAAACTTTCCCCGTCCTACTACAAATCTATCTCCTGGTAATAACTACATAATAGTTACATATATACCGAAGTATACTACATGCATATGTAGGTGATTTCACAGGATGATGCGTGTTTCTTTCCTAAAGGTCAACATGTACATTAGGTCTTACTCAACATGAGTCTTACGGGAGTTATTATCATCTTTCGTAATAAGATGAACATTATTATTTGCCCTGAATAGGTATTATATGAATCGAAACTTGTGAGGCGAAAAGGTACTATGTATGGTGGGGGGAGGGGAAGGGGACCTTGGCTTGGGGAAATCTTACAAGAAACCGTGAACAGAGCCTCATGCGGGTCTCTGCATCGACGTGTCCGGTGAGCATGAGCATTTTCTCATGGTTATTGGATATTGCAATACCAAATGGCAAATTTCTTGTGGTAGGCAACAACGCGGCCTTCATAGAATCATCTACCACCTTCGTGGCATAATACAAAGGTCGACTTGCATACAATACTCCCATACTACCTACAACGACGTAGTCTTTACGAACCACGACATTCGAGTCTTTGGTTTGTTAACCTATAATGTTCGTATGTAGAATTTCCAAGGCTAGGTTGACACCCAATTCCATATTAGGCCCCCCCTTTTTTTTCGCCTTAAGGCCTTATGACAACCTCACAACTTTTCGTCCAGATGCGAAGTCGCGCGCCTCACCCATCACCCTTTTCAAGCATGTGTCATCGCGTTCGACACAATTTTACGCCATAAGAGCCAATACTGTCACTTCTTTTCAATGTGTCCATAAAAGACAAAGCAACAAGTTGAACCTTTGCCCAAGTCTAGCCCAGCTGATAGGCCCTGATCTAAGAACCTGCAATACGCCTCGCCCAATAGTACTCACTTATAGAATAAGTCCACCGGCTTATCAGAAATCAGGGAACAGGTACCCATACCTACAGATATTAGCATATACATATCTCGTCACGATTCGATTCGCTTGACTTACTCGTCACTCCCCGACTGGCCATACTTCTCTGTTTCTTCGGGATACCTATCGAATTGGCTTGCGTCACCAGCACCGGCCTTAACCGGGGGTGTGTATGGAGCATCAATATCTTTTCTTGATAGCCTGTCCCATGTAACCTCTGCGAACCACGGATGGTTTTTCACATCTTGTGATCCTCCATAGAGGTTACCCAGCCGCTTTGTCAAATCTGGCGTGATAAGAAGCTCCAGTAAGTTCTGAGCGTCAGGATGGACATACGCCGGATACTTGACCTTGCCCCTTAGGATATTTTCGTAGATTTTCATCGGCGAACCACTATCCCAAAAAGGTGTGTAGCCGCAAAGCATCTCGTAGATTAAGATGCCCAGAGACCACCTGTGATGAATACCACGTGAGAAACCGATCTATCAACAGCGCTCTGCGAACCGAAACTCACCAGTCGACCGATTTGTTATAACCCTTGTTAGAAACCACTTCTGGCGCTAAATAGTCCGGAGTCCCACACAAGGTCCATGTCTTATCCGGAACCCTTTTGGCAAAGCCAAAATCTGTTATTTTGAGGTGCCCGTGGCGGTCCAGGAGTAAATTTTCGGGTTTTAGATCCCTATAAATGATATTTCTTGAATGTAGGTATTCAAGGGCGAGAGTGACTTCTGCAGCATAAAATTTAGCTACCGGGTTTGGAAATCGCTGGTAAAAGTTAGCAACATTAAGCACCCAAAACATGACAGTTAACATACGCCTGATTTCCTCAGCAAAGAGAACAACTCGCCACCTTCAACAAAATCCATAACCATATACAGATTCTTCGGGTCTTGAAAAGTTCCCCAGAGAGTGATGAGGAATGGATGTTTAACCTCACCAAGCATCCGCCGTTCATCATTTGTGTGTTCCACCTGCTTCATCTTGACAACTTGGGCCTTCTTTAAAACCTTAATGGCGTAAAATCGTTGATTGTGTTTCGACTGGACTAAATGAACACGCCCAAAACTTCCCGTGCCAAGCGTCCGAAGGAGATCGAAGTCGGTAAGTGAGTATTTTCCCTTCGTTACCCTAACCTCGGAAGGTTGTGATTGGTGTTGTTGATGTTGTGCTGGGGGCGCTCCGGGGTGACCTGCCTTTTGTGTTAGATAAAAAGTACTGAACTATAGCTACAGTCATCCCTTACCGTCATTTTGCGGTAGGTTGATTAGATTATTGATACTCGGTAGATTTTGCGGTGTTCCCGTCTGCGCGGGGCTCAGAGAAGGCTGGATCCCGTAAGGAACGGCTTGGGCTGCTGGTGGATTCATTTGTGACCCCCCACCAGCAGAAGCTGGTGCCTCCTGAGAACCTTGCGTCGTCGATTGTGATTGGGAAGCTATGCTCGTCGCGGTTGTACTATGTGTTGGGACGGTGGTCAGGGAGCTCGACCCGAATGTTCTCGAGGATGTCGGGGTGATTGGTGTAACAGGACTCGTAGGTTGACTGGAAGAAGGGTCTGGCTTATCCTCTTTCGTCCGCTTCTTCTTGAGAAATCCTAACGATCCTAACGTCGGCATATGATATGTTTAGGGAAGTGAGGGGCCGGGCCCTTCGTGACGATGAACAGGTTAAGATAGTGTGATATTGTAAAGGCCGACTTGGATACAGGCCAGCTGTCGATATCAGATGATGCAATAGCCCACGACCGAGTATCTTTTTAATAGGTATAGAGTAGTTGCTAGATAGCTATGCTTAGGTTGACACGTAGGTAGGCGAAGGAATAGCCAAGAGGGAATGGCCTTGGAGCTGGATGATTTGTAACGCGCCTCCGTTGGGGTGTTCGAAGGAGGCTGACGACGGCGGAAGGTTTCAAGGTACGGGTAGCTAGCTATTCTGAGCATGTAATTTTGTGATAACTAGCTGTTAATATTTCTAGCAATAAAACGAACAACGTTGAAAACAGGAATTCAACTTTGCTCTTTTTCAGCAGCTGAATGGATGCTAAGTCGTCCCAGTACAAAGAGATGAAGAGGTCAATTGAGCCAATTGAATGGTTCGAATTTTTGCGCAGGGTAAGTCCTCTTTCTCCGAAGGATTGCACAAGAAAGATGGCCGCGGGGCCGATGTAATGGGATGTAATGGGGGGGATGCGCTAGACTTTTGAAAGATTCGACGTCCGGAACCACGACCTGATGAGATACGGAGCGATACCTATAATTTAGAATATTGATTTGAAGAATATAATATTGCGCGGCGAGCAAGCAGGTAGAGGACTTAGACGAAGGTAGTAAGTCTGTAAGTCTGTAAGTCCTCGAATCTTGGTAGCAAGAGGAGACCCGAAAAGAAAGACCCGAAGAGGCGGCGACAGCAAAGTGGGCTGGATGACGGCAAGACAAGCGGGGAGGGACTAGGGAAAGCACTTGTAAAAGCACTTGTAAAGTAAAGAAGTACCTAGCCTACTAACCCAGGTAGGTAAAAAAGCCTGTAGACGCTAAAATATGCACAAGTACAGCGCCTACTTCGTGCAAAGATAGGCGAATTCGAGTAATGCTAGTAGGTTAATGCTAGGGGTAAGGCAGATCATGTACCTACCTACCTAGCTTACACATATATATGTTAGGTAGGGGAAGGAATTAAAAGAAGGAAAAAAAAGAATATGTGAACTTTTAGTTAAGGAGATGGTAAATAAAATGCTGTACAATAGTAACACAAGCCCACATAGCCTACTACATGTAGGAATACATGTAGATACTATAACACTTAGAAGAGGTTTAGCGGCTCGTGGCGAAATCTCTAGGCGGAAGCTCTAAAACCGTGGGATTTCTTCAGACGAGGAAGCTGGAGAGGGCGTGGGAAAGGATCATGCTAGAGGATCGAAGGGGTGGGGTCCGTTTCCCTTTTCCTTCCTTTCTAACTTGTCTTTCCTGTTGCACCTTGTGCCAATCACCAATGTGACAAGCGGGGTTGATAATGATTAAAGATTGTGACGACCTTTAGAGTATTGGTTGGAAGCTTTTTTTTGAAGCCCAAGGGGGGGAAAAGGCCGCATCTCCCCCGGTAGCTCTAAAATCTAACAAAATACCCAGTCGGGCTTCGGGTTGAATCTTAAAAAGAATCTCATGTGGACATTACGTAGATCTTTTATAATAGTGGACTAGAAAATGAGTGAGAATGAGGGGGAGGGTTTCATCATTCTAAGATCGGAACCAGATACCTAGTAAGATCCCAAGCAGTAGCATTGCTAGGTATTTGTATGTACGGTCGAATTAAACGAGATCATAATCTTGTTCTTTTCTTTCCTTTTTTTAGAAACTTTACATTACATCGATGGATAAGCGCTTGTAGTGTTTAAAGATGCTGGATTAGGCGTGAGGTGGTATGAATGGACAGATAAAATATTAAATCGCTTAAATCATTTGAAGATGTACATGTAGTATGTACATCTATCTTCTAAGAGGTACATATATGGATGTATACCTCACTGGTACGTATTAACGTGGGGTAATTTTTATATCGCCGAAGCAATTGGTCTTTACTTGTGTGTATAAGTCCCTGTATAAGTGTATACGGAATAGTACCTATATACACATATATAGAGAGTGTCCTGGTTATTTCAACAATGCTAGGTAGCTTATTATAATGAATCAACGCTGGATACTTTTAATACCTATAAATACCTCAGGTACATATATGATATGCACACAAAAGGTAAATACATTCGATTGCGAGTATAAATGACTCGTGAATTTAGTACGGCCGTTATGCAAATATTTCAACACCTGGGCGAGACACTCCGGTGTCTATATTTTAATTATATCTTTAGTATAGGATGAGCATCGCCGATGGCATCTTGGCAGCTATGTGGTGTAAGATAGCACGCAGTGCAACCCCACGTTACTCATGTAGTAGTAGTATAGTGGTGGGTGTTGGTAACAATCTTCTCTTTCGTGATCGTGGAGAAGTAAGCCTCTGACGAGAGTACTAAATGAGACCATATCGTGAACAAAGCTATTGTTCCGGGAGTTACACCTCGTGCCACAGATGGCTAAGCCAACTACCAGAACAAAGAAAAAATCTCCATCTTGTGTTACATTTTAGCTGGCTAAATCCGATCTGAAAATCTTGGAATGAAATTCATAACTTCTTCTGTATTGTGCGCTACTCCATAGTTTTACATTGCCAGTCGACGCCCGCCAACCCTATAAGACATAAAGAACCCATGAGGCTTCGTAGAAAGCTTACTGCTTTGCACTGTCATATGCTGATTATATGTACGCCTGTCGTTCTTGGCATTTTCTCCACCTCCCAACATCGGGCATCTCTAATTCACTCTTCAAAATCGATGGCTCCTCTTCTTGTTCGTTCGGTATGCCGTAAAGCCGACGTATGCTCCACCGACTACTAATCCAAAGACAATAAATTTAAAGAAGAACCAGGTCCAGCTGCTACCGCCGCTTTCCTTCGGCTGGGACGATTTGACACTTCCCTTGCCAGGTGTAGGCTTGCTAGCTGAGCCTCCCGTCACATAAAGATTCTTCGCATCGATAGAGATGATATCATGGTTGTCGCTCAACTCGCCTGTCTCAGCGCTGAATCCAAGGTATGTGACAGCAGGGATCGCCGGGGGCTCGTTCGTCTCGAAGCATAGCTTCCATTCATCTTCGGACTGGTACTGGAGTTCTAACTTTAATGACTTGTCCTGAAAGTATGTGAGTTTTAGTTTAGTAGGAACGTTCGCGTTTCGAATGCCTCGGGCAGGGCAGCCAGCAAATTCAGTGTCCTTTCCGTCGTTGTCCTTGTTATATGTTGTCTTGCCATCACCAACCATCGCCATTACATATGGGAAAACGACACCAGGTCGGTTGTTCTTGTAGGTGTCAATGAAAACGCCAAGGCCTTCGAAGTTGTCTGCATGTCCAAAAACCGGTCCGATCTGTCCTCGTTCCTTTGTAAGCCACATCGCAAAGCCATCGCCATATAATTGGTTAGACCCGTGGATCTTGAATTCAACAGTGATTTCCCAATTCGTGGCGGTCATAGGTACTCGAGAAAACAACCATCCGTTTTGCGACGGACGATCCGAAGTTAGACGGATATACCTATCAAGTATAAATTAAAATGTGTATTCGATTTATCAAGTACTAGGTGGTAACCTACGAATCCGTTCGAACTATCGTGTCGCCTCCAAAATCGTACCACCGACTTTGCATCTCGGAGTCCAAGTAGGGCTGCTTCAACGTATGGGTCCGAAGCTGCAAGACAAATGAACTCGTCAGCAACAGCCCAAACAGCCTAACTAACGCGCGCAAGGCTTACAGATATAGTCCTAATATTGCCATCTTCATCGCGACCTACAGCACCCCAAGCCATAGCCGCCAGCCATAGGGCTGACAGCGCTGGAAACCACATTGTCGGTACTCGGGTGATGGGATGTGGGATGTAATCCGAAGAAAAAAAAATAATATAGCAATAATATGCAAGCAGAAGCGAATAAAGAACAAATAGAAAAGGAAGGTTGGAGTGCGACCTAATTCGGCGAAAAGGGGACGTATGGCGGTAAATTGATCGTGTGAGAAGTCGATAGTTTCTAAACGATTTCTACACACAATGATAGCTGGCCTCTCCTCAGCCGTGCGAAAATAAATCCGGGGTTCGCTTTCCTGAAGTGGCCAGCTTGTTTCGCTGAGCTACCCCTGCTTAGTTCTCGGTAAAGTACCTAACCTACCTCTTAGCCTCTTAGGTAAAGTTCAAATAGCAGAATACCTAGATGGTACGAGTAATAAAAATATGCAGCCACATGGAACGCCACAAGGTCATAATCTTCCAGTCTCTTTATGGGTCTATTGATGCAAATATAATTTTAGCCGCATCCAATAAAGGCGGGCCCACGCATTGATCCTTGCAATCTGAGCACAAGCCATGTCCATACAAGTAAAGCCGACGTCAGCGCCAGTCCAAAGATGCAACTAATATGCAACCTATTATTCCGTCAAAGCCGCGTTCCTGACATCTACAATTACATTCAACTTACAGCTCAAAAACCACTCCCATGGGGTATTTAGAGCATTCTTAGGTTTTCAGGATGCTTCAGACTTTGAGCAGTCAGTCGCCAGTACCCTCTGAAATATTTGCGCTTATTGCGCTTCTTATTCTATCCCTTATTGTTCTCCTAATCCAGCGACATTACCTCCCACTACGAACAACGCCAGCCTACCTACTAGTGCCCGTCTTCTTTGCACTATGGCTACCTGCGAGTATCGTGTTATTAGTCCCTATTGATTTGGCATCGAACGCCAGTACCGATGATGAAGCAACAAGAGGGATTTGGCTCCCCCCTAGGGCACTGCTTGTATCATGGAGGATCTCATATTGGCTAACATTTGTCCTGACTTGGTAATATTTAGTCGCATCATATTTGTAGCTATCTAAACCATCTTATTAACAAAACACTCTTTCAGGTTCATACTCCCAATACTTGCAGAATATTCAGATGCTGGTTACCGCGAACCGAAAGACCGAATACTTTACTCGCTGCGATCGAACGCTCAGTACTATGCACTCGTATTTGGCTCGGCTGTACTTGGACTTGTATATTTCTTTATATCATATGGCCCTTCATTCATATCGCTAAAGGGCTTGATATTAGCCTTGGCCTATTGCTGGGGTTTGATTTTAGCCATCTACCTCATGGGCCATGGACTTGTTGCAATTCCCCGAAATTTGTTCCAAAATGCAAGTGCCAGTCACCGACTACATCGGCTACAGAGCCATGCGCCGAAGCTATATGAAAAGATGGAGGATGCCATGCTTAATTTGGAAGATTTAGAGGTCCAAGTGTCAGAACTAAGCAAGCGTAAAACTGGAAGTGCTAGGGATTTCCAAGACTGGATCGAGGAGTTGTCGGATATATGCAATATTCCCGAATCTAGACCTAGAAGTGTTCTCCCTCGAGTAGATAATGACGCTCGCATAATCCCGACAGTCATCACGGGGAAGTACTTGGCAGACCTCACACGCCAACTAGACCGCGCGAGGCATGCTAAGTCGCGATATGTCGATGAGTGGGATCGCTTACTCCGCGACGCTTCAAAAACGCAAGCGATACTAGATTCTGCTGCCTCAAAGAAGCTCGACTTTGGGAGAAGTTCACCAGGCTCCTCGTTCTGGGAGAAGACTACTGTGCTCACTCCCTATACACGGTATATCCTTTACTTCCACATTATACCTTGTCTCCGTATTCTCTTCGGCGGCTTCCTTGCGCTAGCATCAGCTTGTATTATATGGTCCGAGTTAGTAAAAGCAGCTCTACCGTCATTATCAGTTATCCGGTTTACTGTCGTTCATCATTGGACTGGTGACAACGGTCGTATTGGCTTCGCAGGTCAAGTTATCGCAGCACTTTGGATAATGTACATGTGCGCCGCAGCTCTTCATTCTGTAACCGAAGTCAAAGTATGGCGTGGTCGCGCTCTAGTTCGCCGCAATACTGCCCACGAATCGGCATTTTGGTACGCGGGTCAGGTCGCAAAGCTCAGTGTCCCGCTATCCTACAATTTTGTCACGTTTTTATCTCGATCGATATACGAGGAGACCACCTTCTATAGTATCCTAGGGCAATACGTCGACCTTACTCCGCTTGGGAAATGGTTTGACTATTTATTCCCAATTTTTGTTCTCGTCCCAGTGTGCGCTACCTTGTTTGGATTATACGGTAAAGTGAGACGACTCTTCGGATTTGGTGTTGACATTGTGGACGAAGAAGATCAACCCAGCTATGGTAGCGGCTCGTGGCGCGAGGGGAGAGACTTAATAGAGCGGGAACTAAACGGGACATCGATTTCGCGAAGGTTAGATGAGGCTGCGTCCAGATCTGCCAATGGTCAACGCCGCGCCGCTCCTATCTTGACAGTGCCGGCAGCCAGAGCCGAGGGTACTAGAACACCTTTTGCTACATCACCATCATATCACGATGAGCCTGTTGGGAGGTCAGGACGACCCTCTCGACCCGACATCAACGACTCGGAGCCTGAGGATGATAACTTCTTTACGAGCCTAGGGCATCGATTTAAAAACACATTTGATACTATAGACACTCCAAAGTGGATCCAGGACATTGGAGATGGGTTCAAGAAGCCGAAATGGATGGGTGGTAATGACGAGGCTGGCGAGAGTAGTAATAGAACAGGACGGAGTGACTCGGACATACGTCGATGGTTCGGAGGTGATGGTAGGATAAGACTATAAGATAATTATTATTGATACCTAATTAATTCAGTTCCCAATTTCATTTACTATCAACAACTGCTATGACAATAATATACATGGAGTAGGGACTCAAAACTTCCTTCCTTCATGCTCCCTAAGCCCCTAAATAACAGCATGAAGAAACAAAACCACAGTTACAAGTTAACCAGCATGGATCACTTGACACATTTATCAAAGTTCTTTGCAAGGTAGTTAGATAATATTGCTGCTACATACATATATGTATTGGGCAAGATCAAATTCCCTTAAATTAAAGCTTGGGGATAATTAATAGTAAGGTACCTAGGTAGGTAAGTATATACGATCCATAGATAAAACAAATAAGGACCTAGATCTTGACAGCTGTCTAATACTGGCGTTGAATCAAAGGGGCTAGGTCTTCTCATTCACAGCGTGCCCTCTAAGTTATTTTGTTCATAATTAGGTAGCTTAGATCTAGGTACCTTAGGTAGTTACTTACCCCTGAATCCTTTATACTGCCTTCCTACCAACAGTTCACTCTCGTGAACTAAGAAAGCTAGGAGCATACAGCATGGGCTAGAATGTCGGTACTACATAGTAGGTACCTTAGAAGGTACGTAGTCTTGAAGCTCATTGTGCACGTACCTCATGTACGTAGTTACAGCAGTTACGGCAGTCACGAAGGTGCTCAACATTGCCAGGTGCTGTCTTTAGGCACCCGGCAACAACGTTGTAGATAGGTAGAGATAGCTTAACGTAAATTCCTCCCGCCGCACTGGGAAAATTGTTTTTCTTTCCCCAAACAACACCTTCGCAATCACAGGCTTTGTGTGCCAACGTCGTGCTATCGGCCTATTTTCATCAAATCATTATCAAATAGGTTGAATACCGACCTGGGCGAAACCCGATTTATCAAGATCTTTACGCACAAAGCGCCTAGCACACTGTTCAACTGGACAAATGTCGGCGTCCTCAGGTCCCGCGGGTCCCGCTGACCAGGTATGCGATCTTTGCGGAATGACATTCACTCCACGAGCTCTGCGTGAGCACCTAGAGACAGGTCACTTGGGTCTTAAATGTTACTTCCCAGGATCAGACACAGTTCTCTTCGTAGAAGATGATCTTGTAATGGTCGAAGAGTTGCTTCGCTGCAACGAAGATAGAGGTGGTGGATTCAGGGATGGTGAATTTTGGTGTCACTGGCCAAACTGCAATGCATTCAACCAGCCTCATGGGTACAAGTACCCGTACAACTTAAAGCGTCATCTTCGCGTGAAGCAGAAAAGTATTTATCTGTACAGCCTCAGTATTCAGCCTGCAGGTCCTGCTGTAGTCCCCAACCCCCAGCCCGCCCCGCCCGATTATCATGTGCCTGATCAAGCCACAATCGACGAAGCGATCCTTCAGGCACGCCTAGCATTGGCACGACGAGAGGCCAAGTACGAGAGCTTTCGAACCATTGTCATCGCTCACAACGCCGTCGAACCCCTGGCCCCGGATCAACGTACGCAGCTCCGCGCAGGCATGAAGGAAGTGGACGATGCCTTCGACGAAACCTTCAATGCGATCTACGACATTGTTGGCGAGGGCCCCGACGGCAGCCTCATAGAGCTTTGGACCACCTATGCAGATGTGACTCGAGATATAGAGATGTTTTTGAAGTTTTGGCTCAACCACTTCCTCATGCTCAAGGATCAACTGGTGGAGTGGGGTAACTTCATTCGTCTACACGGCGAGTTCCACGAGGTTGTTAACAAGATCCTTGACGCGGTCGGGGAACTGCCTTCATGGCACCGGCCTGTCAAGGCCGAGGAGGCTGATATTAAGGCCGAGGAGACGGCCGAGGAGACTCAGATTAAGTCTGAGGTGAAGACCGAACAGCCTGATACTGAGTAATGCTTCCACTACCTCGGTGTCTCAACTACTATCTCCTCCCCTTTGGTTTGCCAATATTTGCAGGACGGTTGACGTAAGTACCGTGTAATTTTCAGCAAAGTCTTAGAATTACATACTAACTATAATATAGGATAAGGAAAACTGCGGTTGTCTAATGGTGCGGCTTGAGAACTATCCGAACGAGCTTTTTTGCAGGACGGGATGTCCATCATTGCAGTCGACAGCATGTCTTTGACAAGCTATATGCAAATTGCATTTGATTTTGCGTTTGATCTTTCGTTTGATTTTTAACAAAGCCTGAGAGCTTTTTAATATCGCCCATTACTGGTGACTCCATGTATCATAGTGCAATCGTGGAAAACCTCGTTCGTGAGAAAAAGACAAAAAAGAAAAAAAAAGTTTTCTTTTTGGAACTCAACCTACGGTTACATCTCCTGTGATGTTTCAATACCGATGGTTTCATAGGCAGGTTAGCTAGCTTACTATAGATTAAGCCTGATGAACAATATGAATTCGCATGACGCCAATAACCTGTCAAGTCACATAGCTCCTTAATCCATGATAACCGCGAAGTTTCATTACCTGAATGACTCTGTTGACATCTATGGCTTACGGTGTTCTATTGTAAAGCTAACGTAAAACCCGAGTTAAGGTATATTATCTATCAAATTAGATATAAGAGGGCCACTAAAGATGTTTTTATCTCATATATGTCGGGACTCTACTGTCTACTTAGTAGTCATTGTTGTCACCCCCATATCCAGCTCCCTCACGCTTCTCGCGACCCTTTTCTCCTAGGCGGTCACTGCCGAGGACTGAAGCAGCCTCTGTGGTCGGATTAGTATATGACGATAGAACCATGGCAATGAAATATCAATGGTAGGAATGTGGTAGATAATTCCAAGAACGGAAATAGGGGTCAAACTTACTCTCCAGCAGCTTGCCAGCGGTGCTATCTCCCTTACGGCCCGAGGTGTTATCATCATCTCCATAGCTCCCTGAATCGTTGTTGCGGGAACCATAAGAAGAGGAGTTCTGGTTGTCACGGTCGCTCGAACCATAGCTGTTGGAACTAGTGTTCTGAGATCCGTAAGTGTCATTATCGTTGTCGTTATTGCGACGATTAGAAGAGCCATAGCTATCATTGTCTCGGGATGATCCGTAGGAGCTGGTGTTGTTACCAGACCCATATGAGTTGTCATTTGAGCCGTAACTGCTGGTGTTATTCTTGCTAGACCCATACGAATTGTCCTTGTCGTTTGAGCCATAGCTATCGTTGTTCCGGCTAGAGCCATAAGAGTTATCGTCATTGTCTCGACGAGTGTTACTCGAGCCATAGCTATCATTATTCTGACTAGGACGGGAAGAACTAGTGTTATCGTCGTCGTCCCGGCGAGTGTTGCTCGAGCCGTATGTGTTGTCACTAGAACCAAAGGAGTCTTTGGCCCCCGAACCGTATGCGTTTGAGGAGCTGTTGCTATTATCGTTGTCACGGCTGGAACCATACGTGTTGTCATTGTCCTGACGGGTTGAAGACCCGTAGGAATTGTCTGATCGGTCATTACTACCGTAGGTGGTATTGTCATTGCGGCTGGACCCGTACCCTCCCTCGTTGCGAGAGGACTGCAATTAAAACGTTAGACACAATTTGTAAGCTTATAATATATGCATATTACATACGTAGTCGTCGTTGCCGCCGTAGCTCGACTAAATATCATGTCAGTCACCGTAATTAGCAAGAACCCCGGAATATGCTTACACTGTTGTTATTGTCGTTGTAAGACATATTGATGGCTGGTATATCAAGTACTGAGAAAGAGGTTCTAGATATGATGCTTGGGATGAATAGGAATCAGGTACGATTAAAGGCGAAAGAGAGGGGGTGTTATATACGATAGACTCTTAAAGAGCAAGCTTCCCAGCTAAACGAGGGGGAAGCTCTGGGAGGGAGCTCGTCTCGGAGCTACAAGGCGTAACGTCACTAGTAATCTGTCAATAGATCAAAGAGCTATGTCTAAGTTCGGCGAAGGCGAGTGCGCCATGGTGGATATCTTCAGCTGCCCTGGTGAATTCGGGGACTTCGGACCTGGGTATTGCTTGTAAATACTGATATTTTCTAGTTCGAGGCAGCCCATTTCAGCTCCTTGCATCATCCTCGAGCGCAACTACATGTCATAGAACAGGTTTGGGGAGAAATTGACCAGTAATACTAGCAGATTTGTTCGTACAAGATGTAGTCTAGCTTGCTAGATAAATTCGTCATCCCTCGTGGCATGGTAATAGGGTATCACCTTGATAATACAAGATGTCTTGCATCCTCTAGCTTCTAGATCGCTCTGATCTTCCAATATTTCCCGTTTAGGCAAGGCAGCTAAGTAGGTCACAGAGCTTGCATATTTGGCGCGCGTCCATCAAGCCTACTGGCTGAACAGTGCCGGAACTAATCATTACATACTTGACCGCTGCTGAAAAAGCAAATATGGTAGATAATGTAGAATTTACTGCTGATGCTCTCCTATGGGTACGTGTCCTATAAACGCTAATCAACGTCATAGGTATATGATGTAGGGATCGTGATGTATCTATGTATGTAAGTTGTTGTGGGGATGATCTGATAGATTCGCAAGCTAAGCCACGTTGTGCCAAGGAAATAAAGGATTTGCATCCAGCCAGAACCGCGCGAGTTTTATGATGAAATCCAATGAGGTTAGACCCATCAAGAATTACATCTCGGCATAGTCGATCGGTAGGCAGGTAGTAGGGTGGACATACCAGGGGCAGAGGCATATAAGTTGGCAACCTCCGTATCCATGAACCATCCACTCACGAAGCATATGAGAGCGCACATGTTCGGATTAGCAACTTACTAGCCGAGCACTCGCCTACTCCGATAAATGATCACTGATAGGGTGACATGTGTTTAATATTAGAGCAAACAGATACCGAGGCATTAAGGTAAGCCGTTCTCCAGTCTCTATTTCTTGGAGTTTGCTGATATTTGAATACTCATTTGGTAGAAGATAGCTCTACTGTATACTATAATTATACCCTAAGTCGCTACTCTTCCTCGGACTTCAAACTCCGATTAAGTCTAAATGTAAAGATCATAAATATAAGCCTTATAATGAGTATTTCCAAGTAACACTTCCAGCGCCTCCTGGCGTCTTCTAAAGACCATCGTCTCTAGTTATGCATCCATTATGCGCCTATATGACCTAATCTATAGGGGTATCAATACGTATGCACTCTTCGTACTCCGAGTGATGTCTTCGATTACGACAGGCATCTAGTAGTAGTTATAGCAATGCAAATGAAGCAGAGAGCAGTAAGCTATACTAGCGAACCGCGCATATAAACAACATGCATGCAGTGCCGTAGAGCTTTGATGGAAGTTGTTTACTCTCATGATAGGGTAGCGTCAGCTCCACTAGCATGCACAACACCATCGCCGCTCGTGGCAGGTATGGCGATAGGTCTGTTTTGAACTTTCTGAGTCAACGCTACTATCTCCTTTAACATGAGCTCCCGGGTGCTACGAGTTAGCTCGTCGACATCCTCGGGTTTTAATCCAGTTGTAGGAATTGGATCGAGAACTAGTAGAAATTAACAATTAATTCTAAGTGATCGAAAGTGGGATTTTACCTTTCACAGGAATCTTTCCGGATCTGAATATATAATCCTTGATGTAGAGTACGTGCGAGTAGTTGGCCGCTACTACGGGGACGATAGGTACACCAGCCTGGACAGCAAGGTGGAAAGCACCTTTCTTGAAGGGCAAAAGACCGGGGTCCTTTGCGTAACTGCGGGTGCCCTCGGGGAATATGTATACGCTCTGTTTTCGAGTCTGGATTTCCTTAGCAGCACCAGCCATGGCCTGCCTTGCGTCCTTCGAGTTCTTCCTATCAATGAAGATTGTGCCGCTCAATGCCATGAACCATCCCAGGAACGGCACATATTTCAATGCTTTCTTAGCAGTTACACTGCAGTATTTTGGGAATATGCACCCAAGCATAAGAACATCTAGTTCACTCTGGTGGTTTCCAATGAACACGGCTGGTCGAACGGTATCGAGATGTCGCTTCGGATCGTCAACTTCGAACGTGATTCCTATCGTAATTGCCATAACATATTTGAAAGCACGTGCTGTCGTCCATTGCGCAATCTGTTCGCGACCGACTATTCGAAGGAATATTGAAGCGAGTACTCCATAGGTGGCGCATATTACTATCGAGATGTAGGCGGATAACGTGCGGGCGGCAAAGCCTGCTACGGGAACGACGGATGAGAGCATGAATAGCGAGATAACGAGGGCAAAGTAACCCCCGAGAAAGTAGCCTAGGATCGAAGAGAAGGACATGCTGTACGAGGGCAACGGCGAACCCGTCGCGAGGAGAGATCGAAAGTAGTCGTAGCAGACTGATAAAGAAGGGTCAAAAGTCAAGTGATAGATTTATACTAGACACTTGTGACAAGAAGTCGAGGTATGGTTGTATTTTCGGTCACGGTTACTTTCATAGTCACAAGTCCATTCTTGTCCCATCGTAGTATCGGAAAATTGCGGCAGAATATTTCTAAGTAGTGGATGTATTTTCTCACCGACAACTTGGCCAACTGGACTGGGCAGAGTTGGATTTGTTGAGGGGCGATAACTTTTTTGAGCTTTGTACCTTCGTAGTTCCCAAGTTCCCAGTCATCTGGGTGGACATTTTTGGGTGTCGGCTAGGGAAAATCCATACAGTGCATGTGATTTTACCCCACAAAACCTTATCGAGCTGCGAGCCATGAGCCATGCACCAAACGAGATGTATGCATTAGGTACCTACCTAGGTACCTAACCTAACCTAACCTCAGGTCCATTTCTCCAAGTAATCGGAAGCTGCTTACCTACACACATACTACGTATATAATATACATGTGCTTCATGCATCATACCTCATACCTAATTTATTTGAGAACGTGACTCTTAGTGAATTAACCAACAAGGACGACTTCGGGAGTCCTTTTCAACCCTATCATTAAAAATGCGAGTTTAGAATAGAAGCAATGGTTTAACAATAAATACGGCCACAGAATCTATTAAAATATAGACAAGAGGATTACTTACAGTTAGCAAATTTTGTTATGAGCTAAAGTTAAGAATTAGACATGGATAGCGACAGCGAACCAGCAGGCATTTAGTAATGCTAGTATAGTATAGATGAAGATAGTGTTAAACATGAACTTACTCTGGAATGCGAGGAGTCATTATTTAACGGGTTGGGCTAATGACAAGCTAAACCCTCCTTGAAAACTTCCAAGCAAGAAAATTGTATTCCAAGTCTGTATAGGCTGTTAGTATTAGACGAACTTCCTAGTAGTTGTAATTTCTTCGATAATGAAGGTGCTCATATAGGTATTTATGAACTACTGGGTAAAGTAGAGAATAAACAGACAAGTATTCGGCTAATTTATTAACTCTATGACTTGAAAGTAAATAATAAAGCAGTCTACTCACAGAAACCTTGCGATATTACGAAATACAACATCTTCAAAGGAATCAGTTTATTATGACTGCCTAAGTGTTTAGACAGGCATATACAAGAATGAGAAGTGGTCTAGGAGCCACTATACACCTTGTATAGGGAGACAGTTATGGTATAAGCCAAAAAGTATTACCTACCATCTTACACAACACAATATTCCAACATTTTCCCCCCATGGAACTATCTACACACATACATTTTTATGCTCACCCAATATCCCTGTCTTAATCAACCAGGTAGCCGTGGTCTAATGCCGGTAGCCGTTTAATATAACGACCAGCTTTACGACCAACTTTACGACCAACCTTTACGAACGGGGTCGGAGAATCGCGAATGTCCGGTCCACTTGGCTATGGAATGTATTTGGTATTGCAATTAGTAACAGATTCAAAAATTATGCTGCTTATGCTTAAGTCGGACTCTATGATTTGCGCAAACCATCGCGATGTTGACTTCTGTAGGCTACAGCATCTCAAAAACATTTCCTGATGGGGACTATCGGCGTAGAATATCGGCGTAGAACACCGGCGTTAAGCAATATGACCTATAGTTCACTAACTGACGCGGGATACACCGCTAATATACATCGGACTCTTACATCGGATTTTCGCATCCGTCCTCGACGGCATCCAAGCCGTAGGGCTAGTAACATATAGGACTCTAATAACGTACGATGCCTCGCAGGTCGAGCTAGGTGTTTGCGTTTTGTGGTACAGCACGTGGAGGTTCCCTTTTAGGTAAGAAATAGTGGTTTTGGCCAATGGGAAAAGCCACGTAGGCGGGGCGAATGCAGGACACCGAGGTTCCGAGGGGAAGAGTATAGACAGACTGGAAAGCATGGAGGTCCACTACTTGAATTACTTGAATTAGGTGCTTTAGGTACTTTAGGTAAGTAATGCACAGTAAGCCTTAGGTATCACCCCAACTATATCCATACGATCAATCCAATACAATTATACACCCAAACACCTTACTTACCTAAAGTTAAATGTATGTAAGATTCAGCTAGCTTCTAACTTAGAGCAAAGAACCGCCACTGACATAAAAAAAGGATCATCCCGTCCCCCGCCGTTCGTGCATACAGCAGGCATTAATAAAACCCTGTATCTCGTATGTTACTAGTGTAGTCTCGTATGTTTGGTCCTTTTCTGCGCGGGTTTTATCCCCGATTTTACCTTTTACCTAAGAGACTTAATTAGGTATGTATAGATCTAAGCCGCTTATTCTGTCCTGCATATTTAGATGGTTTAACTCCCAATCATATTTTGCTTATCAGTCATCAATTCCGAATTTGTTCCCAATTTGGTGGGTCGCCGAGTCTCCGGAAATACTCTGTTACAGAATTGCATACGACGGAGAATCTAAAACCTTCCATAAGGACGTACATAAATCAAAACTTCTTTCCCCAAACTAAACAAACTTTCCAATTGACATAAGTGTTCCACATCAAATCAATTGGTTACAACTCTTTCTTTTTTTGGACCTGTTGTGATCGTCACCATGGACGCTGTACTTCGTCAATCGAAGGCTATGTGCCCCTTCTTGAAGAAGGCTTCTCCCGCCACTCTTCGTGCTTTATCAACTTCTACTCGCCCTCAAGCTTCTCAATGCGGCGGTACTATCTCCAAGTTGCAGTTGCTTGGTCAGCGCTGCCCTGTTATGGGCAAGGCGCTTGCTATTCAATCTGCTCGAGTTAGTAAGACTTCGATAGCCGGTGCCGCCACCGTGGGCGGAATTCGCAATTACTCCAGTCAGACAAAGCCGGGGAGAGCCAAGATTCACACCAGCCGCTCGCACGAAGCAAGACCTTTGGACTCCCCCGTGTTTAATGCGCGCGAATCAGGTATATATGCGCTACTATATTTAAATCAAAGTCGAATACTTACAATTTGGTTTTAGTCCAGTTCCCTCCGTCCGTCCATGCCAATCGCAAAGCTAATGCGACAACTCCGCTGAGCAAATCATCGAGCTCAGATGGTAAATTCGATTACAATGGCTTTTACGATGCAGAACTCGACAAGAAGCACAAGGACAAGTCATACCGCTATTTCAATAATATCAATCGCCTGGCTAAGGAGTTCCCCCAGGCTCACGGGGCTACTAAGGAAGATCGGGTGACGGTGTGGTGTTCCAATGATTACTTAGGCATGGGCCGCAACTCCCGAGTCCTGCAGCAAATGCACGAGACTCTCGAAGAGTATGGTGCTGGTGCAGGAGGAACCAGGAATATCTCGGGCCATAACAAACACGCAGTCGAACTCGAGGGAACTCTTGCTAAGCTGCACGCCAAAGAGGCCGCGCTCGTATTTAGCTCCTGCTATGTTGCTAACGATGCGACGCTCGCAACCCTTGGAAGCAAGCTGCCCGAATGTGTTATTTTGTCCGACAGTCTAAATCATGCGTCGATGATCCAGGGGATTCGCCATTCGGGGACTAAAAAGATGGTCTTCAAGCATAACGATTTGGAAGACCTTGAGGCTAAGTTAGCTTCTCTACCGCTCCATGTTCCTAAAATTATTGCTTTCGAGTCAGTCTACAGCATGTGTGGCTCGATTGGACCAATTGAAGGCATCTGCGATCTGGCTGATAAATACGGAGCTATCACATTTCTCGATGAAGTCCATGCTGTCGGCATGTATGGCCCGAAGGGTGCCGGTGTTGCCGAACACTTAGATTACGAGGCCCACAAACAAGGCAGACCCGAGGGGACTGTTATGGATCGCATAGACATCATAACCGGTACTCTTGGCAAGGCATACGGATGTGTTGGTGGATACATCGCCGGAAGTGCGAAACTTGTGGATATGATTCGATCTTTGGCGCCTGGTTTCATTTTCACGACATCTCTTCCACCGGCTACTATGGCTGGTGCTACGGCCGCTATTGAATACCAGATCGACCACAATAACGACAGACGACTCCAACAACTACACACTCGTGCTGTTAAAGAGGCGTTGGATGCCAAGGATATCCCTGTCATACCAAATCCCTCACATATCGTTCCGCTTCTAGTTGGAAATGCCGAGCTTGCGAAACAAGCATCGGATATGCTATTAAACGATTACCAGATTTATGTGCAATCTATCAACTACCCGACTGTACCCGTAGGTCAAGAACGTTTGAGAATTACCCCGACTCCAGGCCATACGAAGAAGTATCGTGATGAGCTAGTTGCTGCGGTTGATGAAATCTGGACCAAGCTTGGTATTAAGCGAACTTCCGAATGGGCGGCTGAAGGTGGCTTCATTGGTGTTGGTGAAGCCGGTGTCAACGCACCCGAACCTCTCTGGACTGATGAGCAGCTCGGAATCGATCAACAAATCGCCAAAGAAATCAAGGAATCGAAGCCAGCTAATGGTTTCATGGAAACTCTGCTCGAACGCGAGAACCTGGCTACGGGCGTGAGCGCTACCGCCTAATTGCATTCTAGTCTCAGTGTAGACAGATATTCATCCGCAAAAGGGGAGCTCACCGGACCTAAACCACGTTCTTTCGGGCGTAGCGGAAGAATTGATAGTGTGTGCGATACTAAAATTTTGATCTGATTCGAACATAGCCCGTACTATTAAGACTATCGTCTTAAGTAAAGTACCGAGGCCAACCATATAGCTGAACCCAACAGTATTTACAGAACAATACAATCAGCGCCATTTCGCCAGTCGAATGGATAACGCTCATTGAACTTCACATTACTTTAATCTTTGTATAATCTCTGTATACGTGATATTTATTACTTGCTTTAATGTGGTGAATCTATGAAGAAATCTTCGATCTTGGTTAGTATGAATAAGGTAGTTAAGGAAAATCGAGAGTAGAAAGGGGTCTGCTCCATTAGTCTTATTTACGAACTTAACATTAATACTATTAACCCCCCTATATACTTCAAACTAACCCCTCCATTAGGACGAGTTTAAGACGACCCCTGGCTTCCTATCGCTGCCACAGAAAATGGCAACGTAAGACTCAACATAAAATTGGATAATATCTGGCAAGCTGGCAATGGGCAACCTTTGCACCACGCCGAGCATACTAGGATAATTTTAGACTTGACTCGTTCTTTGAAGGCTAGAACCAGCTGCCTGCGCGGAGAGAACGACCAGTGGCTAAATAGACACGTAACTCGGTGCAGAGGATCTCACCTCGACTATTTACCCGTTCTTGGCTTAAGCATCGTTAATCTGAGTAGTCTCACGTACCCCACAGTCAAGACGCGGAGGTCACATCTCACGGAGCTTAACACAACGACCACCTGGTTTTCGAGCATAATCGGCTGCTTCTCCACGTGCTTGAAGTGCCAGATGGTAACCTATGGTACATGGATGCTACCGTTAGAATACAACAGCGATCTAGAACGAGGTATAGCAATTACTATGGGGTTACCGGCAAATATGGAGCATACCGGTCACTGTCTTGTTTGGGAGTATCCCATGGAGTAGTTCTAATGATAAAAACGGGGATATTTCAGGGTGAACTTTGTAAACTGTAGACTTCTCAGAGTAATCACGATAATTGCTTCAACGTAGCGACTATGAGGTTAACAGATCTAATCGTCGCCTCCGGCACCCTGCCATTCGCATCGGCAGCACCGGCGTGGTTGAGCCGTCGTCAGTCGGGATCGACAATCACTGTCGACCTGTCGAAGACATACCAGACCATCGACGGGTTCGGCTGCTCCTTTGCCTTCCAGCGAGCAAACCTGATCACGAATATGTCGGACAAGACTAAGCAGAGGGCGCTCCTAGATTTGCTCTTCAACACAACCTCGGGAGCAGGTTTGTCTATCATCCGCAATGGCATCGGCTCTAGTCCGGACAGCAGTTCCGACCATATGAACACGTTCGCGCCAAAGGACCCAGGCGGGCCAACTGCCGCGCCTCAGTATCAGTGGGACGGCAAGGACTCGGGCCAGCTGTGGTTAAGTCAGGAGGCGTACAACACGTACGGAGTGCGCCAGATCTACGGCGATGCTTGGAGTGCCCCGGGATATATGAAGGTACCTATTCTTCTAGTACTTCGAAATGAATAAAACTAATTACTGAAAACTCGCGGTAGTCGAACGGTAACGAAGCTAATGGCGGCACTCTATGCGGTGTCTCCGGAACTAACTGCCGGAGCGGTGACTGGAGACAGGCGTATGCTGACTACCTCGTCCAATACGTCAAGTACTATGCCGAAGCTGGCGTTCCCGTTACTCGGTGAGTTGACAACTATTTCCTAACAAAAGCTTACACTCCCTGTACCGGTAACTAAACAAATTGTTCCTAGGATCGGCTTCCTCAACGAGCCTGAGTTCACGACAAGCTACGCATCGATGAATTCCAACGGCGCGCAAGCGGCCGACTTTATCAAGGTCCTACACGCCTCGCTCGAAGCAGCGAACTTGACCTCGCAAGTCGGCATTGGGTGTTGCGAATCGGAGGGTTGGGGCAACCAAGTGAATATGGTTAATGCCATCAAGTCTGCCGGCGCGGAAGACCTGCTCGCTACGATTACTTCGCATACTTATACTGGTGGGCCGAATGGTCCGATGAATTCACGGTACGTAGCGATATTCTTCAAGCAAGATCTATTGAACAGAAGCTAACATATTCATAGTATGATACAACCCCCCCCCCCCCTTTTCCTACCCAGATCCATCCCCCTTACTCTTATCCTCTTCTTGGACAACACATAACCAAGCCCCTACCCTATTTACCCACAATACTAACACACCAACAGGCGTCCCCGTCTGGCTCTCCGAACAATGCGACCTGCAAGGACAATGGACGACGTCCTGGTACAGCTACGGCGGCGCAGGCGAGGGCCTAACCTGGGCCAACAACATCTACAACGCGCTGGTCAACTACAACATCTCGGGGTACATATACTGGGAAGGCGTGCAGTGGCCCTCGCCCAACACCAACGAGAAGATGATCCGCGTCGACCAGCAGGCGCCCTACAACTACGAAGTCGCCAAGCGTCTGTGGGCCTTCGCCAACTGGTCACGCTTCGTGCGGCCCGGCGCTATCCGCGTCGCGAGCAGCGGCGGCTCGGGCGTCAAGAGCGCTGCTTTCAAGAATGTCGACGGGAGCATTGCTGTCGTTGTCATTAGCACCGGTGGTTCGGCGAGCAATGTGAGCATTAAGCTTAACGGGGCTAATGCCACGGAGGCTACGGGTTGGGTTACGGATCAGACGCACGATTGCGCGCAGATCAATGTGACTGTTGCTAGCGGCTCTATTACTGGTAGTGTTGCCGCCCGCTCTATTACTACTTTCCATATCCCGGCACCGCCTGCTCCCCCGGCTGCCAGGAGCGAGGAGAGTCTGGGTGGTTGGCGGTTTGCGTGAGAGTTGAGTTTGTGGTTACTTCACTGGAGATTTTATAAAAGTTTGTGTTAAATAGTTCTATACTTACTTGGCTTACGAATAAAATGTCCGTTATGAGTCCTTATAAGTTTCTATGACTTTCTTATCAGCCTTGCCCAAAACATGAGACAATATCGAGGGTACTTTCATGTGCGTTAAGGCGTCATAGCAATACTAATATCACGACCTTATACCCGTAAGTCCAAGTATCTCATACCCGAGACTAAAACAAGGGTAATGCATATATCTCGTATTTACCACTTGAACAAAGCCAATCCCCCAAAAATCATACTAATCACTCACACCACAACTTCCCCATCCATCTACAAGTTACTCATCAACCCCTTCAGCACCTCCTTCATCCCCGGCCCCGTCTCCTTCACCAACTTCGCCACCTCCCTGAATTCAGGGATCCCCGCATCCCCCATGCACTCGTAGAGCCAGCTTTCACTAGTCGTCACCACCGCCCCCGCAGCTCGCAGCCGTGCAAACGCCACCCGTGCGTCCATCTGGTTGCAGCTGCTGACGCCGTCCGCCAGCACGTATACCTTGTGCCCGCGTTCGAGCAAGTCGAGAGCGGTCTGCGTGACGCAGATATGTGTCTCGATGCCTACGATGGCGACCTCGCTAGGTAGGGGCCCATTGGTTCCCGTTGGGTCTGCGTGCGGGAAGCGAGATGCTACTTCCGGGGCGCGCAGCACTGTAGCGGTAAGTGTTAAGGGTCTATAGGAATCTAGAGGTTTGCGACATGGCCCTGGGGTGATGATGCCTTCACTACTGGCTGAGGAGCCTCCGGGCTTGGAAAAGGGGAAGAGGATCTTAGTAATACTTACTACTAAAGGCCGTCTTATCTGCGTCAACTGCAGCGCCCGCCGTCAACTCCTGAAGCTCAGAGACGGTAGGCCCGAGCTTTGCGCCATTCTGCGTCGTCACGATGACGGGTATACGGAGGATCTGGGCTGCGCGCAGGACTTTCTGCGTCGTCTGGAGACTGGTGGGTTTTTGTTAGTAACGCTCAAGCTGCAGTTAAGGAGTCTTCATTGACAGGTATCTTCGGGTATAACATAGAGGCGAGGCTTAGGATTGTAGTGATAGATATAATATGCATTACGTTAATAATAGCAATAATGATGGGTTCTATACATCAAGTCAAACGACCAGATTGCGGAGCGAAACTTCTCCTGCATGTCACAGACGCTGTACGGTATCCTCAGTCAGCTTCTTGATATCTCATAGACAAGAGGAAAACAGCTTCCGCCGCCGAACCGAACTTACAAGACCACCGGTTGTTCTGTAAACTATTAGTCCCATTATCACCTCTGAATCTCCTTTGGCTCCAAGAACCAATAATTGCAAACTCACGAAAACGTCTCTGCGGCTGATCCGCCATAGTGGAAAACCTAGTATATTTCTGACCGGCCTGGGACGTATAATAGTGTAGAGGCGAGAATACGATCGGCTGTCGCCGTAGTCCTTTAGTAACTGTAAATCTAGATGCTCTCGTGAAATTCATCAAAGCCCGGTTTGCCTCCACCATATCGCGCCGGTAAACAAAGTGAGTGCGCTAATGGAATATAGTGTTTGACTAGGTTAGTTATCCGAATAAAGAATCCCGAGCTTGGAGCGAATGAATCTAGGGATTATACATTTAATAAGTAACAATGCCGAATGCGGGGCAGGAACGGGAACGGGATCGAGCGGGGATGGGGAATGGTATAGCTTATCGATACTCGAATTACTTCTATGTGTAACCTTGGGTACTTATAATCATAGCCCCTTATATTATTCCATCATGTATTTCGTGGTAGTTTTGTCTAGGTTGATGTCGAGCCTATATACTCTTATAGACCCAAGTTCTTAAGCCTGTATAACTAGCTAATATAAGATAAAAACCAACCATCAAAAGATGAATTACTCCAAAAGGAGAGATTGTTATATAATCCTGCTATATAACCTACCATCTATGTATCTAATCCTATATCCATTATACCAAAGTAAAATTAGATACTCAAGATACCACCGTAACCTTAGCCCTCTTCAACCACTCCACATTCCCCTTAACCGTAGCTTTCCTCACGTTATACAACTCATCAATAAACGCCGGGACGAACGTGCCCGGACCCTTGACATCGGGCCTCTCCGCTGCTAGCTCCGCCGCGATGCCGTAGTGCAATATCGCGGTTATAGTCGCGGCAAGCTTGTCGTTAGGGTGCGCTGCGACTGCAGCTGAGATGGCTGTGCCTAAGCAGCACCCTGTGCCCGTCACCATTCCTAGGTACTCGTGGCCGTTTCCAACTGCGAACACTGACCCCCCGGCCGTCACCAGATCCGTCTTCCCGGTCATTACAACGACATGTCTGCGGAGCCGAGCTAGTTCCTTAATCGCGGACCCTAGCTCCTGGAGGTTCTGGTTGCCAGGGCCACTGTCTACACCTCGTTGTTGAACGTTGGATCCCCCGGGAACACAAGACAGGACCTCCGATTGGTTGCCCTTGAGGACGTCAACGTAGCCACCACCAAGAATAGTCTTGACAGCCGATCGTCTTATAGCGGTTGCGCCGGCACTATACACATTTGTTAAGTTACTAACTGTATGTAAAGACTCAAAAGTATAGCATGTTGAGACTTACCCCACAGGATCATACACGACGGGCTGTCCTGCATCATTGTATGCTTTGAGAGCTTTCAAATAATTCGTCAACCCATCCGGCGTAACCGTGCCCATATTAATAACCAGCGCACCCCCCAGCTTTGCCAAATCCCTAGCCTCCTCGCCGTAGTTCGCCATGATAGGGCTGGCGCCAACACTTAGCGCAACATTGGCAGCGAAGTTCTGGACGACTAGATTGGTCATATTATGGGAGAGCGGTTTCTTGCTGTGGATGGCTTTAATAATAGACGGTACAAGAACAAGCAGCTCCTGGGGCGATCTCGTCTGCTGGCCTGTAGTCACGCCGAACTTTGCGAATGCAGGCGGTGATTTGACTAGCTGGAGGAGTTCTCTTGAGGCTGTCTCCGGGTCTCGGGCTGCCATAATGGCGCTCACAACTGCAACGCCGTCAAGCGACTTCCCCTTTCCGGAGCTCTGCCATACTACACGTGATACATTGGATGCATTGATGCCGCCAATGCATACCGTCTTTACGGACCAGTTCTCGGCTGCGATCCTAAGTAGAATTTCCTGGAGGCCTTCCACTCCGATAATGCTCTTTGTATTTTCTTTTCTATAATATTATTAGTTAAATACATCTTGATGATCTTAAGGTTTCTTACGTAGATGTTGCGAACACAGTCCCAATCCCCAAATAATCAGCGCCTCCTTTAGCCGCAGATTCTACTTCAGCAATGTTGCTCACGGTAACGCCAATAATAGCGTCTTCTCCTAGGATCTTTCTAGCTATCGGTAGATCTATATCGATATTTCAGTCAGTCAATTTACGAAGGTGTTACGTCATCGGAATATGAGTTTAGGGAACCCATTTTTGGGAAGACCATCTTACCAAGATCATCCTGTCCGATATGCACGCCCTCGCAACCGATCGCAAGCGCAACATCTATGCGATCGTTGATAAGTAGCGGAATATTGTACTTCTTAGTGATCTGGTGTAGCTTTCGGCCCGTTGATACCAGTACACCTGTATCACTAGTTTTGTCCCTGTATTGAACACATGTGACGCCACCCTTTAGAGCGGCTTCAACTACTTCGCATATATTCGCATCGCCAAGAATAGCGGACGTCGAGTCTGTCACCAGATATAACGAGTAATCGACCTCGTGCTTCGGCATTTTCTAACATGTAAGAAGTTAGTGAGAAGCTGCCTAGGGACGACGAGGCCTTTTGTGATAATTTACACACCAATTGTGTAATCATCCGTCTATAACGTTAATATGATATTAGGTATTAAGATATGTAACTAGCGGGATTGATCTTCAACTTAGGTATTCCACATTTGCACATGTCACTCACTTCTCATCAATATACCCTTAGGTATCTGATAGGCAGGTCTGGGCCGAACTAATGCACCCGAACCCAAGTACGTGAAGCTCATGAGCCACCAGTTGTTAGTCCTTCTAGTTAGGGTTAATTTACGTATACCATGACTGATGTCATTTACCTAGCTATTTGGCATTTCTTTTTATTCTTTTCTTAATCATATCTATCTACGACCAAGTAGAACTACTGGAATCATAGCAGAGAGCATTAACACACGAGCTCAGCAAACCATCATCAAGCATTACTCCGTTATCTCATAGAGCTCACTTCTGTTCAAGTCTGCTGCTCTTTACTCAGCTGCTGCAGTCGGCGTTCTGGGCTTGCCCGACGAGCTCATCCACGAAAAAGCTGATGCGCTACCAATAGGGTTTGTAGAAGTACGCGGCGTTCCCGATGCGCTTCGAGCCTCACGCGTAGTTGTGTTCGCTTTCGGTTCCACGCTACTAGACACCGCTCGCTTCGATTCCCATCGGATACTAGTACTGCTATTGCTGACACTATCTGCCCCAACATGGCTCTTACGTCTAGGTTCGGCGCTACTTTTGGGCGTCGAAGCTGGTTCGTAAGACGTCCCCGTTCGTGCCGAGGATGATGCCGCTGACTTTGTCGACTTCAGAACTTTCATACTCCGAACTCCACGCCCAGCAGGTTGATATCCACTCAACGGGGAAGCATCCTTTTGTTCGTTGCCATTCAGAGCAGGTCCGTGGCGCCACGAATTCCAGATGCTCCCTGCCGCTGAGGATCGCCGCTGATGGTCTCCTGGTGCATCATTCGGCTGAACTTGGGGCTCCTTCGTACCTGACTCCGAGCTACTCATCTCCTTGTAGTGCCTCTCACTTTCACCGCCGCTCTCTGATATGCTACTTGCCCCAGTAGTTGCAGCCTGCTGGCTTGCTAGTTCTGAAGATGGCGATGCAAGTGCTCGGGCGTCATCCTCGCCGTGCATCTCTCTCGTCTGAGCTCTGTCAGATTCCGTGGCCGTAGTTGCCTGTGACTTGGCTTCTCCCAAGACAAATGGACGCGCTGTGGCGTTCAACTTCGGTTTCTCGGGGAAGATGGCCATCGTACGAATATGCTTGAAGATGCCATTATCTTCGGGGCGGACGAAGGGTACAGACAGTTTCTCACGTTCGCTACTGTACAGTGTCATACGGTTCTGCGAGAACAGAATATCAGCACAATGCTCTCTCAGTGCCTCGCTACCAATAAAGGTGCGGATAGTCTTTTTGGCTTCGATATTGTCGGGCAGATCTACCCCTGCTACTTCGAACGTGCACGTCAAACTCGGTATCTGCGGAGCTGGACTCATTCCTCGAGAATTCGGTTGCGACACGGTTGCCTCTGTCAAGTACACGGGTAAACGGATTCGGTGAACACCATCCAGATCGCGATGAATATCACGTGTCAAATCCAATTCTTTGATCAAAGAAAATTCGACAACCGACTTCTGCGACCCGGTGCACACGACTGCGTAGAGTAGAGTATCGTGTGCAAAATTAGGAGCCAGCCAGCATCGGATAATTGAGGGCACGGAACCCAACACAAACAGGCTCGGCGGTGGCTCTGGAATTCCAATCGGAGAATCGTCATCTTGACCGGCGGGTGTAAACGTAGTGTCTATACCTAAGCTACTTCCGCGTCCGGAGGCAATAGAATGATGAGAGTGGACCGAATGGACCGAATGGCCGGCAGAGCTATGCCTGCCATCCGACTTGTGAGACAGAGAACGTTCCATCATGTTATGGTTGCCAAGGCCGCTGCCGGGTCTGATTGGACCGAAGTCGCCTGAATGACGACCGTTTTGCGCCCAACTCGAACCCTGGAGAGCACTCTCATCGAAGCGAACACTATTCGCTCTAGAAGCCGCGCCGCGCCTTGCCGGTTCATCTTCAGTATCCAAGTGCAAACTTCCCAGAAGACTCTGGCCCTGCTCCTCAAAATCGTCAAAAATTTCGTTTGGAGGCATTTGAAGTGGCCCTAAAAAGCTGTTAGAATCTATAGTAGCTATTATATCCGTGATAAACACGAGAAGAACGAACCATGCTGTGGCGTACCGCTTAGAGCGCTGGGAAACGGCGAATTCCAAACAGATTTGAGCGCGGCATCGTTAGCTTGGTGCTTCTCCAACCGAGAAATTCGTTCAGCATGGTTATTCTGTATCATCTGCATCTGCTTGACGTCCATTTGGACACTGTAGAATTCGTCACGGGAAACCGGGAAACGCGGATCCATGCCAACCCAAATTATTAACGTCACAATGTGCGTAAGCAAGACTGTTAACAAGATAACCGGATTTAACTAAATTCAGTGGGAGGAGAGGCTCGATCTGCCTAGGGGGGCTTTGATAGAGACCGGAAACAACGGGATCAAAAGGTCGACTTCTAAGGAACTTGGATGGCCGACTCGTATCATCAAATTGTGATGATGTGCCAAATTGTAGCCCATCGACTTCATGTATAGTTCTATAAAAGGTGCTCTGCGGCGCAATCGACTCCCCGTTCGAATTGATGCGACCTCTATCCTTAGTATGTGAAAGACGGAGTCCACCACCACCTCCTCATCGCAGAGGACCGAATGGTCACTTTGCGAGTTACTGTGTAGGGCAATATTACTATGTTCTAGTCTTAGTATATGTTGATATTTAATGGTAGGAGGTTGTTCAAGGTCGAAACACGAGGGCTTCCGGCGGAGATATGGAACGGACGACGCGGTAAGGCGGTGTTAATTTGCAGTATCGATCAAGCGACCTTATCGTTAGAGAAGCTGCTCGAGAATATTTTGCGGTCGAGAAGGACGAGACAATTCTCGTAGCACCAAAGACGAGGTCGGCGTAGCAACGATATATTACAATCACAAACTTAGATTACATGCCAATCGAACTCTTTGTAGATGGCGGACGACGTCTGGTTCGTCTAATCGGTGGTGGCGACGGGGTTTCGCAGGTGATCTACGGACGTAGGATTTTTAAGTAATCGAAGGCGAAGTCAGGTAGAGCGACTGAGGAAAAAGGAAACAGTTCAATCGATGTCCTAAGTTTCAGGATGGCACACGAGATGGATATATTGGGCGGGATAACAAGATGGAGTATCAAAGCGAGTTAGCTACCTTGTAAAATGTGGTGCAAGGCAAAAAAGAAAAAAAAGGAATTAAAATTATCGAAGAAGGAGGGAACTTCTGAGAACAGGGCGGTTGCTAAAATTGAGGTTATGGAGTTTTTGAATGATGACTGCTTGTAGATTATGGATTCTCATAAAAATGGATGGCGGTTCAGAGTAGCAGTGGCAGTTCACGTTCGCAGGCACTTACCCACCATTGGATTTCCTTAGCGCGCATCAACTTTCTAGTCTGCTAGTACGTACCACAAAAACCACAAAACCATATTTAGTAGGTACTTTTGTACCTAAGTTACCTAAGATTAGGTACCTAACTATAGGTATCTATTTCCTAATGCACTGGCCAAGCGGCTGCTGACTGGGTTGATGCTGACATCAGGTACCCTACCTGCCTACCAAGTCAGGAACCCTACAGTAAAATCTCCGAATAACAACTTCAATTCCCCTAATGCAATAATAAGCATGTAATGTATGTCTTGCATGTTTTACGGTTTTCAGCCTTTTACAACTACATATGTAGATAATCATCACTTGCACAAGCTTCATGTAGGAAAGTCGCATTCGAGCAATCTAGGCTATTATTTTCAAGAAACCCCAAGGGCTTCTACGGTACATACATGTAGGTATGTATGTATGTATGTATGTATGTCATATCTACATTATGTATGAACAATTACAACGTCCCAGGGTTGAGCACACGCCAATCTGGAAAAACTCCCTGCTTCTCTGGAAATGGTCCGATATGTGGCTTGACAAGATCAAATAAGACACTGTAAGCATCTCCGCTCATATGTAATCCATCTGGCAAAAGTTGTTCCAAGGCACCTCTTTTACCTCCAGGATATCCTAAGGGAGACCCGCCCGCATCGAAATCCGCTGTTAAGGAGGTAGCTTTATCCAGGATAGCTTTCTGGAGGTCGATAAGCACCACCCCAGGAATTTCCGCCGCCACCTTTCTGGCCGTCTCAGAGTAAGCTGCGCTAACGGCCGCTTGCCGCGTTGCCTGCGGATGTCCGAGGGCCAGATCAAGCTCGGTAATTCGGATTTCGTCAATAGGAGGGGGCGTAACAAGCAGGATCTTAGGGTTGTGGGCTTGAATATATTCGTGAGTGATTATCTTAGTCAAGTTCTCCTTATATTGATCCATTGGAACACCCTGAGTATTGGTCGGAATATCGATGCACGCATCATTCGCACCTAGCAAGACTAGCTGTAATATGCAATCATCAGGCTCTGCAAGCATAAATACGCCAGGCGCACAACGAACGAGAACTCAGGCAGACAAGCGAATATTGTCACTTACAAGGTACTCCATCCTCGGATTTGAGGGTGACGGCGGCAAGAATATCTGCGGAAGCAATTGCAAGGCATTCTTGGTATTGTAACCAGAGAATCCTCTGTTGATCACGTCTAGGTGTCGCATACACTCTATGAACGGTTCAGAAATAAGCACGATGAGCTTGCCTGAGAATGTGTTGACATACGACTTTGTAGAGCACCTTGGAACGAGAAGCCACCTTGAACTTCGCTAGCGCCCTGGAAGAGCGAATCCCCGAAAAGGACCACTTGGTTATATGGTTTCTATCCCGTACATTAGATTCCGAAGTATGAACCTGATAGTAAGTAAGAGAGGGAGAGTATGTCGTGACACTCACAGCCATGGTCTCAACTGAGTACTTAGAAGAATGTAAGTTTCTCAATACTAGTAGCAAGGTTGAGATTGAAACTAGCCACGCCCACAAACTGCCTAGGTACCGGACAAAACTCAAGCTAAAATAGTGGACAGAGTGATGAGGGGAGCGTCGGTCGGCTACCCGTAACGCATGCATAGGTAGGTAGATAGATAGGTACGGCCCGATCACTGCGGGAGTATTTCCACCGAAGGCGTTAGAACTAGAACGTACCCGCCAATCAGGGGTTAGGAATAATGATCTCTTCTCGATTTCCGCCGTATAATATATCCCCTCGGAGCCGTAACTGTTTAACCATGAAGAGTTTACATTTATTCTAATACCAACATACTTTATATTCAGGTTTCGTTAATGCCCAACACTGCCAATGTTCCACTGTGGTTCCATTTGCAATATATTCATCAGGAGCCTTTCATGAAGTTCGCTCCTTTTGTTAACACGTAAAGGTTATAGTGTCGAGTTTAGGTTAGATCCTCGCCAACACATTGATACTTAATAATACCAATCCGGATGTCTACATGATATTTACGGGTCTAACTAAGCTACATCATCTCGTCGTATTAGAATAAGTTAGACGAAACTTCCGAAAGAAGATCGTATCATAAAAAGCAATGGTAAGAACAACAATATAGATAACAGCTAATAAGAAGACTGCCGCTTCTATACTTGATAGGGAGTGATCACAACATACATTATCTCGACGCAATATTACAGCACTGAAAAAATATAGCCTAAACCCTCATACATAATGACGTTACCAAGGCTCGTCATTAGAAGGAAGCGAAAGCCACCTACATCTCTTCAGCAGGGAAGTACATATAATTTTTCTATAGGATAGGTACATAGGTACATAGTCTTGTAAGTTGTTGGCGCTTAATTCGGAAATTGTAAGACATTAGAAGTTGGTAAAAGTGGAACTCATATTATCTATATTATTTGATTCGTTAAACCTCTTATCGGCCAACGCCTTTACTTAGGAAACTTTACTCCCCGCTAAAATTTTGGGAGAAAAAGTTCAATTGCAAATCACGAAAAAGTCTCCCGGCAGATAATTGAACGCGCGCCTGTTAGCCACGGAAACCCCCAAATCTCGAGGCCAGGATTTTTCTGATGGAAATAATTGCGCTGCCAGTACGAATATTAAGATGACGACAGCATTGGCTGCGCAACTCGCGCAGATCGCTGCAAATTCGAAGTCGACACTTGATATCAAGGCGCAAAAAGCTGCACATTCGAAGTCGTTGATATTCGAGCCGCGAGTTGCCGCATCACAAAATTTCCAAACATTATATAGTATCTGCTACCAAGGATATGAAGAGCTATGTCAACTAGACTCACGATTTGTGCCCTTTGGCACTACTATATTCAGCGAGCAAAGCCAAAATGAGGACCGGACTCAGATGACTGCTGCCGAGAACGCAGAGCTTGACAAGAAGATAGACTCATTCCTTCACTTAGCTGGCGCGCGAATAAGGCTCATGCCAACTATCAAGGCCGTAGAATGGCTTATTAGGAGGTTCAGGTAGGCGTGCAAAGTATGTACTACTGAGACCGAGTTTTAACATTGCGATAGGATTCACGAATATAACACGGCCATGCTCATTTCGACATTTCTACCGTACCATACTATCCCAGCCTTTGTAACTCTCCTATCTATCCTCCCTAGTACGATACCGCAAGTGTACAAGTTCTTAGATCCCTACGTTCGATCTTTGACCCAGCCGCCGAGATCTGTTCTCGTTCATCAGGCTACACACCATCCCGACTTCCTTACTGCGCTTTCGACATACACCTTAGATGCATGCAGGGCTCAACAACACTATCCTGCTCTAATATCATTCTGGGGTGGTATTATGACCGAAGCAGTGAATGGAATGCTAGACAGAATGCGATCCGGTCGCCGCAGTATCCAACGAAGCAACGATCAGACTCTCTTACACCAGATTGGTCCAACTCTTGGCGACGCGTTAGTAATGCACAAGGTCCCTAGTCTGCAAATAGCTTGCTATATGGTGATCTCCGTTTTTGTGGCAAAGGGTGACCTCGACGATGCTGCTATCAGTGCCTTAATGGACCAGCTCGTTGCTGGATGGACTACCGAGTCCCTCCGTCCTGGTCTTGTCTGTCTCTCAATCCTTGCCCAGTACCGTTCTGCAAAGCAAATGTCAGGAAAAGTAACAAGAGCATTACTTAAAATCACAAACCTGTCTAGCCTCCTTACTGAGATTGGCAGAGAACACAGCATTGGGAAATTAGCAAATGGACTCTGTCTAGCTTTGGTTGAGAGGGCTCACAAGAAAGGTGACATAAAGGGTCTATCAGTAGTCGAGTCACTGCTCTTGAGCTCCACTCTTAACGACCAACAGAGAGCAGTCGTTTTCAAGAGTTTATTATTAGCAGCCCATAAAGTCGAGGACGGCGTTGATACGCAAGGAGAGGTGCGAAAGGCTCTCGCATCTATAATCATCAAACTTTCTCAATTAGAGACGGACTCCGGGAAGATCTTCATTAAAGCGATCAATGAGACGGAAATCGACGTGGATGCGCTAGAATTGAGGCTTGGTACCAATCTCCAAGCGAGACGACTTGCGATCGAGCCTCAACAAGATGTTGCAATGTCGGATAATGAAATATCAACACCCGCGCCCATCGAAGACTTCAAATCTGCCCTTCAGCGAGTGGGCAACTTATCTGTCTCATCATCGGATTCGTGTCTACGAGATAATACTTTTAATGTTTTTACTGATTTATGTTCTGTTTTCCTTTCCGGTCTTACAGAGCCAAATAACCTCAAAGCTTTCGAGGAATTGGCACCTATACAGCATAAATTAGCAAACGAAACTCCCTTTTTCTTCACATTCCTTATGCGAATCTGGTGCGGGCCATATCCCGTCTTAGCTCGTGTCGCAGCTTTAGATATGGCAAAACTACGCCTAAAGAGCAGCGATTGCAATAGCATAGATTTCCAGGCTCTCCTGCCATATACCCTGGCGGGATTAAATGACCCGTCGAAAAGGGTGCGACGCGCTGCCGCAGATCTAGTTACCGTGCTAGAGATTTTATTCCAGGAGCTAGTTAAATATGAGAACTACACAAGCTGGGCTAACAATCATCTGTATGATAATGCTGACGCGTCGGTTTGGACGACAGTAGACATTTGTCACAAACTACTACGGAATGCCATTACTCCTAGCCTTGAGGAATGCGTATTAAGTGCTGATTACATTATCGAGGTTCTACAGAGCGTATTGAATAGTAGCTCGAAAACTTCGACTGATGAAAATAAGGATAAGAAGAGCCATCTTTCTCATGGAACGCGACGTTCTGTGCTAACTTTCCTCGCTTCCCACACGATTCACACGCCACTAATGACTCTCAAGATCCGCCTTCTCGCGTCTCTAAACCAAGTTAAGGGCGTATCGGGTACTACCCGTACCCAATTACTTCTACCACTCCTCAAATGGTGGTCTTCCTTGTCTTCCGAAGATGCTACACGTATCTGCTCTCAGGACGGTGTCGGAGAGTCAGCTTTTGATCAAAGCTGTGTCGAAATTGTGCTTCCAAACGATAAAGATGGCTTAGAATTCTTGTTAGATGTTGTGGGGTCTCAGCAACTACTAACTAGACTAAACCTCCTCCACGTTATTTTCTCGCGCATCCAGAATTCATGGTCCTCTATGAAAACGGAAGCGAGGCATATGGTTGCCAAGCGTATGCTTGAATTATCACAAAACGATTCGTCTAGTGATAGTGTAGTCTCCAGTGAAGCTGCCAATCTTCTAAGGAATGTCGATCTCACGACCGATATCCTCCTGTTCTTCCTAGAGTCTTTGCAGCCAGCAGCAAAGATGGCTACTGAGCCCCCATCGGGCAAGCGGAGGAGAACCAGTTCCTCGGAAACCCACCGGGGACTGGGTACGCAACCAACCCCAGAGTTGAGCGCGGTGCTCAGGCAAGTGACCTTTGTGTTACAGCTTGTCGAGGGGTCTGAGCCTGAAAAGCACCCAGAACTACTCAATGCTCTTTTCAACGCCCTGTCGGAACTGCAACATTTCAGAGTACTTGTCGGTTCAGAACTTGGGTATCTTCAGAATCTAATTCTTCGGAGTTTATTGGCCATGGTCCCTGCGTACAAGAACGACAAGTCGTTGAAGATCGATAGCACGGGTGGACACGGTGATTTACTTGTCAATTGCATTCAGAAATCATCGAGCCCATCAGTGCAAAATACTGCACTCCTACTTGTCGCACGCTTAGCAAATGTCGCTCCAGACTTGGTACTTAATAGTGTGATGCCGATCTTCACACATATGGGAGGCTCGGTACTCCGCCAGAGCGATGATTACTCTGCTCATGTGATCAACCAGACAGTCAAGGAGGTTGTGCCACCACTTATCCAATCACTCCGTAAAGGAAAGATCAGTCCGCTGGCAGGTGCCTCTGAGCTTCTACTCAGTTTTGCGACCGCATATGAACATATACCATCTCATCGAAGACTTGGACTATTCGTATCCCTTGTAGAGACTCTCGGCGCTGAAGAATTCCTATTTGCGCTCTTGGCTATGCTTACGAACATGTATGGTACTACCGACCAGGTGTTATCATTTGCTACAGAAGTCTTCAACTACTTCCCAGTCGAAGTCCAGCTCCAATCTTTGATAAAACTACTCAACCTTATTGGGGACATATTCCAGCCGAGACCTAATCTCTCTGCCGTCCTTCTTGGTACGAGTGAACAAGGCGACCGAGATCCCCTCAAAATTGGGTTTCGCCAGCTTGGTCTTGTTCCACATCTTTTATCTAGCAGGAAGCTTACCACGCAAATCGCTAAGCTTACTGAACGGGATGATATGGAGGCTTCTAAAGTCCGCGAGCTCTATTCGACTCTACTGGAAGACCTTTTAGTTTTGGCGGACTCATTAAAGCAGCAGAAGAACCTATATAGCCGCTGCGGCGAGGCACTTTCGAAGCTTCTAAACCTCCTTTCTATTGGAGAATTTATCAAAGCCGTTGAAACACTTCTGGATCGGCCCGATACTGTTTTACGCCGGAAAGTCCTCCGGGCTGTCGAGGTTCGAATTGACGAGGAGAGCCAAGGGGATGCTAACTCTCGGGCGGCTTTGCTCGCATTCCTACCTCACCTAACAGCCATCATTAGAGTATCTGATGATATGGCTTACAAGCACATAGCGGTAGGCTGTGTAGACAAGATCTCAGAGAAGTACGGAAAGAAGGATCCAGAAGCTGTTACCGCAGCTGCCTCGACAATTGCCAGCGACCAATGTTTAGGTCAAGATGATGACAAACTCCGTGTCATGGCTTTACTCTGCCTGGCTTCTCTAGTCGATGTTCTTCAGGATGGTATTGTACCCGTCTTACCATCCGCCATCCCGAAAGCTCTCTCGTATATAACAGAAAGCATCAAAACCGAAGTACCCGGAGACGCACTTCACAATGCTAGCTACGCATTCATAGCAGCATTGGCACAACATCTCCCCTATATGCTCTCTGGTGCTTACCTAGGGCAACTTTTGGCAGTTTCTAGCAAATCTGCCAGTGCTAACCTAGGTAATGAAGCCAATGATGCTAGGCTTCAATGTTTGCGATTACTTGCTACACAGGTTGACGCTAAGATACTTTTTTCCGCCCTAGAACAAAATTGGGTCACCACGAAGGATTCTGGTTCCGCTGTAAGTCGATATATCAAGTCAAATTATGGTCATCGTAAAGCTAACAGTAATTACAGGCTACACGAGAATATATTAACATTCTCGGAGTTGCAATTGACAAGCATTCAAAGGCAGATATCTCCAAGAATGCCGGTTCCCTTTCAAGTATATTCTTCAGTGCCTTCGACCTACGTAGATTAGAACTATCCAAGACCGAGGTTAGCGAGGATTTCTTGCGGCAAATGCCTCGCATCGAAGAAGCCACCAACGATGTTGCGCTGAAGATGATATACAAACTTAACGATGCAGCCTTCCGGCCTATCTTCTCACAGCTAATGGACTGGTCTATTTCACTACCAAAGAAGGATACTACAGGCAGAAGCCTCCGTCTGTTGAGTGTCTATGGGTTCCTCTTATCCTTCTTCGGCAGCCTGAAATCTATTGTTACCAGCTACGCATCCTATATCATTGACAGCGCCGTCGATGTTCTCCGCACCGCAAGCCTGAAGAAAGCAGAGGAACGTGATTTATGGAAGAGAGTGCTACACACCCTCGCCAAATCTTTCCAGCATGATCAGGATGACTTTTGGCAAGCCCCAGCACACTTTAACGCAATAGCGCCTTCTCTAGTCACTCAGTTCGCCCATGCTTCTTCTATCAACTTAGTAGAGGACCTTATCCCGGCCATTGTCGAACTTGCTGCCGCTGCCGATTCCCAAGAACATCAAAAGGAGCTGAATAGTGCTCTACTAAAACACTTACGCTCAGAGCAGACGTCGATTCGTCTTGCAGCTGTCAAATGTGAACAGGCTCTCACAAATAGGTTGGGCGAGGAGTGGCTATCTATGTTACCGGAGATGCTCCCTTACATTAGTGAACTGCAAGATGATGACGACGATGATGTGGAGCGTGAGACACATCGCTGGATCGTGGGCATCGAAGGGGTTCTAGGAGAGAGTTTAGATGCTATGTTACAGTAAAAAGTGTAAATCTAAATCATGTTTAAATCAAATTAGTTGTAGTAATATTGCCTGTCTCTCCAGTGCGGAGTCTACGGTGACAAAGAGGCTACAATAAGAACCTATCTTTGCCTCACTGAGAAAGCCTACTGTACCCAAGTCCAACACACTTGATAGGAAGAGCTTCACTCCCAACCTTGATGATTACTGTGAAATTATGTTAATGCGAATGGTAACTAAGAACCTTGATAGCTTTCTACGGGGAATGTTAAGTTATCCATTCAGTGTTGTTCAATTTGAATTACATACAAGTTCACGACGAGCAAAAGATTTAATGAGAGAGAATTTCGTATTACGAAAGTGCTAATGTACAAATGAGCAGGGGGTATTCATGGCATTGCCTGCCTTTTCCTAACCTGCTAGCAACAAAGTTCCGTCCGGTCCATCCTGGTTTTTTTTTTACACCTGAAAATAGAAACCCCCAAGGGGGAAAAACGCAGCACATTAAATCAAATCATCAGACTACTTAATGTCAGTTGTGATGAGAAAAACCGAGAAAAATGAAAAACAAAAAGAAATCAGAATCCTGTTGTACTGTTCCTCCTCAAGTTGGATATGCCATTCCGTGCTTATATGACAAAAATGTCATTTGTATCCGTGTGTTGGAGTTGATGGGGCTGGAAAATCCCCCGTGGCATATGCAAAGGCTCACTAGACAGTGGAGTGTAGTGTGCGTCGCATAGCATCTTGTGAACATAGGATTGTATCAGCCAAAAATTGTGCAAAGTACCGCCTGTCCTCAGATCGACATGATAATGGCCACCGCGGTGGACAGCATCACAATGCAGGTCAGTGTGTCAACGCTGTTTTCCTGGTCCCAGGGTCGCAGGTTGGAGCCAGCCTTGGAGTTGGCACCACTGGTCTCAATGGCGGAAGAGGTGGGACGAGGGGGAGTAGTGTGGCCTGAAATGGTGAAGTTCAAAGGAACAACTCCATCTGGGGAGGCGGGGCCAAGAGGGATGTTCTCGGGCACCGAGGTGTTAGAGTTGGAGGTGCCATTGCCTGTACCGTTGACTGCAAAGGGGTGAAATGTGACGATGGCAGATGTAGATGCAGTGGGATAAGATTGAGTGCTGATATCCATCACCGAGTGCGGGTGCAGACTGTAAGTGGTGATCATGGTGCTGATCAGAGTGCTCACAACAAAGCCGGAATCATCAGTAGTAGAGGAGGAGGAAACCTTAGGGACCGCAGTGACATGAGGCACAGAAGTAGTGTTGCTTGAGACAACAGACGACGAGTGGGCAGCAGAAACAGTCGAGTTGGGACTGGCAGTCACGATAACAGTGTGAGTGCAAGGAGTGGAACTGGAAGAAGTGCTGGTAGCCTTAACACCATATGTGCTAGTAGTGTTCGAACCAATCGAGACAGTCTGAGTAGTGTTCAGAGAGATTGTCGAAGTCGATGTAGAAGTCATCGTCGACGTCATCATAGTCAGGTTCTGGGAGCTCTCGTAGGTATAGGGAACAGCAGAAGGCACGACATAAGAAGTGCTGCTCTCAGTAGTACTGGCCACAGTGCTGGTAGAGGTGGAACTGGTAGAGATAGTGCTAGTAGAGGCAGTTTCGGTCGAGGTCGAGTTGGCATACACAGTCGAGAAGATGACAACGGTCGTAGTCTCAGTCTCCTTTGCACCGCAAGTTCCAGCCGACGAGGTAGGAATGCCTGTTACAGAACCAATCTGAGTGACAGTAGTGTCCTGGGATAGATGAATAGTAATAGTGCCAAGGACAGTCTCTGAAACACTGGTAGTCTTCTCAAGAGTAACAATAGGAGTCACAGTCTCGGTCTCAGTGCTGGTGTATGTCTCAGAAGAGCTTGAAGATAACTGAGAGACTGGGGTAGCCACAGCCTGAGTGCTTGACTTGAGTGCTCCTGAGGTGCTTGTAAACATAGCATCGGTACTGTAAGTGCATGTTAGTTTCAATCTTCATAGAGGAGAAAATAATGTTACATACCCAGCAGTTGTAGTCACAGTAGAAGAAATTTCCTTAGAGGCAGAATAAGTCTTAGAGGCTTCCAGGGTGCAGTTGTCAGAAGTCCAGGTCTCAGTGACCGTCTGGTAGACAGTAGGACGGGTGCTGGTAGTGTTATGAACACCAACCGAGATGTCCGATTCAGAACAAGAGGAAGAACTAGAGGCAGAACCAGAGATGTTCATGGCAGCGGTAGCTCCAGTGGTCAAGACTGGAATGGGAATAACGGTCACAGTGACATCAGAAACTGAAGTAGCAGTGAATAATCCAGTGCCAGTGCCAATGCCAGTGCCAGTGCCTGCATACTGAGACGAAGACGTGCTGTTACCAAAGTACCAGCTAGTAGGTCGACCAGTGACCTCGGACAGTGTCGTCTTGGTAGGGTAAGAGTGCTCAGACTCAGAACCTGTAAAGGTGACTGTGGCATTGGGAATACCGCTGGACATACTAACAGTTGCAGTTACCGAAAGAGCAGTACTGTTCACAAGCTGGGTGGCATTTGTACCAACCGAAGAAGAAACAGTGGTAGGTGCCTCAACAGTAACAGGGACAATGACGTGAGAGTGGGACAGAGTGGTGAGGTAATCGGTCGCAGTGGCGTTCATGTCACCAGGGGCAGACATGAAGGGAGTCACCGTGAGGCCGGGGTACTCTCCGTAGCCAGTGACCTCTCGTCGAGACTTCTCAGACTGATGGATGCTCTTGAGACGGCCGACGACAAACAGGTTGACTAAGAAATAGTTAGCAATGAACAAGCGTCGCATGATGACTATGTCTCATCTATGTACGTACAAAGGGACCATCCAAGCAAGAGGATCAAATTTGCAAGCAAAAGGCCGCGGCATAGGCGAATCAAGAACTTCATAGAGCCTAGTGAACGTCAGTTAGTTATATCATAATAATAAGCGGACAGAGTGACAGTCTTAAGAATACTTAGCACTTACTGCTACGATGATAGACAGCCTCGGGATTCTGAGCCACGTAGCCCATGTCTGCGAAGCGGACAGTCTGATAGCCCTGGAATCGAGGTCCCCGATGGAGCTGGGGGGCAATAGGCTGTCGGGGCTCGGGAGGAGAAGTGGAAGAATTCCAACCGAGATACTCACGCCAAGTCTTGGTAGAAGTACCAAGAGAACCAGGCTGCTCCTGGAGGGCCACGCCGGGCGCGATGTTCTGTTCCTTCTCAGAACTCATCTTGACACTGTTAAGTTCTATAGTTATAATAACTAGTTAGTGAATAGTCTTAGTCTCGATTGATTGAGACTCATGATGTATATAAACATAAAAGAATAACGGTATTGTAAAATGTCAAAGAGAAAGAAATAGGGGTAGAAGTGTGTAGATAATAGGAAGGTTAGTAAGGAGTGTGTTGTGGATGGACAAACAATATGTTGTACAGTGGTATGCCATTAGGCAGACAAGATACAAGATCATGCGACCGGGAAAAGAATAAAGAAATTAAAAGACTTACCGGTCTTTTGAACAGTGTTTGAAGTTTGCGATACTGATAAGCACCTATCGGAGGAACAAAATCCACAAGAGGGTTAACTAGTTTTGATATGAGTAACTGATATAGGAGAGGGGGCAAAGGAAGGTCAATATGAAGTAAGGGTAGGTAGTTGAAGAAATAAATAAGGGTTTGGGTTGAGAGTGATTGGTGTAAAGAAACTTTGTGAAAAGGAAAGGAAAAGGAAAAGAGGGCGACGTGTTAAGAATCGAGTTGTATATATGACGCGAAGGCGGGGAAGGTAGAGCGCGATGAGGGTGAGGGCGTATGTACGGCAGAAACGCGAGTAGTAGTTGGAGGTAGAATGAACAAGAGAGGTAAATTAACAATAGAAAGATGTACTTACGATATTGAGGGAGAATATTAGTGTATCCTTTAATCCGGAGGTCAACAAACTTGGGAAAGATAAACGAGTGATGGATTTGTTGAAGGCGGACTGGTAAAAGAAGGGAAGGTTGAAGAAAGGTAGACTCTTCTGAATTAAATATGTGTAGGATGTAAAAGAAAGAATAAAAGTTTAGAAGTAGAATTCGGAAAGTCGACTTGATTAAATATTGTTGTGCGGGATGGCAGGCTGATTCTTGTAGGCGTCGGCGTGGTCCGTGAACCTTCCCTTCTTGTTTGGAAGGAACTGAAATTGGGTACGTGAGGTGTAAGTATTTGGTTTCTAGGTACACCACATTAATTGGACCAATGAAATATATTATTATTATTCTGTTTCTATGTGACCTTCCCTTAATCACTCGGGCAAATCACCTGAGTGGTTGATTTTCAGACGAAGAGCAAACTTGCACAATCAGCCTACTTACATACCTGGAAAGAACGCTAGGCGCTACATATGGACTGTTAAGTAGGTAGCCAGCTGTAGCCTGACGATAATGGATATCTAGCCTAGTAACCGTACCATCTAACCGTTGCCAGCCCTAAAAGACGGAAAATGGCTAATATAGCAATAATACATGACTTGTCACTGGGCTACAAATTCCTCGGAGTACCAGATCAAGTACTAAGAGTTACATAAATATGTATATACGTATCTTAGCAATGTGATTTATTATCTAATAATTCTGTTCTAGAGATATAGCTATATCGATCATGAACCATCTCCAAGTCTTGATTTTACGACTCTTGATAGTAGACAGGTACATCTTCACATGAAAGGATCACAGTTAACTATATGAAATTTAATACCACAATAGCAGATTTCAAATTGAAATATTTAATTTACAGGTTGATCGGAATGTAGTAGTAATGGGAGCGAATAAGTGTTGATATTGTTTGATTTCACGATGTGAGGTTCAAGGATCACTAGAGCCTCAAGTACAATAAAGGTACAAGCGTAAGGCAGAGATGAAGTACATCTAGTAGGTACCTCTACGTAGTTACCTTCTACATACGTTATGTAAGAAGTCACAAATATGTCGATGATCATATCAGTTGGTCCAAGCGCCCGTTCGCACCTGCTCATATGGAAATCGTTAGTGATATGCACTAACAATATGATGCAGCTTGGCATCGTACCTTCTTTAGTACGTGTTTTTTTAAGGTTCGTACCTCAGAGATGTACATACTAATTCTGCCCCATACCCACTATTCTGATTGAAATTCCGATTAGAATCACGGCCGGGGTGAAGCGCGTATACAAAGATACATAGAAACAGGTTATGTAACAAGGTCAGGTCAAGTGCAAGGACGCCACACGCGACGCTGCAAATTGATTGATTGACCCTGCCAGAGCCCGTCGCGTAACACCTCCCCGATAAAAGACCATCTCATCGTCAAAAGTCCTTCCCGGCATTTGTCCCACCAATCTGCCAATGTTTCTAATTCCTCCCCTCCACTTGACCACACATCTTCACCGTCTTCTTTTTTCGGAGAACTTTTTATTCCTGGTTTAATTACTTTCATTTTCAATTACTGCGCGCCTTCATTCATTACCCGCATCGTTCTCTTTCGCGCCCCACTCCTCACGGACGAGACGAGACGAGTCGAGACGAGACCAGTTCCAAATCGTATACTCCGAATTTCCTACCTTATACTACCTGCTACCATATATACAATACCTCGACCGTATTCATACGGCATTGGTATTTATCTCTAATCTAGTATGGCTCGTCGTAGGGACGAGGTCCCAGAGGAGGAGGACCAAGAAATGGAAGAGGAGCTTGTGACGCTCCAATTCGATGAGCCTTTATCATGGCGCGCGGGAAAGCCAATCGCAACTGGCGAGCTTCTACGACGTCTAGAAAAGCTTTCTAAGGAATTAGTTGATTTGGACCAAGAAACTATTGACAAAGAGTCACTAAATCATGTTGCGAAAGAGCTAGCTTCACCTAACCTACTTACCCATAGGGAAGCTGGAGTGAAAGCCTTTGCCGCAGCCTGCCTAGTAGACATACTAAAACTATGCGCCCCGGAAGCCCCATTCACACCGAAGCAGCTCAAGGTTCGTTTAGAAATACTATTTGCATTAATATGATTGTCCTTGTTCTGACTGTTATATTTTCTCGCTTATAGGAAATATTTACCCTCTTTGTCAAAACCATCCTCCCTGCTCTCTGGGATCCGAGTAACGCGTATAATACACAACACAAGTACGTCCTCACGTCTCTTGCCGAAGTCAAGAGCATCCTCTTGATCAACGATGTTACAAATGCAGAGGAGCTTTTACTTCACCTTTTTTCGTCCTTTTTCGATGGTGTTTCGGGGTCGTCAAAAGCAGCGTCGGGAGAGCAAGTCGCCAAGGATGTCGAGTTTCACATGACGGATATTCTGGTGACTTTAGTTGAAGAAAGTCCTTCTCTTCCGCCAGCTGTACTAGATGTTATTATGGCACAATTTTTACGAGCGGCGCCCCCAGGAGGTCATAAGGAGAAAGCAGACGCCAATGGCAAGCAAACCACTCTTCTGCCCAAAGAGGAGCCCGAGGCATATGTCATGGCTAAAACGGTGTGTAATTCATGCCCAGAGAAGATGGCACGCTATGTAGGCCAATACTTTAGTGAAGTAATTATGGACGTCTCTGGAAATAATGGAAATGCCAACGGACATAGGGATGATGACGATTCGGATAATGATGATGGTACCGCGGGCCCTTCAGAGTCTGATTTTAAGGAGTTGCGAAAGGCTCACCAACTTCTGCGCGAGCTTTGGCGAGCAGCACCCACGGTATTACCCAACGTCATACCCCAAGTTGATGCTGAGCTTTCTGCCGATAATATTCAACTACGTTTGTTAGCAACTGAGACCTTAGGGGATATGATATCTGGAATTGGTGCTGCTGGACCACCTCCCTCCCCGGATCTCGACCCGGCAGCATATCCGCCTCTTAAGCTGAACGACGAGGTTCCTGACCATCCCGCCACAAGCATTCTCACTACCCCAATATCTCCCCTATCCTTCGCACAAACACATTCTCAAGCATTCCACAATTTTGTTGGCAGGAGAAACGACAAATCTCCTTTAATCCGGGCAGCATGGACAATAACTGCAGGTTACATCGTCTCGACATCTGCGGGCAACATCGGGCTCAGCCGGGAGGACGAATCAGTATTCGTCAATGGCTTGCGAGATAAATTGACCGACAACGACGAGAAAGTTCGACTAGCTGCTGTAAAGGCCATCGAAACTTTCAGCTTCCGTGATATCGTCACTAAGTTAGCCGCCGCTGGGGGTGTGACCAAGGAGGGCACAGTGCTGTTTACTCTCGCAGATCGTTGTCGAGATAAAAGGTCGTCTATTCGTGTCGAAGCAATGGCCCTTCTAGGCAAACTCTGGGCGGTGGGCAGTGGTGAATTAGCAACCGGGCAAGAATTGGTTACTTCAGCATTGTCTGGTATCCCTACCCGCATATTCAACACGTTTTACGCAAATGATTTAGAACTAAACGTTTTATTGGAACGTGTCGTATTCGAATGTCTCATCCCCCTATCTTTCCCTCCGCCTCCCAAGGCGAAAGGGTCCAAGTCGTCAAACGGAAACTCTCAGTCCCAGTCGGCTGTTGATTCTGGTTATGACCAAGATAGGATTCGTGCCGAAAGGATCCTGCTACTCGTGAAAGATCTGGATAGCAATGCTAGAAGGGCTTTCAACGCATTGCAAGCACGGCAACCCCAGTTTTCAAAGGTGTTGGAAAATTTAGTTCGCCAGTGCGATGCATTCAACGGAGGGAATCCAGAGGGAAACGCAGATGGAATCAATCAAAATCTCAAAAAGACGATCCAATACTTATGCCAGTTCCTCCCCGATGCAATCAAAGTCGAGGCAGATCTACACAACTTTGCCAATTGGCACGACCGTCGCTGTTACCAGCTAATTAAGTTTGCAGTCTCTGCGGAGAGCGATTTTAAGACGGTGCATAGAGCCGTTAAGGAATTTGTCAAGAGGGTCCAAGGCTCACCGAAGCCTCATATGTTGGACACTCTATTGCCTCTTCTTTACCGCTCCGCCTACATTGTGTTGAATAAAAGCCATCTCTCGACCTACATGGACTGTTCGAAGAGCGACAAAGATGGGCTTGGAGCGGCTGCTCAGGAGATTACCACCGAGATTTCCCAAAACAATCCAGACTTGTTCAAGACACACGTTGGGCAGCTTTGTAAAGACCTGGCAGATGGCGCGCCAACCACTGATCGGACAAACGAGACTACGATGGTCGAGACGTTGAAAGCCTGCTCCTCGTATTCGAAAAAGTATCCCAATGAACTTCCAGATGACCGCAAGTTTATTCAAGCTCTAATGAATTATGCGTTGCACGGAGAGCCGGCCAAAGCCGCAAAATACGCAGTCAACGTCATGATGGCTAGAAAAGATGACAGAAGTATGGTTTCAGCGACAGACTTACTACAAAGGATCATGAAGAATTGGGAATATAATTCGCCTCATTTCCTAACCAAACTTGCGGCTGTCAGCCAGCTAGAGCTTCTAGCACCCAAGGTGACAGCGGATGCCAACGATCAAATCATTGACACAGCGCTAGAGGATATACTACTTAAAGTTCGTACAGACGCTAAAGAATCAGACCCTGAGTGGGTTGCCGATTCTGAACTTGATGAGGAGTGCCAAGTCAAATGTTGGGCACTCAAACTAGTAGTCAATCGCCTTCGGGGTATTCGAGATCTAGAAGAGGCAAAAGAGTTAGCCGTACCAGTCTTCAAGCTTCTTCGAAGTCTCCTAAAGCAAGCTGGTGAATTATGCAAGACTAAGGATACCCCTAAACATCACAAAGCCCGCTTGCGGCTGCTTGCTGGCCAGCTCTTTTTAAAATTATGTACCTCGAAGCACTTGGAGGAAATATTTTCGCATGCCGACTTTAACCAACTGGCCTTCTTAACTCAAGACCCAAGCGCTATGGTCCGTCGCCTATTTGTTGAGAAACTCCAGAAGTATCTCGTACAAAATAAGCTGCGACCTCGATTCTACACCATGATCTTTTTGACGGCCTTCGAACCGGATGTGGCTTTCAAGAGTCAGATTGAAACGTGGATACGGTCTAGGGCTCGCTTCTTCCGAGATGTCAAACAAAACGTCATGGAATCGACAATGGGCAGGTTGATATCCTTATTGGCTCATCACCCAGATTACGGAACCGAAGTAGACGACTTGATAGACCATGCCAGATACCTGCTATATTATATCAGTAACATTGCTACAGAAGCTAATTTTGGAATGATATTTAAATACGCCGAACGCGTAAAGCAGACTAGGGATGGCATTGCCCCTACAGAGAGCGAAAGACTTTATGTCATCAGTGATCTCGCCCAGAGCATCCTAAGAAAATGGCAGGAAAAGAAGAATTGGACTTTCCAGGCATATTCTGGCAAGGTTGGCTTACCTATAGGACTCTATACAGCGCTTCCTAGCCATAGCGTAGCGCAAGAGATTGCCGAGAAGCAATACCTTCCAGAAGGACTTGACGAACAGTTGGACGACTTATTAAAATCAGTAGATAAGAAAAAGGTACAGTCACAAAACATTAACATATCCTTTAGTATTTGTGTTTCGAGCTGACATTATTGGTTTGCAGAAGCGTAGAGGTGCAGACGAACGTGCTGAAGGACAACCTGCCTCGAAAAGGGTTAGGACAACAGTGCCAAAGTCCGGCACGAAACCAAGAACAACCCCGAAGGTTACAAAATCCTCATCAAAAAGACCTGCTGTTAAATCCGCGAAGAGTTCATCAAAGTCTAAGAAAGCTGCTGCGTCATCGTCGCCCGCCGCAGATTCTGCGGACCGTAGGCGTAGTGGCCGGTCAAAGAAGAACTCTTCATATATTGAGCGAGATTCGTCAGAAGATGACGAAGACATGCTTGCGGGTGTAGCGGCATGGGACTACTATGACGGCAGCGGAAATCCTGTACAGAACGAAGATCAAGATTCTTCAGAGTTGTCTGACCTTGAGGAAGAAGAACCTGAGGCCGAGCCTGTAACCGAAAAGGGAGAAGCAGATGAACCCGAGGGAGACGAAAGCGAGCTTAGCGATGTTAATGATGAAGAGGAGGAAGCTCCTCCATCGTCACCGCCGCCGAGAACGAACGGGAGGAAAAGTCGTGCCACTGCTACCTCATCTCCCGTTTCGAAGACCAAGGTTCTAGCCTCACGACCTGCTGTAAAAGAGAGTAAGGCCAAAGGCAAGTCACCTGCTACATCCAAAGCAAAAGCGAAACCGGTTCCCAAGGCCAGGCCCGTTAGCACTCGATCTACGAGATCAAGGAGAGCTGCGACACAAGATGAAGATGAGGGTGGAGGTTCTGAATAAGGCGGCAGGCCCATAACTACAAACCGAACTCAACAGGTTGGCTGTTGCGTGGGCACGAGTGCAATAGAAGAGGCACTGGGGTTTGGAGGAGAAAATCCTAACTGATATGCGAAGTGGAATTTACAGCTCATGATTCGTCTCCGGGTTTATGTCCTCTCTCCAGCTTGTAGGAGTAGCAGCTCCGGATCGTAAGATGAAAATACGATAACGAGATAGGTGGTTAATCCAGGGTCAGGTTCGCGGATGAGGTCTTTTGACTTACTGTTGTTGTTTTATTGCTTTCTGTTAAAATACCTTCAACCTCCTTTTTATACCCTTGTTCGTGTAGGGAGAAGAGAAGATCATATAATGAAAATTCCTTGCCATGGTGCGGTGATTTCGAGCTTCCCTTCGTTATCTTGGGTTGCGTGCGTAACGGTTAAGTGTAGTTGTAATACGACAGTGGATATATATGATGTTGCAAAATGCTATGCTCAGGGGTATGGAGTGCTTTACTCTTATTGGCGTATTTCTACCCAAGTTTCTATAAAAGTCCCGAGCATGTATTAACGCAATGGTGCGGAAACATAAAGGTGTCTTGGTCCGACTTCTAGACTTCTAGATATTCCTACTAGGAGGAGAGTGTGTTAGTTATAGTTAATCCAGTCAGTCTGGAGGGAAATAAAAGGAAACTGGTAAAAAGTAAATATTGATTACGTCTTATATGATATCAATGTGTATAATACGATGACCACTTGCTGAACTATTTATGCCTAGCGAAAATAGCCATGGATGTAAGTACCAGAATAATGGCGTATTAAGCAGTTATAACCACAACTCAGGCAGAGATTCGAATAATGAGCTAGACCACGCCACAGTATCATATGGTATCTATCGCACTTATTTATGCTATACAGGAGCACCTCAGCAACACGATGGATATTGGTAGAAGAAACACTGTAATTTCTACCTATCGAAGAGTCTAACCTAGATGCTTTTCAAGTCGCTAAACAAGAACCATATTCTCCAAACTCCATCCGGACCACACGTCTTGTGGCTTTCCTAACCTGGGTGCCGTGTTATTATGTGGTATCGTCATCTGTAGTCCAATAACCTCCGCCTCTCTAGGTTGTACATATTAGAAATAAAAGCAAAAGGCTTGTCGTGCTTTGGCCAAGAATTGCTACATGCCAAGGGATAACAAGGAGAGGGACTGTAAATGTCCTTTCTAAACATTCGGGTGGTATTTACCACATACACTCATTTTCGAACCTTCTCCCGAGCTTTCCAGTTGTCCCGCACACTCTTGCTGTGATTTAGAAGCTCCTCGCGAGTTACACCGTCCTGGATACTCTCCATAACGCTATTAACGACGGAGATGTGATTCCCATCTGATTTGTCGTCCCGGAACCGGTAGAAACGCCATCTTTTTTGGCTATCCATATATACTTCTACTACTCGCTCGTCCAAAGCTTCATTCAGTCCTTTTAGGATCTCCCACTCGTCATCTTCTAGGTGTAGCGTATCAAATATATGATATTGATTACTACCGTGATTTGCCAGTAGGTCTACCGCAGGTGTACTATCGTAGTCGACGAAGGGCTCTGTAATGCCCTCGGCTCGCTCTTGCTCGTCCGGCTCAACTAAGGGGAACCTCAGCTTCCACCGGAAATCAACGGTATTCTCATCGGCATCCTTCCACTTTAAAATGTGTGGATCGGTACCGGGTTTGTACTCGCTATGTAGAGCCGTAAATATTAAGCCGTCGTTTTCATGCTTCAGATTCTTAATTACATCCTCGAAAATCATGCGAATACCGTATGCCATTTGCATAGACTTTAGATCAATGAAGAAAGGCTGGTATTGTCTCTCCTCGGGGAAGTCATCGAGTAGTTTCTTATATGGTTTAAAGACTTGTTCCTGAAAGTAGCCCAACCGCTTTGAGAGCTCTCGCGACATCAACGATTGACCGTCTAATGCGAGACAGTCGAAAACTAGGTATCGAGGCTCCTGGCGCCCATCGCTTAGGGTGTCTAGAACTAGTTCTCCATCTAGAACAGTTCCCCTATGGAAGGCTTGATGGTTCCCTGGGAGGGGAAAGTGTAGTGAACCATCTTTAATATACCAATAATCATTTTTACGATCGATCAAGTAATGACTCTCTTGGCCGTTTTCGTCGGCGGCTAGGTATAGTAGATATCGAATGCCATCTGATTTCTCGCATACATAATAACTACAGAGCAAGACACATACGTTAGACCCTTAAAACGATAACTGTACATAAGTTATAGAATAGAACTATGCACTCACTCTTCTCTCATTAGCTCATCTAGGTGTTTTCTCGTAAAGCTCACGGGTTGCGCGCCGGGAAACGCGGTCGAGTTGCGATGAAGAATGCTGGCTACTTCCTGGCGCAGTTTGGCAGCTATGTCGCCCGGAACTTTCATGCCTGGCTCATCGATAGATTGTATAGGTAAATTCATGGTGGGCGACGTAAGAGCTTAAGGAAGATAAGACGAGGCGAATCGCGATGTAAAGATTGGAAGATGTAGTGAGTGTTTGTTTCGACGGGCGACGCGATGCGACACGGTAGTAAAGGTAAAGGTAAAGGTAAAAAAAAGGAAATATTAAGAAGAGGTTGTGTAAAGAGAATGAAGGAGCACATTCACGTAATAAGCGAACTTCATTTCATTAAGTCGTCGTCTGTATCAGAAGTTGCTATCGAAAATATGTCCATCGCAAACTTAAAAACGTAACGTACATAAGGGAAAGTGGTATGCTATATGTATTGCTACACCGCGGAAAGAACAAGGCTGCGAAACTCTAATGAGAATTGCGCCGCCATGAGCCTTATCGACCTTATCGAAGGTCGATCCCTGCAGGAGATGGCCAAGTGACCCACTAAGCCATATATGCCAAGCCTTTTCTCAGCCAAATTGGGTTTAACCGGTTGTTTAAGGGGGCTAAAATTCTATGATCACTATACAAGGTAGGTTAGGTAGTGTATGTATGTATACCAAGGTTATGCAACTAACTTGATCTGTGTACCTTAATGCATTGTGAATGGAGCTTTCTCGAGTCCAATATAATCCGTCGGAGACATTTTTTACGCTCAAACTTTTAAAAATTATTATGGGAAACTGATAAGTAAATGATAAGTAATTGATAAGTAATTGATAAGTAATTGATAAGTAAATGTTCAATAAATGATAAGAAATTGATAAGAGTTTCCGACGGATTCTACCGTGCGAGCCTGCGAGCACGTGAAAACGCTTGCGCGAGCTTGCGAGTGCATGCGTTTTCCTAAATTTTATCCAATATACAGATTCTATAAGTACATGGGCGGTTAATACATAAAGTATAAACTTGCTCAAAGGTAACTTAGAAATACCTATCATCTCATATAACAAGTAGCCATTAGACAAGTTCTCGAACAGACCTAATTCGTACTCGACCTCATATCTTTGGCTAAACTAACTATCGAAACAACTAGTTGTTTTCAACATGGGGCGTCTCTATCAAGAGAAAACTTATTATACGGCGCTGAGAGCTGATATTAATACAAACTCCGCGCTTCCCCCTTGCAAATTTTAATAACTCCCTGTAGTAACTAACCAGTACCAAACTGGCCGAGGCGCATATCTAAAGGGGCCGTTTGGGAAGGATAATATTCTCCAATCCGTAACTCCGCACTATGTCTTATAAAGATCTTGAATTCCTAGGTTCTTCTGCTCACATTTCACCTCTTTACATATGCCATGCATCGTTTATGTTCACGAGACTCCGCCCGCCTTGCCTTCCGACGCCAGCCGGAGCTCGACCTTCTCTTTATGTACCTTATTCTTAAGATGGACCTCGAAGTTTGAAGCTGATATGTCTGGTCCCGGTGTGTACAGCTTACCCGGGCAATCGAGACACCGGATCCGCGGGAGGAAATAAAATCGCACGTGCGGGGGAATCGGTTCGCCTTGCTGAGGTAGAGGGACAGGCGCGCCCGTGTTAGAATCGACTGAGCTATACCGCATGATTCCTTCAAACCTGTCGTTGGCATACGCCGGCTCTTGTTTGAACTTCTCCAGTGCCGTGACGAGCCATGCGGGAGGAGGGGGCTGTTAGAGGTTGTGAGTATGAGCGCCAGATGAGATAAAAAAAAAGGGGGGGTGGGTCCTGCTAAGTCATAGATCGTGGTTACAGATCATAACGACTGCTGGAGAATCTGAAGATCGAGGAATTAAGGTATTGGGATGGGTGGGGAATATGTCTTACGGGAACTGGGGGAGGCGCCCCGGCTATCGATGCAGGGGCTTCAACTCGGCCAATTTGTCCTGGTGGTATAACATTGGAAGGGGTTGTCGCAATGGCTGCTGATGTCGAGGCGTTCGGAGTAGAAGGAGGAGGAGGCATGCTATTCGATACAGAGGCACTATGGGCACGGGCATGGGATTGAGATGGTGTCTGTGATCTGCCTGGTGTATTTTGCTTCAACCTAGGATCGCGTAATAAAATCTTCCGTAATCTCTCTTTATTCATAACCCTAAGCGTCACCTGGAGTTGTTGGGGTTCTTCGGTGTCTTCCCTAGTTAGTTCACGCCCAAATCTTCTTGATGTCCGGGTTTCGTGGTGATGTATCGTGGCTTCGGGGGTTTCGGATCGGCCGAGGTTCGCCATCCGCTGCTGTGCAGCAGTTGCAGCACCTCTCATACCTCTCGTTCTCGCCGTACCGGTTAACTGTGAAGCAGCAGGAGAATCGGGACCCGAATCATCACTTTCATCGGAATCTGATATATCGCCGTCACGTGCTCCGGGACCTCTCCTCCTGCCTGTGCTTGCGCCTGGCGCACCCGCGACTCGCTTATAAAGTCTGCTCTCTTCTACGTTTTCTGCCGCACCAGGTAGTGTAGAGGAGACAACAAGAGTTCGAATTGTTCTCTGTCTCTCCTTTAGATCTGGTAGAGTAGGTCCTCCTCGTCTATTTATGGATCTCTTTTGTCTTCTTTGCTCTCGGGAGAATACCATCTCATTCCGTTCTAGGTCCGCCTCGCTGAGCTCATATAGATACGGAGCGTATTCCTTAGCCTGTTGCTGCGGCCGGAACACGGAGGGCAACGGTGATGGGAGAAAAGCCATGATTAAATCTGGGTCCTCAATTGGTCTGCCGTCAAATGGGTGTCCTATACTGTATAAGCTCCGTGTGAAAAGCTGCGTCTGCTCTCGAATGCAATGAGCAATGGCTGTGGTGAACTCTCCAGAGAGTGCAAGGTCCTTGGCCATGCTCGCCGCAAATTCCTCGGGCGAGTTGAGAGGGTTATTGATCTCCCATTCGAACTGGTCTACTAAGGTATGCTGCCCAATGGTGATGTTAAGCTTGACTAATATTCTCATCTCGTCATTCTTCCAAGCTGAGTAAGGTAACTCGGGGTCTAACGCATCTTCGTCGGAGAATACAAAGGGGTAAAAGTCGTTGAGTTGCTCGTGCATCTGCTGCACAACCTGCTCAAATACGGGTTGAGCGGCAGGCGCCTTGAGTCCCATATCTTCTACTAAATGCGCTGCGAATAGATCAGCACCGACAATTCTCTCATGGAGATTCCATGTGAAGGTGTCGCGTAACTTGATCTTGTCCCAATCTACATCTAGCCGGACGGGAACTAACTCTTCATGCTGCTCGGCCTGCTGCTTCATATCCTTCCTCTTCCATTTGAGAGGCGGCGCTTGTCGCTTACCCGGCCTGAGTTTCTGAGCTGGATACATCAATCGCGACTGTTGTCCGATCTCTGTTCTCCCATTACCATAACCACTGTAGCCCTCTCCGAAAAGTCTACTAGGTGTAAACCATGCTCTGTATTCGTTTCGTAAAAGCTTATAGTCGTTGATCATTTTAAATTGGTATTTGTTATGCTCGTTTTGCCGGTCTTTGTCGCTAACCATAGCAGCAGAGTGTATGTGGTCCCGGGCAATAGCCTGTCCTATCAGTATCTGTTTGAAGGTATCTTTGTCGCGACCCAAATGAGCGCCGATGTGTGAATCGTCCGGCGCATCTGATCTATTTTTAGGAGTAGATGTAGAAGAACGATCTGGTTTGGATAAAGAGACCGCGCCGGCAGCAGAACCGGCAGCGCTCGTTAAGGCCGGTTCTGCATCCTGTTGAGTTGCCATAACTAGTTTTAAAATATCACATAGAGTGAGATATCCCAGGCGAAACTTGACGATGATAGAGGAGCGTTTTCAATTTGTCGATCTGTTCTCCTACTATCCTGTCTAATCTCGTCTTGTATTGTAGACGACGAATGTAATTGCGGATTGGCGCTGAAGTACACGGGGACGCGGGGACGGTATCGGAAATATTCAGGCAGATCATTGATTGCGCGCCGTAGTTGTGATGTTGTTGTTGTGCTGTCGCGATAAATTATTTAATAGGCGCTCAACTTTTTTTAGGAGAGTAGAACGTCTTGACCGTGGCTGATGAAGCGACCGCAACGGAAGAAGGCTGGACACGCGACGGACCGCGACCAAATGAATTAAAGGAACATTTATTTTCGCACTCTCTGCAGCTAAATCACAAGTACCTTACTAAAAAAGTACCTGACTAAAAACTGTCTAGGTGCTAGTGCTAAGCTAAACGTCCGTGCGTTTGTAACATAAGCAGATAAGCAACATAATATACCACTTAATACATAATTTATTATATTTCATATGATAAATTCAACTATAGAGTATTATTATAACTCGATTTCCGCCTTTCATCGCAACAAGCCTAACGGCGGTCCGGGCACACGGACCTGCAGCCCTGAACTAAATGTAGAGTAAAGAACGTCACCAGCCCAAAGGTTGCTGCTGCCCCTCTCTCTTATTACTCGCACTCGCACAAAGCCCCGCAGTTAACGAAAATACCAAAATACCTTAACCTGCCTTACCTATTCCCACTTCTTACTACCTCAAGCTCTTCTTACCTCAAGCTTCACCTTATTACCATAAACTAGAAGCCAACCCAATTCCTTTCCAACCAGTAATAGACAACATAATTGACTGCGTGGTAAATATGTCTGACGAAAAGGATACCGGTTCGTTTATCAATTTCTAATATTTTCCTTTCCTTCTCTTCTCTTAAAAGCTTTATGTGAAATACCCCGCCATCGGTTCTGTCCGAATTGAATCTTCCTCGGGGTATTATGTCGGACCTCACGAGACTCGGTAAACTCGAGTAATAGCTAATTTATATAACCCATAGACTATTCGCTGGCAAATCCAGATACCCTCACCAAGTATAGGGTCGCAGCTACTATATCGGAGAAAGTTCTTGCCGCCGTATCCAAGTTATGTGTTGCGGGCGAGAAGGTTGTCACTATCTGCCAGAAAGGAGACAAGCTCATTGAAGAAGAGGTTACTAAAGTCTACCGCACAACTAAGCTTAAGGGTAAGTGTCTAAGGTCATCAGATAATACACAGACCTTCCGTACACTCAAATATTTGCTTATGTCATACATATATAGGCTTTTCCCACCCCACGACTGTCTCTCCGGCTTCATACGTGACACCCTATACTCCCTTGGCATCCGACAGCGCCGAAGCGAATGTCGAACTTCAGGCAGGTGAACCCGTAAAGATCCAGCTTGGTGCGCAGATAGACGGATTTGGTTCCATCGTCTGTGACACAATTATCGTTCCGCCGAAGGAGGGAGCAGAAGATGTCATCACCGGTCGCTCTGCCGACTTAATACTCGCCACGTATTACGCCAATGAGCTCCTCCTACGTCTCTTGGTCCCCCCTGGATTATTAACAGCCGGAAGTGATGAGGAGAAGGTGAAAGCTGCTGCAGTGAAACCTCCTACTCAGACTAAGATTACCTCTCTCTTGGACAAGGTTGCTAAGAGTTACGAGTGCAACCTGGTAGAGAGCACAACCTCCTGGTTATTCGACCGCAATGATATTGAAGGCAAGAAGAAGATTGTGATCGCCCCCGCAGAAGGTACTAAGGGAGAAGGTTTCCCTGAAATAGGCGAGGTATGGGGTGTAGAGATGGGCTTGAGTCTGGGTTCTGGTAAAGTCAAAACGATTGACCAGCGGGCAACGCTACTCCGCCGCACGAACAATACATACATCCTGAAGTCGCAGACCGCACGCAAGACGTTGTCTACTATCCAGAGCAAATTTGGTCACTTCCCTTTCAGCTTGAGACAACTCGAGGAGGAAGGTGGAGATACCAAGTACAAGGTCGGAGTGTACGAAGGCGTTCGTCAAGGCGTGCTACGACAGTATGAGCTGGTTGGTGACAAGGATAGCGCCCAAGTGGCCCGATTATTAACTACGCTCGGTACGTCGAAAAACTAATTATTAACCTTCTTATTGCTAACGATAAGGAAGCCGTTACCAAAAATGGTATTACGAAACTCGGTGCGCCACCCGCACTAGATCTAAGCAAGTTCCAGACGGATAAGAAGATTACCGATGAGGAGATTCTCAAGATCCTAGAGCAGCCCCTGAGCAAGAATAAGGGAAAGAGCAAGAACAAGAAGAAGAAGAAGCCCGCAAAGAAGGCCGCTAAGGCGAAGGATGGAGACGCCGAGGAGAGCGAGGATGAGAGCGAGGAGTAGGCCTGTCTATAGCACAGACTCTTCCGGCGGCAGGTATTAAGCGAACCGACAGTGCCTTGATCACAGGTGACACTACGCCAGGCGAATAGCGTGGGCTCCGAATTGCTTCGTTTATCGATTCGATATGACTTGCGTGCCTATCCAGTTCGGCATTCTGGCGTGTTGCTTCGAGCCACACAGGGCGGCCTGGCGCAGAAAAATGCATAATGGGCTCTACGCAGTCAAAGGAAAACTGTTTACATAGGACTCAGCTTATGTGTTATTAGTCTCCATAGAGGGAAAAAAAAGAAACCAAAAGAGAAAAATATTTGAGCTGAGATATATTGAGATACGTGTCACATATGCAAAATTTATCCTAACTGGAAGCCTCTCTACTGGTATGAGAAAGCTTGACAACGCACCGATCCTACACTGACTACATCTGCCTTTGACTATGTAATGCCTAAGTAGCATAACACTAATAAAAATAGGAGGCAAAGTTGACAGTGATTATTACACTTGGATGCCGCGGCGGGTTTAAGAGGCAGACCTCTAGGCTCGGGAGTAAGACAGTGTTATTCTCACCTAGATAGGTACCTTCTGATTCCGTATGTGAGTCAGAATCCCGAGCTCCCGGGTGGCGTGATCATCTTTAAGGCAACAAAAAAATAGGGAAGGGGATAGATGCAGCAGGAAAGGTGGGGAGAAATAGTTGGGGGTGGAAATCTTGAGGTGTCCTTTGAAAAGGGGCATGTGATGAGTAAGTAGGAATGATTAAATCGGAAAGGAGAACTTTCCTACTTATTTTTTTTAAAAAGTGAAGGGATATATGGTGAATTCAGGGGGAGTAAGAAGAAAGCAAGGGTAGGAAAACTAGAAGTATAAAAAATACCATGAAATTGAAATTTGAAGGGTAAAATATATAAAGAAGAGTAAAAAAAAAAAAAGCCCATAGGAAAAAAAGAAACAAAGCTATAAAGAGTATACAATTTCTCTTGATAATAGGTAATGTAGTTAAATGATTTAACATAGGGATTTACGAATAAGTAGAAGGAACTAGAGTGATAATAGTAAGCGTTAAGCATTAAGTATTAAGCACAGTAGGCCAGGCGGGTTTAGGGGGGGTGTACAGTACAATAGCATTGCCCCGGGTAGCGTATGTTATTGCCCCTGGTCGTGCTGGTCGTGGCGGGCCACCGTCCACTCCGAATTTTGGAGCTCTGGAATCTCGCATAACCCTCCCTTCGCCCTACCGCGTAGGACAAACACCATCATCAAAAAAGCGCGACGTGATCCTATTACCGTTGGATCCAGCGTAAAATAAAAGTGAGTGCGAATTTATCAATATCTAAAGAGTATGAATCTAATACTTTTATAGTTACTGTACAATTAATTCAATACTGTGTCGCGCAGTGCTGAGCGCAGCGAGGTCCAGGCAAAAGGGGTGTTACAACCCCCCTCCCCTAAAATCCTAAAAAAAATCAGTCGAGAGAGAAAAAAACGCGAGAAGGAGGCATAAATGGCTTCCAACCACAAACCCATCCGTTCTCGGTTCTCCAGTCCGTTACATTCGAGTTCGCCTTCCGGTTATAATGGTCAAAGAACATTCATGCAAAGGTGGCTCGAACCACCAGTGCAGAACAAAGCCAGTTTCCAGGAGGCAGGACTGATTAGAGGCGGAGTGGTGGAAAACATGGCTCCTCTTGGTACATTACCAAAGGCGGCTATGCATAAGAAATCACCTGTAAATGGAGAGGCAATGCCAACTCCTCCGGTGAAGACGCGGATTGTTTTAAAGAAACCATACGTTACTCCGACAGTTGCGACAGTTGCGACAGTTGCGGCAGTTACGGCAGTTACGGAGAGGGTACCGAGCAGAAGAGAAGAATCGGCCGAAGAGGCGGGTGCTGAGGGTATTGAGGTGGATATGGTGGACGCAGTGGATGCAGTGGATGCGGCACCATTATCGCCATTATCCCAGCCTCTCCTTCCAATTTCAATTATGGATGATGGAGAAGATGAAGATTATGTGCCTAAAAAATCAAAGGTGCGACCAACTTTCAACCAGGTCAATCAAGTCAATCAAGTTGACCAAGTCAACCAAATCGACCAAGTCACCCCTAGCAACGCATCAAGAAGACATTCTTCTAGGCGACGAAGTGCACGAACCAGCCCTACGCCAGTTGATTCATCACCTTTTAACATTCACCACGCAACCATAACAACAAATACGCCTACAATTTCATCTCCTCATTTTCATCCTCCTGTTTCTATTCTAAATCATCGTGAACCCGACAAAGAATTTGCAGATAAAGTTGTCGAGGCTGCAGTAGACGAGGCTCTTAGGCATTATCGCTACCCCACAGCCTGGGCACTTCGTCTACTTTATGATGAAAATTCATCTGACCCTCATTTTGTGTCTATGATTGAAGATATTTATCATCAACGAGCAGACATAGATACGATCAAAGAATTCAACAGGCTTGTATCCGACAAGAAAAAGGACGGTAAAAAAGATAACAAAGGCTGTTACTATTTTGTGCCTCCGTCGACGGGTAGCCGCTTTACGCCTCACAAGCCGAAGCCTGCACCTTATGCAGAATTGGTCAAAATGGATCTAAGCATTCTTCCTGAAGACACGCCTGACGAGCATGTCAGTAAGAAAGTAAAGCTTGATCTTGATGAAGATTTTGATCAAAATGAAGATGGCATAGCAAACCAAGGCAGCAACCTTTCCATTCAACTCAAAGCAAATGGAATCAGCCGTCCTAAAGGTCTCACAAGCACCAAGTCACCACAAAAATCACCACGAAAGTCACCAAAGTCGCGAAAACAGCGATCAGGATCTGTTAGCAGCTCATCATCTCTATCTTCAGTTCCTGATGATGTACCTGATGACTATGAAGAATACATGGATCAGGTGGATGACAACCTGGGTGTCGCGCGTCCCATAGCTGCCGAGCCAAATAATGCGCAAATCCCGGCAGGCTCAAGCCAGCCAATCAGCAGCCACCAGAAGAAACCCGCCGCGAAAAAGAAGAATGGTGCATCACCCAAGCATCCGCCCTCACAAAACACTACCCGTTCACACCCTCCCTCCCGTGATTCGAGTATGCCCGCTGTTGTTACTGCTAACGGTTCTCCCCATCCACCCCATCACCATCAGAACAAGCAACAAACATCTACCAACTTGAAGTTTACGAGCAGATTTGGAGAAGTAGATGATTCTGATCTACTTGTTCGTAAAAAGTTGAGCAAGAAGTTGGAGAATACTAGTACCACTAAGGACATTTGCGAAGATAGCTTCATCCGCCAGCCCCTTGACTTTGACGATCTACCTTTCGAGCTGGCTATTCCGCCCCCGCCTCCGCCTCCACATGCAGCGGAACAGAGCCGCTCGTCTCGGACGCCAGCTTTGAGCTCGCGAGCTGCCAGGGCGGCTAAGAGACATCATGACGACCTTGATGATTCCATCTCACCTACTGCGCTGTCATTCAGAGCTGCCGATCTGGAGCCTCCATCCTCAGCTCGCGGTTCGCGTGCTGCGACGCCTTCTAACCCTCGCTCCAACAAGAAGCCCAGAGCAGGATTGCGCGTGAAGAATTCGTGAGTTACCTTTCCTCACCCCCTCCCCCCTAATCTATTGCTGTGTTGTGTGTTTTGTTTTGTTGCGTTGCGTTGTGTTGTAATGTTGTTTTAATTATCACAGCTTGGTCCGACCGAATGAGGTGTGCTGTCACAAAGCAAGGCCCAGCCAAGTGGCGATGTGGCACCACATGATTTCATATCGGGCCAAACTTAATTCCTACGTGGAATCCTTTTACTTTACTCGCGAGGTCTATATCTACGTTGCAAGGGAGAATTCACTAACCAACGCTTATTATACATGATAGACCGATGAAAAAGAAGGGCACTTCTGCGGGAATTCCTCGTAGTAATGGTGATCGGCCGAGTCCTGTGGGTAACGGACCGCCGCACAACCAGGTAAGCAAAAAAATTATATCCTCATTACCTCCATTCTCTACGGACGTAGACAATCGCGCTTCTCGTCCTATATACCATGTGCGTTTGTGCGACTTTATTCCGCGGCGGGCCAAGGGAGGCTTAGCCCTAGGAATGCAAACGCGCGAATTCGGAGCGGTGGCGATTGGATCCTCTTGGTTCCCGCTTGGACCCGAAACTGTTGCATCAGCTATCCGCGACATGTGTCCATATGCTGACGAGATCCGCTAGGACGAAAATGACGACTCCTGCTATACCTGTGGGGGTAATGGTGAACTGGTCTGCTGTGATGGGTGCAATTATTCTTTCCATTTCCTATGCATAGATCCTCCGATGGACGAAGGCCGCATGCCTGATGAATGGTATTGCAACGAATGCAAGTATCGTCAATGCCCACCTTTCAGCGAGCACGATGGGCCCTTGCGTTCCCTATTCACCGTTCTAGACAGGAAGAACCCTAGGGCGTTTCGTCTTCCTGAGGACATTAGAGATCTATTCGAGGGTGTTCGGACGGGGCCTGAGGGCGAGTATGAGGAGATTGCCCCTCCTAAGCCTAAGTAAGTTTAAATTGCCCTGCTTATTATGTCTACCCGGCTAATGCGTTCCCCTTCTAGAACGAATAAGAAGGGTGTCGATGAACCCTTTGACTTCTTCAAGGTCAGAAATGCGGATGGCGCAGTACTTTGTCACCATTGCCAGAAGGGAGTATCAGATAACCGTCCCATTATTCCTTGCTCGGTATGCGGGCTTAATTGGCATCTTGAATGCTTAGATCCGCCTCTGGCCGTCCCGCCCGTTCCTCGGACCTGGCGCTGCCCTTGCCACGTTGACGACATGCTTAGTGAGCTACCTCAAAGACTGGCACCGGCACATCGCCACCGCAAGATCAAGAATGCACCAGTCATCGAGCAGAGCTACGGTAGAGGGATGGCCAACGACGGTTGGATAGAGATCGAGAACGACGATAGCGAAGATGATGCAGATGCTTGGCGACGGCACAAGGGCTTTGGCCAGATCCACCGACTATCTGCAAAGGGCATCAAACAGGATTTCATCTCCCGGTAAGATAATTCCAAGACACGTTTTTTTTTTTTTTTTCAACTAACAAGATGCTAATCTATGAAACAGTATACGCCAGAACCGCCAACAAAGCTCTACCCGGGTTGGTACGTCTAGCCCTGCTCCTGCAGTTCAATCCAAAGCATGGACTCTTCAGGAGCAGCAAGCGGCATTGAACCTTGCTCAGCTGGCTGGCGGTCCTAACGATGGTCTCAGTATATTACACGAAGCCATGATAGTAAGTCGGACTATATATCCTTTGTTCATATTGTGAGGCTAATAATGTATACAGTCCCAAGCTAGTCCTAGTGTTCTTTCCCTCATGGCAGCCGGGGATGCTACACGCATTGCCGCTGGTGGTCTGTCCTCAGTTGACACTGCTAGTCTCGAGGCTATGCTTCTTCAAGCGGATTCCATGAGAGAGGCTATCCGCCAGACTCTGCAGGGCAGAAATCAGCATAGTTCAGAAAGTACTGCGGACGAAGCATCACGCGAAGATACGAAGCCCTTGATACCTTTTTCAAACGAGAGCCCCGAAGACGACAAGACTGTTGTTGCAGATGATAAGAACTACACTCCGAGTAAAGACGCCACTCGTGACTCTGACGATCATGATCGCAAGCCTACTACCGATGATTCTACAATGCAGATCGACTAAAAAATGTCGTCCCTCTGTACGCCGCGCACGCTTTTGCTTTTGCAATGTTTTACGTTTCATTTTAAATGGTCGCAGCAGAATCTTGTCTGCCCTAGGCCATGAAATCATATGGATTTCGATACCCGCGAACCGAGCATGAAAGATATCGAAGCTTCGTATTCATGGTATCAAATCGTACTAATTTTCTTTACTCCATCAATATGATTTGACGGAAATTGCATTAATTTCATTCGCATTATGATATGGCGATTCTCAGTTATCGGGTTTCCTTGGAAGCCGTTGGAAACGAATTTGCAAGAGAGGTGATTTTTACCACCTGAGCTTTTCAAGTCCCTACGCATTTGCAAACGGATACTATATCCACTGGAACCCTGTTTGAAATGGGGTCCATTTCAACTCTGGACATGATCACGGGTCACAGTGCATCATGCCTTCAACATCATCTCAAAGGCGATAATGGAAGACTGAAAGATGGTCTTCGCCGGCCTCAATTTGTGTATTTTTACTCAGGGCGAGGAGACCGAATACGCGTGCAGTCAGGCAAGGGCAGGGAGGAGTGCCATTAGTAGGAGCAGGCAAATCAAGAAGCTCTCGAGATGTTAAGGAATTCTTTTCGGCCGATTCATTCATCCTGTTCATATTTGCAAGCCCTCGGTTAACATAGATTTTGGTTTCTTTTCGACACAACCTTCGCAGGCTGGCCCAGTCCAGAGGAAAGCAACCGGAGAAGAAATAGCTCGGCGAGTGTGAATTAGGTCTAGGGATTTTTTTTTCTCTTCGTTGACCTAATTCTCTTGTTTTTTTGTTTTTATTCCATTTGCCCGGCCGGTCTCTCGACAATATTTTCTCGTCTCTCCTTTTCTTGGAGCCCTCAAAAAAAAAGAAAATAAGACAAGAACAAGCAAGAGAAAGCCAAAACCCCATGCGAGTGGACAGGCGGATCGCGGATCGGCGTTTACGTGAGGGGAGGGAAAACTGGATCGTTGCACTTAGAGAGCTAGCTTTACCTAGTAACTATAGTCGCCTGTTCGTATACTAGGTAGTAGGAAACGCAGATTTTTTTTCTCTCCCCGTAGTTCCCAGACTTCTATTGTGTTGACTGGTTTTTAATAAGTGACTGGTCTATCTAGCGTATATCGCTACTGCTACTAAGAAGACTTAAAAACAAGACAAGCTGGTAGTATAAATCTATTGTGGCTGGCTAACTAACTAATCATGCAGTATGATCGATGCTTAGAAGGTGTCTATCTATAACTGTAGATATTCTAAGTAAATAACCTTGGCTAGTTCTACGAGACGAGCAAGCAAGCAAGCAAGCAAACCGGTGGGTGTCTTGTCTCGGGGTACGCCAGCAAAGGGAAAAAAAAAATCCAACGGGATCTACACCGAGTTCCGTAATCCCGAGTCCCGGCGGGCTGGACTGGGCCCAAATCGAGATGGCAGGTTAGTCAACTCAACTACTCAAGTCATCTATCTATGGATCCGTCGCCGCTACATAGTACCTAGGTTAGGTAGGATGTTACGAGTTAATATGTATACGTCAGCCAGAGAGACAGAGAGGCGGAAAGGGATGGATGTCTTGCTGATTTTTGACCCACCCACTGTAAAGCAGCCACGTCAGCTCGACAGGACGTATAATGATGAATAGCATAATATAAATGGATGATATGATATAATCTAGTGTATAAACACGCAAATGTTTGATTGTGATAAGGGGGTTGGGATAGGAGTAATTTATTGTTGACTTATGTACCCAAGCATATATATATATATATACCTAGGTATATATCTGTGTATGTGTCTATCTGCAACTCACATGCTACATCTACGTATTCGTTCATCTGTCTACGACATACGTAGGTAACTACAGCCTACGAGCGATAAGCACGGCGCCCCCTTAAACTCTACCTTGACCTTATGCTAGGTTGGGTTAGATACCTAGGCACCTACTTAACCCAGACCATACGCGAGTCACGAAGAGCAGCGGCGGGAGGCTGGTGGGAGGTACGTATGCAGCCTTATGGTTATGCTGTCTAATAGCCGCCCGCCTCTACAACTTATTAGAATCTATCCACTTAAAGGGGCAGGTTTGTAAGAAAAATAGTAAGTATTAATTATTGCTTCTTCTGCTCTTTACTCATTTAGAAACGAGCATTGCAAGACAAGGTAGGATGCAAGTAATTAGCAAGTGAGTATTCATTATCTACATATATCTAGCTAGTAAGCCCGAGCAAAAGTGCCGGTAATGATGCAATAAGTCTCGGCAGTTTCGAATTATAGCCCAAGGAGGCTTTACTAAAAACATCGTGGTGGATACTAATCATACTTAAGTACACGCGCAAAACAAACAATAAACTACGTACCTAACCATCAAGGAGAAAAGAGTAAAATAGTACACTAGAGAAAAGGCGGTCATCTTGCAAGTTGGTCGTATCGCCTTGTCGGTGCTCGCAAGAAGATACCGAAGAGTATGTCATACGAAAACATGCTAAGGAAACATGCTAGGATCGTCGTTCTGTATGCCTAATCACATAGTCGGAGCGGTGACAAACAACCCTCCAGTTAGAATTAAGGAGAAAGCATACCTCCTCTCACCGCCATTCACAACTCTAGTATCACGAAGAGAACGAACCCGGAATGGGCGACATGAAAGTGGAAAAAATAAAAATCATTCGCCTCTTAAAATATTTTTCCTATCCATCTACTCGGCCTAGTGATGCTAGTCGCTCTGACCACTTAGGAGTTGGTGTCTCTCCCTTGCTTAGGATGGGGTCGTCACAGAAGCCGAAGCGAAAGCCAATTGCGAGCAAGTCTTCCGTTGCAACAGGAGAGCCTTTTAGAACAGAGATCCAATTTCTCCGCACACATCTCTTACTCCGTGCCACATATGCTTCATCAACCCTAGTTGCTTTTCTCTATATCGCCTGCTGATGATAGAATCGCGTCAAAGTTCAAGAAATCCGGTTGAACTTTGCCTGGCCCGCGCGGAGCAACTGACTTTGTACACATAATAAACGTGCCGGAATACCCCTTCGTCCATAAACATTCACCGCGCTTCCAAAACATGGCCGCGAGATGAAGCCCGTCTAAGAATTGCTCAACGGTCACGGTCACAGTCACAGTTCAACGAAGGTAACCGTATAGAGATCCAAGTACTGCCAGGGTGGTTTCCAGCCCTCCACAGCGTACCAGGCCGTGCTGCTAGCTGGGTCTCGGTGCGTTGCCCACAACTGCTTTGCCACAAACTTCAGAATATAAATCAAACATGCCAAGCCTACCAACACCCCTATCTGTACAATCATGCAATTCGGAATAATAAAACGCACAAGGACATAGATGAGTCATCCAATCTCGTGTGAAACAGTCAAGATGACCTCTGAGATCATCTCTGAAGTCATCTGTCAGCATCGTCGGAAATTACGGTCGAGGTGACCTCTTCCGTTGAGGGGGTTGACCTACGCGTCCGCGCCTGGCGTTGACCGGTTGCTCTTGCATGTAGGGCATAGCATTGCCATAGCCATAACCTCCCATGCCCATTCCCATTCCGAAGCCAGGGGGGCCGAAGCCGGCAGGGGCCCCGGGCGGTTGGATAGGACTACCGTTAGCTGCGCTCTGCCCACGGTATTGATCCATTGAGGGGTTTGCATTGCTATACCCTCCGAAGCCTGCTTGCATAGGCGGGAAGTAGTTGTTCATAGGCTGTGTTCCACGCGGGAGCATATTTTGCTGGTACTGCAATTGTTGCATGTTTACCGGTGGTGCCATCGATCCGCTAGTTGCATTGTACATAGGGCCCTGAGGTCCATACGACGGAAATGCAGACATTCCAGACTCCACGCTCTCACTTCTAGGTACCGGGAAACCGCCCATATCAAAATTCGAGGCGTTACTGGTAGGATTAAGCGGGTTCAGATACTGGTTGCCGTATTGAGAATTTTGCTGTACGGCAGCGTTGTTAGCCTGAGCCTGGCGGGATGCGGGTCGTTGTCGTTCAGTCGACGGATTGTTGCCCACAGAATGATCGCGGGATCCGCCTCCTCCGCCGCCACCACTGCGAGTAGATAGACCAACTTCGTCCATCAGACGCTTGTAACCCTGGTTAGGCTGTGCCTTGATGCGGACAAGAACGCTTTTCACATTCTCTACCACCTGACCCCTTATACTCTCGTCGAAGAACGGCGTAGTGAGAACTTTGAAGATTAATGTAGCACCGCATGAGTGGTCGCTTAAAATAGCCTCCAGCGTCTGATCCTTGGGAGTAAAGAATAACGCCTTCAAAATGACATCTCTTGCGTCTGGTTCCGCCTTCTGGTTAATGACTTTCAGAACGGTAAGATACGCAACCTTATGCGTGCAGAGATGCACAAGGTAGGGGACAAGCTGGGGAGCTAGAACACTACGCCTCTGGGGGAATGTACAAGTATCCAAGAACCAGGTCAATAGAAGGGCACCGTTCGCGTTAGTCGCCAACTGTACGCTGTGGAGCGCAATAGTTGCTGCAAGCATTCTTTGCTGGTCCTTAGTAGCATGATGACTCTCGAGACACGCCCGCATAGCTCGCGCACCGTATCGGCCTTGAGAGATATCCCACATCTTACTGAGCATGGTCTCGAAGATAAAATCATTGAATGGAGCGCCGAATTTGAGACATCCTTGCAAGACATAGTTGCCGTATTGGTCTAGGAACAATGGAATAGTGTACGCACGCAGGTGCTGAACGATCAGGGTCATCTGGTGAGGCGTCTTACACACATCAATAATTTTCTGAGCTGCCCAGGTACCGTTCTTATGAACGCCGATTTCTGCCATGTGGGGAGAGATCTTGGCTAGCATAAGATCTCGGATGTTGTCTGAGCAGTGCTCGAATAGCTTTTGAACAACGGTATTGCCCAGATAATCCGAGGACAGTTCGGCGATCTCAGGGAGCATCTCGGTGGCAATGTGTTCTATATCCCCTTGAGACAAACTTTGATTGTCAATACGCTTTCGAATATCCCTCAACTTCGGCGCGTCATGAACCCTTGTGTGTGTGGGCTCTCGAATTGGAGGAATTTCGTCAGCAAACGTATTGAACTGGATAGCTTGCTGAAGATTATGCGAGATACGGTATGTATCTTCGTCTGTGGCGCCAAAGGACTTGACGATTTGGAGAATATCTGCCGTCATTTCGTGCAAAGGCGGGATTACCGGCGCAGCGTTCACCGCGTTCGAGGCGTTTGCTACATTATCAGCTGTGGAAGCAATGCCACCAGAAGCAGCTCCATCTTGGCTCTTGGCAAAGGGATCAGGGCTAGGACTCGGGAACACTCCATCGTGACCCGGGGTGTTCGATGCAGAAGGCGGCTTAGCAAAGTTGATCCGAATCGGGCCAGCTCCGGGGAAGATTTCCTTCCCATTCATGCTAGCTTTTGCCGAAATAGCACTGTCAACCCTCTCGAAGTTCACGAAGCCACAATTCTTGTGCGTCAAAACCCTTGCAGACAAAATTGGACCATACGATTTGAACATCTCGGTTAAAGTTGACGTGGTTGTCGAAGTTGGGATACTGCCAAGCCAGAGTGCACTCGTAGGACCCTCAAGGCCAGCCTCCTCTGCTGTCAGAAGACCATTGTTCCGGCTGTTTGACCTGCCTAGATTCATCGCTGCTACGGCTGTGGGAAGGTCGTCGTACTCCTTTTCTTCTGGCAATCGAATCTCGGCAGCCGTCATCGAGTTGTCAAGACGGGAAGGAGTAGGATAGTAGTTTCGCATCAACCTCGAACCTGTCCCTTGTAGCTCTAAAACACCAGCTGTTCGGGCACGGGGCCGAGTGACCGTGGCCTGGGATGCAAAGGCTTGAAGGCCTTGAACTGCCAGATTGTGACTGTGAATGGCAGCATTAGTGGCGGCCAACTGATCCTGGAGGTGCGCAGCATATTGGCTTTCGAGTGCCATGCTATCATCGTCATAACCGTCGTCTTCTTCGTCTGCATACTTATCCTTATTGTTGACCGAATAAGAACGGAATCGGTTAGCTTGCTTGGTGAAATCAGCCAGACCAGGCAGGTAAGGGGTGGCCAACTGAGCACGAGCTGGCTGCGGAGTTTCGGCAAGACCTAGATAATCAAGAGTTCTCATATGAACGTCATTGTCTCCGGGTCCTTCCTTAGAAAACGCAGACTGAGCCGGCGAACTTGGCCCATTAGATCCAATGCTTGCTATGCTTGCGAGGGTGTTCCCCCTCTCACGCCCACCACTGGGGTTCCAAGTACTGAAGACTGATGGGCCAAACGGCGAGCTACTGCCGGGGCCGTGGGCAAATGGGCTACGTTGTGGCATAGAACCAGCCCGAAGTCTTGACAAAAGGTTCGAAGATCGAGCAGAGTCGGAACCATCATTCAAGCTGGGTGATGGAGACTTAAAGGGGCTCTGAGACGGCGTAGGTCGAGTAGATTGGGAAGAAATTGAAGGGATGTTGAGAAGACCATTTCCTATTCCACCAGCAGGGAATCGAGATGGGACAGTGCCTGCTCGCGCACGCCGCGTCGAAGGTAAACTATCAGGAGTAGATAGCTGGGCAAAGTCTGGAAATCCGTCGGTCGGTGACTCGGGAATATTCTCTCGTAAAGGCGTCGAGTTACCACTGGTCGGTGGGCCACCCCAGGGGTTGTTAGACAAGCCAGCAACGCCCTCTTGAGCTTGGATTTCTCTCGCTCTGATTTAGAACAGTTAGACGCATCACAATTAAAGTTTGTCGAGGAGACGCTAATGTAATGCATCGAAGACAGGAATAAAACTTACCTTTTGGAGAAGAGTCTACTTGAACCGGCAGTCTCGTGCGAAGGAGAACCAGCCCCGGAACGCGTGGTACCTGCCATCTTGCCGGATGGGTTCAAGACGCCAGACATGCCGAATGGGGATCTAACGGTAGATGCACCCGATGAATCGACCGGAGGTATGTTGGTAGTTGGTGAGGTAGAGCGACCGTTGGCAGTCTTAGGGGGATAGCCAATAGTCAAATGTTCAGATCTAGCAGTTGACATTATCGATTATTTCATCCGACCCTCATCAGGAGAAGCAATAGTAATGGGCTCTCCACGGATGATAGTTAAGGGCAATTTTACTTCGTGCGGTAAATAGGTAACGAAGTCGAACAAGTTCGTAATGACGCAGTGTCAGGCTGGTGGGCAACTTTTTTTTTTTTGGATCTCGTCCTATAGTAATTTGACGACTACAGCGACGGGGTGTTTAATCAGCCGCACCAGTGATCGCCAGGCGTGCTCGGTAGATTAGTGTCGCACACGACGTTGTAGGAGAAGTGTAGGTCAAAGGAATGAGAAAAAAAATATCGAAGGTAATGATCCCACAAGTTTCTCTTCTGCTTTCCCGGTACCTGGGGGTTATTACAAGGAGGCAAGCGACCGGGCTAGGTTCGAAGCTATGTCGACTTGGATAAAACAATTGAAATAATAGGGTCTGAAGGCAGAAAAATACAAGGAGTGTCGTAGTCTTCCGAGGACAATGTCCAATTCGAATTAGGAGTGTAATAACGATTCTGACGGAGGACAATTTTTTTGATTAGCCTTCCCTGTATTTTTCTTTTTTTCTCCTTCCTAGCAAAAACCCCCGTTGAAGAAGAATTGGTGGGAAGGAAGAAAAAAAAAGAAGGGCTTGTCGGGACGGAAACAAATGACCAAACGGATCAGGATCAATATACAGGCTCCATTAAAGATCTACGTATGATCTAGAGGCGGGGGATATGAAGGAGACTTGAGCCTGGAGAAGGGCATAAAAAAAAAGGGAAGAGGAGGAAGGTTGGAGACTGTAATTCTCAGGAGGTTCAAAGAAGACGAATGGATTGGTGTGCGAAGGTTGAGGTGCAGCAGGGAATGGGTGGAAGGTACTATGGATTTTAGTGGGGGCCATGCCCTCTACGCCCAGTTTGGGTTACGAGTATCTCTTTACAACGTTAGGTATCTTGCCTGTACTGTGCCGTACCCCGCCGGTACCTAGCTAGGTATATCGAAAAGAATTTCCACAGTGGGAGAGACCTGTTTAGTACTTCTTGTGCCTAAAAAGTGTCTAAAGCAAGCATCTATCAGCACCTATCAACGCTCTAAGGACGCATATGGGCTTTGAAACGGGATCGCCCTGCACGTCGACTTGAAAGCCCTCTTCTTTCCTCTCCAACAAATCTTCATTATTAGATCTTTATCTTCCGCGTATTTTTATAATTTTCTCTGTTGTTTTATAATACAGGTATGTATATTGTTAAAGATACAAAAAATATCGATAAGTTCATGGGACTTATAAGCGCAACAGAGTACAGCTTTCTTGCCTCTTCCGCGAAATCAATCTCACAATTTATATTCATATATTATTTTCCTGATTAAACCAGACGAATTGATTGAGTTGCTTCATCAGGCGCTTCCCACTTGTCCCATTCTCAGAGTTTTTCTCGGAACAGGGATTATCCAAACGCATGATTGGAGAGGAGAAAGCTATGGAGAATTTAACAGCTAAGGGAACCTCTCCGTTGAATCGTTAACACCGATTTGGCAGTTTAGAAAAAAAATGTGTCCTGTACATACAAAAAGTATGCTGGGTACTAGGAATGTCGGGAGAGGCGCGGTAGTGCCGCGGTGCTTACGAAGTCGACGAAAATGACGACATCTTACCCATAACTGTCCATAACTAATATATCAAGCTATCGTATCGGATTCCCTTTAGGCGAACGAGACTCTGGATCCGATTCTCGGTTGTACCTAGTCACGGGTCCTACGGCTTCTGCGCCTTCTTTAGTTCTTTAGTTCTTTTATTTCTTTAAGAATCCGGCTTCTCTCGACGGGTTCTCCCCACATTACGTTTATCAAATTCCATAACTGCTCGAGCCATGCTACCTTGATCATGTTGGCCTATGTTGGCCCATGTTAGTATTATCCTATGTATAGAAGCAACACGGGTTGTTCCCTGGACCCCTCGGTATACAATCACGCGAAACGTGCTACAGACAGCATATTCTCCGGCTAAGACCAAGTTTTTGCGTATTATAATAGGATACTTACTATTCAGCATTGTAGTTAAAGCTCGAACTGGTCAACTCAAACAGACAAGCTACTCAGATATGCTTGGGATCAGCTAGTCCATTGCCGCATGGACGCTCAAAGCGGGACGAAAAATCCAGAGTCTTCCCTTTCTTGGAAGGAGATGTGGCATACATCCCCTGACGTTGCATGGAAGAGAAGGCGTCAAGTAGATGAAGGGGGCCGCCCTTTAAACCTGAGCCTCTTTATAGATGCAACAAACAACTTCAAGCCGCATATCTTTCAACCACTGAAGACCTAGTATGCGTTACTGTTGAGGCGTTATCTATACATTTCTATATCTCGCCGTTAGATTATTCAATGCATAGTTATCTTATATGTAAGTATGTAAGTTTTCCAGGAAACGTGGCATTACTACTTCGAACCCGGTCCTTGACAGAGTTTACTCGATAAGCAACATCAAAGTCAATGCGAGCAGAATTCTATCACGAGGTAGACTAACATTAGGTTGGTAAGGCTAACTTTCACTTCGCGTATGACTTTCGTGCCTTTTACGAAATCATCTCGAGTTAATTTTCGAGTTTAGGAGCGATATCTCAACAATCAGCCAATATCTTGAGATATCCCAGATCCATAAGCACTTTTCAACTCTGATAAACACAAAGGAATAACTAGACTAACTTTGTTCGTAGTTCTCCACAAAGTGGTATGTTTCTTGTGTTCCCAAAGCATCCCCAAAACGCCTTTTAATAGAAGACGACATGCCAGATCCTTGTTTGACTGGCCGCCATGCCGCCTTGTGGCTCGTGAGTTAGATGTCTCTCTTTCACTACCGCCTTAAGATGTGCAGCTATCATTTCACGCCGGGGGTCCTCAACTGGGAGCCGAAGCACCAATCACATAGTCAGATGGCGTAAGAGGGGGGATCTGCTTGGAAATCTGAAACGTCGCTCCAAGTTGCCCTCCCTCGCCCTCCAATCCAACTCGAATCCTCACGACACTCGATTGGGTCAACGGCAAGCCACCCTGCAGCAGAACAACCCGACGCCATATCTTTGACACGGAAGATGGCAAACCTTGGCTCGGTGATTAATGTCCTTCCACGTAAACTGTGCTACCGAGCACTTTTTTCTCCTTTTTTTTTCCCTTTTCCTTTTTTGTATTTTCGCTGTCCGGATTACTCGAAAGGAAGAGGCTGGACATGTCAGCTCTTCTACCTGACCTGACCATAACCAGCCCCTTTTGGTTACGTACAGGGCTACAATGACGACTCAAAAGTGAGATGCATGTGTACGTATTTACTAACGTCACTGCAACCTCTTCGCCAAGACCTTTTCCCATGTGGATTTTCATAGTGTTACTTACTACATATGTAGCTTCGCTATAGAATCGAAGCGTTTCAGATCTAAGAAACATAATTTTCTCTTTCAAGGCGTAGTTTTTTATTTATTTAAATCCCCATTCACCGGCTTTAGTTGCCTTTCATCCCATACGCGCACAGACAGGATACTAGTAGAAATACCCAGTAGCCCCCGATATCAGTGGATATCAAGTCTATATTTAACTTTAAAGGCTTGTCTTCTCAACCAGACCAGACCAACGACAAGACCTAATTCATGCGTTCCTGTGTCCTTCAAACAACCCTTCGAGGCATTCTCGTCCATTTGATCTGTCATCTTTAGTTTCATCCCTTCCCTGCCGTCGAGCTACGCCTCGCTTAAGCAACATCGCACTCACGGCTATGTGTACCTACCTAACCTATCTAAATCCCAGCCCTCTGATCGACACTGCTGCATGATGCCATATCTCTAATCTTTCTATTTCTGTTTCGCGCCAGCGCACCTCCAACGAACCTTTTTTCTCTTATTTTTCCTTGCGTAAAACGCACGAGGAACCGCCGAGGGACAACTGTTAACAATGGGGATTTACATATGTCGAAATGCTTAAGGCCGATATGCTAAATGTCGTCAATGAGACATGTCATATTGTCGTTCCAACACAGTTTCTTAATTGTGAACCCATATAAGTACCTAACCCACCTAAGGTAGATCACGGATACCCGCCCGAATAGCGGATATTGACCGGAAATCGCGACATATGTTAAATAAGTAGGTACCTAACATAGAGTCTTTATCAGGTGGTAATCATAGCTTTTTTTTGGGTCAACTCCCTTCCTAAACTGTATATAGCATCAAGTTACGAATATGGACCCGTCTAATATAACCCTCTTGGAAATTTAAGCATCTGATATACTAATTTGAGTGAATTCATATTCACGTGATTGACGATGTTAATAAAAATCAATATCAAACCTAACAAAAGTGAAGTTGTAGATGTGGGTATCAATTTCTCTAACGTGCTATCGGTCTTTCGGGACAACGAGGAAACGCAATCCTATCTGATATACAACGCTGCTCTCGGCAACATATCGCAAGAATTATTAGACCTACGAGTAACGACTTTCTATATTATAGAGCCCACTCGCCCTTGTCATCGTCCGCCGTAATGAAGGGCTCGTCGATACGCTTAATAGCGTAGTCGCTACATAAGATACTACACGACTCGTTAGCTTTACGGCCCTATTTCGTTGAGCGGAACAGTTCGTCAACTTACCATGCTGAAGCCACTAAAGCGTCTAGTTCCGCGACCATGACATCCTTCCTAGCGCCGCTGACGAGGCCTTTGCTAATCTGCACCTGACACTCTTTGATACGCCTACTCTTGCTGACCCCCGCTTGCTCCAGCACTTTTCTCCCAAGACAGTCGGAATGGAAGGCATGTTGACACGGAAAGACAAAGAATTGTCTACTAAGGAGGGGTAAGGCGCATACGTAACACTTCTCGCCTGGCTCGACGATGGCATAGCGATGGTCGAGGCCAGCAATATCAATCTTGATGTTGGCGGCCGTCTGAGAGCTCTCGTCCATCTCCTTCTTTAGACTATCGATATTACGCGAATAATCTTCGAGCGCGTCGCAAATTTCATCCTTGAAGTCATCTATCACAACAAAATCAGGGAAGAAAGGGATTAAATCCTCGATCTTAAGGAGGTCGCAGCGTTTTAGAAATTCGATGGCTGTCTTAATGCCGTTGGACTGTGAGATGACCTTACGAGCTACCGCGAGCCACAGCTTCTTTCGCAGAGCAGGGTTAGACATAGGTCGATCCGCAATTATAGAAGCATATTCCACCTCGTTATGTGAAAGTGCAAGGTCTACGGCTTGGACATACTGTCCCATATTCGTGTAAATATGTACGCATGAGAGGGTCCGTTTGTGTTGAATACACAACCGAAGCGCAAAATCGGGATCGAAATGAGGTTCTTCGCCTTGGGATTCGAGATATGCTAGGAGTCCTGACTCATCTTTGGACGCATGCGACGCGTAGATAGAGACAAGAGTGTTATGAACAGCCGCATCTATGGAATGAACCTGATTAATGACGAACTGCAGATACCTGATAGCTTGGTTTTGGAGGAGTGTTCCTTTGAAAGTCCTGTTGTAGTCGAGGAGCGCCGGGATGATTTTGCGCGGCTCGAGTTTAGGATGCCGCATCATGATCTCGACTAACTCATGTCCGACATGTGTCATTAATACGCTACTATATCTGTAGAAGACTTCCGGGTCTGTTTGCTTCTTGAGCACGTTCAGAGTTTCCGCCCATCGCTCCCTCTGTACCCAATACGATAGGACATAATTGTAGTCGTTCACCGCGTTAGCAAAAAATAGAAGCTCATCTTCTCGAGCATGACTGCTAATAACATCGTACGTTGTTTTACGATCGAGATCGAATTTGTGTTTATTAACGAAGTCCTGGAACTCGCTTCGAACTGTGTCGAGTTGATGCCGTGACTCCTTTGCGTTCCCATTTTCGGCAGACTCGGCTTCCACAGTAATGGAATCCTCGAGGGAGTTGAGCTTCGCCATGAATATCTCGACTAGCCACGTGGCTATCATCATCCTTTGCATCGTAGATGACTTTTTGTACGTCGTTAGTTTTGTGATAAGATATTTTCGCAAGGCATCATTTTGGTTGTGATCGATGAAGGCAAGCGCCACATCTTCAAACGGTTTGCTGCTTTTGCCATATACACCAGCGGCCTCAACGAATAGCCCCTTTTCAACAAGATAATCGCCAGACGCCATTGAAACTGCGTCTTTTTGGGCTGGAGTATGAGCATATTGCATGGCCATATCAAACTGTTGTCTCTGTAGCATAATTCGCCATATGTCTCGATCCTCATCTCTAACAACGATCTCAAATATCTCTTGTGCGGTAAAAAGCCAGAACGTGTTTTTTTGCTGATCGATATATAGACCTAGGGCTTTTTGTCCCTGGTCTAAAATTAATTGATCATACACAACCGACCCAGTTAATCGATTTATTGCTACGATACGACCGCCAATCAGGCCGATGATATGCCATTGGGTTAGTGAGATCGCGTCAATAGACTCGGATGGGGTCTTTTTTCGTCCTGCTGTCTCTGTTGAGACGACTTGCGACTTTGACAGGAGTTTCGACTCGGCGAACACCTTGTTTCCGAGATCATTGTTCATCGGAGTTGTTAGAAGCTTCCCATGATAGACGCCGTGTGAAGAAAGCCACGCAAAGGCTCGGTCTGGAACGGTATCCTCGTAAATATGAGAATTTGGAGGATCTGGTGAGATAGCAAGCATCGAAGGTGCGGTAGTTGAGCCTCGTGAAATTTCGTGTATAATGGGTTGCTCGGAGTCGAATAACCTCGTATAGATCGAACCGCTCCCGTCGTGACTACTCCGTCCAACCTTGCCTACAAGATGAAGTATACGACTCTGCGTAGCGAAAACGACTCTCCTTACATCGACTTTCCCACCCATATTATCAACCCAAAGTCCCGTAATTGGTCCATCAGGAAGCTTGTGTAGCACCTTTAAGTATTTCTCCTCTTTCCTGTAGAACTCGGTTGAGGTTTCAATAAATGTTTCGTATATATTTCCATCGGAGGCCCCTATCAGGATCTCCCGTGTCGTAGCTGTTGGTAGAGACGGATTCCAAGCTACGGACTCGACAGAGACTCCACGTAACCTACTTAGGGGCCGCGGTTGGCGTGACTGGGTGTGCAGGTAATAGTTCTCGCCGAGAGAAGTACATATGAGTAGATGGGAGGCTGTGGGGTCAAGGAACATGCGCCGGATAGTGCCTACTTCGGAAACTCGCCTAGGAAGGTCGATATCTACAAGTAGCTTCTGTCAGCAACACTCTAATGATTGAACCTCCATGCTAGCTCACCATCTATATCTTCTGGTCGATTTAGATCGATGCGCAATATGCGCCCATTGGACAAGGCTAATACAAGCACATTATTGGCAACCTGAGCAGCAACAAAGTCGGCGGCGATAGAGAATTGGAGTTGTACGGGTTCGACATCGAATATAGGTAAACTCTCTACAGTAAGGTCGTGCACGCCGTTGGCGGCAACAAAGCCGTTGGTTGCTTCTAGCGACATCTGGAAATCTATTTTTTCATGTTGAAGAGGTTAAGTCGCGACAGGTCGCAAAGCTGTTTGCTGGTCGTAGTTATATGGTGTTAGGCAGTGATAACCTTTATTTAAGTTCCGAGCTCACTGAAGTTGTTGGAGTTGATGGGAGCTCGGCGGTACATGTTTAGGTAGCTAAGGTTTAGGTACCTATTAGATACATGGTACCGGCCTAATAGGTGTTGTACAACAAAGCGGGTCGGAGTTATCGGGGCTATGCAAGTACCTAGGTAGTGCAGCAATGATGTTACATATGTAAAGGCAGCTGAGCACTTAGACCATGTGATAACCTTAGGAAGCGCCTCAAGATTGACCTCACATCTCACATCTGTTTAGTTTAACTTGATTGTTATATTATATAAATTACTTTGAAAGGCTTAATTCACAATATCATAAAATTCAAGTTCAAGAAATAACCTATAATTTTTGGCTTCAAATTATCTAACCTAACTTATGAAGTTGATGATAATCCTAAAGAGCTTATTGCTCGTATATAATAGATCGCAACAATGTGGCTACAAACATATGGGTAGATATATACAGGGTCTCAAGTTGGCCCAGTCTACCTATTTATATACCTGAAATCCTAAATACCCCCAATATCCTCCATATCCTATATCCTATTCACAAAATAACACGAGGCTTAAGCTAAATTTACCCAGCCTATATTCCTCCAGGTTCTCCACGGGCATTGGAGATTATATACCTATGTCGAAGTTGCTCTGGTTATCCGTGGAGACACGGGTAACGTAAATATTTGCTGATGAGATTGGTATTAAGCTAGATCTCCTTCAGTCTATTCGTCGGGTTCCGCCAATCTTTCATGTCAAAACTCATTCATGAGCCTCATCGTGACATTGACCATCGTTGACTTTGCGGGATTCCCATACGCTAGTGTTATGTTTAATGCGCGGAACGGTCTAGATGATCTTGGTGGGTTTTCCCCCTGAGTGATCATCTGTCTTGATCTGACCGCTTCAAATTAAATATTATACCAGCAGTGCCGTTATTTTTGGTCCATTCTAACATGGCTTCAGTCGGTTGAGTATTTTTGGTTCTAGCCTGATCGAAGTGATTTGCTGTTTGCGACGCTCGTTGGACCACGAGATGGGAATGAGCAAAAGCCACTTTCTCCGTCCGTCAGAGCATCCGTCAGATTACTCTCCTCTGCATCAGTGTCCTCTAGTATATCCAGATATTTCTCCTGTATCACAGGAATGGGTTCGCGAGACGGTAATCTGGACCACCGGTTATATGGGCTTGGTTTCCTCCCCTTCAATACTCTGACTTTGGCAACGAATCCCTTTGCTCTCTTGGAGTTGAGTGCCATTGCCATCAGTTCTTCGCCAATCTGCTCGCAAGCCAAACGAACTTGATCTGGATCCCACCCCTTGTACTTGGTCAGAAGCCTTAGGCATATCGATTCGCATCCGTTCAGCATGGAAAGAAGCCAAAATTTTCCGGTAGAGCCGTCTTCGGTCCTTAGAGGGATGGCGTGTTCGGTTAGTTGGACGTCAACATAGCCTGCATTAACTAAAAACCTAGGTTCTAGATGGGCAACACCACGCGGCCTCCCATGCAACAAAGCAGCCTCACGGACGTCGTGCAATGCCTTGTGTACCAAGGACTCGGGTTCGAAGAATGAGTGAAGATTGCTTATTCCACGATGATCATCAAAATCCAACACTTCAATCCATCCACCAGGTTTGATACAGTGGAAAGCAGATCGGTAAATATGATGCCAATCAGAAAACGATCCTTGCAAGTCTCTTATGTGTACTAAGTCATAGTGATTCGGTGGTCGTTCCCATTCCAGCTCGGCATCGTCAATCTCCCAGAAAATATTTTGCGGGACTCGACGTTCAAAAATATTAGAGATGTCAGTTCCGGTTACTTCGCAGTCGGGATAAAGCTCAGCCATATCTATGGCCCATTCACCGACGGCAGTACCAATATCCAGGATGTGAGTAGGCGCTTCTAAAGGCACGCTTGTTAATTCGCCGTCGAATGTTTTCAGGTAGACCTGGTTCATCAACTGCAATCGAACTTGCTCGTCATCGTCGTTTGGCATGTAATATGCGCCGCAATACCGTCGTCCATTTTCCATCACGTAGTTGAGATCCAGTTCGTTGATTGACCGCGTTGAGTTTCTATTCAGGATTAGCATTATTTGTTACGCTATTGTCAGTCTTGATGTGAGCTTACACGGTCCCGTCTTCTACACTACCTTCGCTCTCAAACGAATGCTCCACTCGATACACCACTGCACGGCCACCCGGATGATGGCTTCGGGAATAGACAGAACCAGCATCGAACTGGCTTGCTCTCGTCTCATCATTCGCCTCAAATACATGACCGCTCGGTTCTACAACGCTCATCGTCCATGCACTTAGACCGTCGCTTGTGACATCTTCGGTGGAGATGTCGTCGTCCAGCTCCGGCACTGGAAGCTCGGAGCTAACTACGCTACGGCCTGTTTCGGTACTAGGGGGACCGATAGACGAGCTGGTGGCACTAGTCCCATACGACGGCATGATTGCTGTTGGTACACGCGGTGCCGTAACCTGTCCTGTTTCGTCGCTTGTCCTTCTCTTCCTTTTCATCACAGTCGCACTAGAGGGTTCTTAGCTGCTGATGAGGCATTTGGTCGCACAATTCCTCCTAGCTCTTCTGATGAAATCTCACGGACTACCGACGTCTCCGTAAACCGTGCGGCCCAGAAATGGATGCGTAAGCGAAGGGGCACCTTTGTCTGACGCAGCGTTTAAGAAACTGATCTCTAGAATATTTAGCCAGTGAGGAGTTTGTAGACGATCCGATGCCGGATACATTGGCAAGCAAAGACTGTCCACAGAGTGCGCATATACTAGTTTACGATCGTCATTTCAATTCGCTTCGAGCGTAGGGAAGAAAAAAAGCCACTACGCAAGGCTTAGGCAGCGGAACGGGATGAGGGACTAGACCGTATTACAAGTTGGAGGAAAATGGGTTACGAGAGAGCGGAGGATAGTCACAGGCAAATATGTTAACGATTGGCTACCGACTTGATCACCACCCAGACAACGTCTTCAAAGTAAGAGAAGACAGTTGGGGGGCAACTCCTTCGATCCAATGAGCGGTCTGCCTTATTACTGTAACGTGGAGTCGTAGACAAGGGAATGAACCACATGGTCATTGCCACCCATGCCAGTGGAATCCTCCCCTATTTCCTATTCTATATCTATATTCGCCCTGCACACATTATGTCCAGGTATGTACGTATATGTGTCTGAACGTATGCATATTTGTATGCATGTATGCAGCCCTTCTCCGTGGATGCGGACGACTACAACGCTGAAAATATCGCGCCTTGGAAGAGAGTGATTGGTATTGGCTCACTCTTAACACTTACCAGAGCCAAGGGTCCAAGCGTTCATACTCCGGTTCTGTTTGATTGGACCCGAACGGATGGGCAAACCCGTCCGCCCCGACCTTGAGTAACCCTGTCATTCTCACTGGTCTCACTGGATGATCAGACTTGAGTGCTTAAAAGGTTGCTTAAGTTAAGTCATGGTCATCATCACGAGAGGAAGACTTACTTATAAGATAATAATGCTGATTTAGGAATACACTCGTATGCATAAATAAATGTACTCCTAGCTCTGCATACCTAATAAGAACCCATGTCTTCTTCGTCTTATCCCTCCCACTTTTGGCGGGCGACAGAAACATTGGTGCATATGCCCTTGAAGAATGTCGAGGTTTCGGCTCATTGCTGTCGATTTTATTGGACAAACAGCCGACATTATGTACGCAGCAAAGTACATATGTCCCCAGTTTGACAGGCTGGTCAATTGAAAATCCTGGCCGTGGAAAGTTTTCAATCGAACCATGGACCCCCGGCTGCAGTCGTGATATGCTGGAAGCGATTTCCGGTTCAGACGTGCATCGCTAATAATCCCCGAAATACCGGATTAAGTAGTCCCGAATAGGAGAGAATTCCAGAATATGATGATATTTCCATGCGTATATCATGCAGGCCAAAGCGCGATTAGCAGACCGTTTAACCACATCCTTCACTTACACCGAGACATTATCACAATATGTTCTAGTTGCCTCTAACTAGTTAAGTTTATTGTAAGTTTATTACAAGCTCATCGTGATCTATAATCTAGCTTTATCGAATACTTGATAAAAATCATCCGTTCAAGTAGCAATATGAATATTCTTCATGCCGCTTTACATCTTCTTCCGTCTATAACGCTACTTAAAGCAACGCACTCTATAACCCAAAGTCTTGGGGTTCATTGCGCAGATCAACCCCAATTCTCACCACCGCATCTTTCTTTATGATAGTGTTGGATAACCTATAGAGGTTCTTACTCCCATCTAGAAGTGGGCTTCAGTCGTATAACCATTATCCAGGCGACTTTCGTTTCTTTGGTAACTGAGGCTCGTCACAAATCTCTTCCTTGTCAGATACCACTTCAGCTTCAACGACAATCGGGAAAGGGCTGAGAACCTTGCTAATGTCGCCCCACCATTCTTCGCCGAACCGTTTATACCAGTCAACAGTGATCTTTAACCCGTCGGCGAAAGAAGTCTTCTGATCCCAACCGAGACGTCGAAGTTTAGTAGCGTCGATGGCATATCTATGATCGTTGAATGGTCTATCGTGCGTATATTTAACCCACTTGTTGAAGTCTTCTTGACTCTCGTGGGGAATGTCCATCTCTTTCAACACCATTTTACATAGCTGAATGTTAGAAATCTCGTCGTGTGATCCTACATTATAGACCTGACCGAGAGTGCCTTTATGTAGGATCGTATCAAACGCATCAGCTGCATCGCCAGCATATAAATATCTTCGAGTAGGGCTCCCATCGCCGTGGAGCACTGTCGGCCTCTGACGATTCAACAAGCAGATGAATTTAGGAATTATTTCTGCTTCGTGGTAAGTTATGAGCGTGTTCTCGAGTGTTGCTTGAATCTGTTTCTTACTTTCGGGAAATTGATGTGGCCCGTAGACGTTATTGCTTCTGACAATAATGACTGGAAGCTTGAAGCTCTTCATGTAAGAGTTTACAAGCATTTCGGCGGCGGCTTTGCTCGCGGCATAGGGATTGGTTGGAGATAGAATACTCGCTTCCATCAGATCATCATCGTCGTCTTTTACCTCGCCATATACCTCATCAGTAGATATGTGAATAAATCGCTTCACTCCAATCTTCTTCGCACTCTCTAGCATAACATGAGTACCGTACACATTCGTGTGAGTAAATCCATACGAGTTCCCGAAACTCAAGTCGACGTGTGACTGAGCTGCAAAATGGAATATAGTGTCGATGTTGAAGCGCTCCATACAATCGAGCACTTCGGAAGGGTTGGTGATATCTCCATGGTAGAACGTAAAGTTTCGCTTATCATTGAGCATACGGGTGTTGTTCAATGATGAGCAATAATCTAATTTATCAAAGGACACAATATTGTAGGCTTCGGGGTAGGTCAAGGTGAGATGACGAACGAGCCAACAAGCTCTTCGGTCATTTATTAGCTTTAATGTGGAACCTTGAGGCTCATGAAAACTTACATAAAGCCGGCACCACCAGTGATCATAATATTTTTGACATCCGGTAAGGCCTCGAACTTTGTGGTCCCGGTCAATACAGGAGCCTGCTTCCAAATCCCATAATCCTCGAAGAACCTAGGCTTTATGGTCCTATGATTGGGAGCTAAATACGCAATGTGGTAAGTTGTCTCGGTCAACATCGGGTGACGTTGCGGGCAAGCACTTACACTGCACCCCATTGGTGCCGTTTAGGTGTGGCGCGGTCATAGCGTGCAGAATGAGAACCCAGAAATTCGCCGGTGGATCAGTCCGAGGCTCGAAAAAGTGTATGTATGAGTGTCCTTTAGGATCCTTTGAGTAAGAAAGAGGTCAGACGTGTAATATGATCTAGACAATTAGGAGAAATGTGTAACAAGGTCCGTTCTTTTCTTCGTCTGGCACAGGAGGGTATCCGGGGTGGACAGATATCCAGATGCAGATCTTTTAAACAGCCGGTTGCAAGTCGCAAATCGCAAATCTCAAGTCGCAACTCGACGCAAGACAGACTCTCTAGCTTGTCCGAGACTTAAATCCCAGGAACCAGGAACGAAGTGCGCCAACGCAAGAGCAACTAGGTTATACCCATACGATTAGTCTTAGATTCGGCCATTCGTGAACAACATGTAGAAGTACACGTTAGACAATTAGTAGGTCGATAAGACTTGGCTAGGAGCGCAGTCCGACTAAGAGATTTGGCAACAGGTATTAATACCTTGCTATACTCGGCATAAAGACGCAATAGCCGGCTTATGGTCGAACCTCGTAAAAAATGAAAGTCGTATCATGAACAAATCTCGTCAGTCTAGACAGGTTTACATATTGAAACAAATCGATCAAGTTGAAACGAATGACGGCGCGCGTCTTTAAACATTTAAGATAATTTAACAAGACTATCGATCGGCAGCGATCGGCCATGAGGTTAAGCAGGTACACAGGCAACTTTGTAGCACATAGACCCACATGCAGCCCGCCGGGGCTACGACATAATGTACAGTACCTGAGTACATAGGTACCTTACCTCTTACATGTAAGTAAACTTGAACATTAAACATTGAAGCTCATAATGGGCAATATACTGTTTGTTATATAAGTCATAGCGAAATATATCAAAACATTCATGTCGTTAGCTTACGTGTCATAATTATATGATACTCAGGTGAGAATTGAGTTGCTATGACCAAATCGTATATTCATATCTCGTCTACTCTCATTACATCTATATGTACCTAGGTAATTATATGGCAATCATAATCCATCTTAATCCGCATGGTGACACCCTCGGTCCAAGAAGTGTAGTACTTACCCATTACTCATGGGCAAAGGTAAATAATTTAAGCATCTATTATTCTCCGGGGAAAGATCAAACACCCAAGTTACGATGCTTTAACGAAGTATCCGTAGCACCGGGTTTTTATATGCAGATATCGAAAATATATAAGTTAGGTACCAGGTATATATATGGATATACCTAGGTAGCTTCAATGTTCATACCTCTTCTTTAGGTACACATTAGAGTTTCGACAAAACAACTAATATCATCCCATGGATAGACCTACCCGACCTCAAGGAAGCCTACATGCCTAGGTACCTATCCCGTAAGCAGGTGGCTTGCATGGTGCTGTTTGCTGCCTTCCGTCTTATATCATCATGCTTGCTATCATTGCGAAAAAGCCAAGTGGGTCAACTCACCTACTTAACCATATAGCACAGTAAAATGATTGGTAGATTAGTTGAAAGATGGCAACATTGAAGTTAGAAAGTTCATCCTGTTTTTGTTCTCAATCATGGGAAAGTGCATGTAAGTTGATACAACGAAAGTTTGTGCCTACCTACCTACCTACCTACCTAGGCAGTTAGGTAATTACCTAACATCATCTTTGCCACGAGCTTAGAGTATTGATGTAAGTACAGCTACAGCACCCCTTAGGTATCCAACAGCAATATTCAAATATAATTCAGATCCATTTATTAAGTTGCCAATCCTGCATCCCATTATCCTGCAATTCAAATAAATCGGCTGCTCGGCACCCCCTTGTAACACCCGACTTAAACAGGTTATCTCATACCTCTTGGAAAGCCACTTGCAGGTAAGGATATGAGGTACCTAAGTACATATAAGCTTCATTGTTTAAGAGGCAGGTACCTCTCTTACATGCTAAACACATAAAGTTTAGTGGACTCCACGTTCCGTTCCCGCCTGGAGATCGGCTAAATAGCAGCTAAAATAGCAGCCAGTGCGACTAAACCACCAACGTTCAATCAGGTTGGGGTCCATCTTCATTCTGGAATCTGTCCATCGTCACCAAAACTAGTCATTTTGCGCTTCGAGAATAAAAGGATACATTTACTTCCTTTCCTTTAACATTGAGCCTACTAGTATCTCTCTCCACATGCTTAGATCTACCAACTATCGGCGACGGGAACTTGGGCAGGTCCCGTCACATGTCTTGCGCCGTTTGATATGGCATCTTTAAGTGGTCACCCTGCACGGCCCTCGTCCGCTGCTTCGTCGTCCACGGTAAATCCCAATGATAATGAAGGATTCGGCAGTTTCGATAGCACTGATAATGATTACAAGTCTCATCGCATCGCTACAGGCGAAGATGATGCTAAAGACATCGAGGAAAATGATGGACTACTAGAGAAGGGAACGGACTACGAAGCTACCCGGAGCCCCCCAAAGAGTCGTTTTAGCTGGGCTGTTCTCTGGATAGTAGTAAACACTCTAGCGACGATAGGCATTGTATGGTTTCCCTCTCGTTTCTATTCTGCGGGCGTAACTAACTTCTATAATCCGCTAGGTTTTTACAAACAAAGCTATCTTCTCGGATCCGTCTTTGAAGCTTGTACAGTTAACATTTGCTGCTTTTCACTTCTTTATGACGTGGTTGCTTCTATTCACGTTGTCGCGACCTCGTTTCGCGTACTTTGGTCCTCGCCGTATCGCCCTGCGAGATATCATCCCTCTCTCTGTCGCCATGTCGTTGAACGTTATCCTTCCAAATCTATCATTAGCCTTCTCTTCCGTTACTTTTTATCAAGTTGCGCGCATTCTACTTACCCCGACTGTTGCAACTATGGATCTTATTTTATATAGATCCATGTTGCCTCGGAACGCCATTCTGGCTCTTATTCCTGCTTGCTTAGGTGTTGGTATGGTTTCTTACTATGACTCGCTCCCGACAAATGACGCCAATGTAAAGGGCACGTCAAGTTTAGGCGTGTTATTCGCCTTTAGTGGTATATTTGCTTCGTCGCTATATACGGTATGGATCAAAAGCTACCAGCGGAAGCTAAAAGTGTCGAGTATGCAACTACTCTTCAACCAGGCACCCGTTTCAGCATTCCTCCTGCTTTATGCTATCCCTTTCGTGGATACATTTCCTACTTGGACGGAAGTCCCGATGGCTCGGTGGTTCATGATATTGACGGTAAGATAAAAAGACATACAATATCGAAGTTTATGCTGATATTATAGTCTGGCGTATTTGCTGCTTTGATCAACCTATCACAATTTTTCATTATCGGACAAACAGGTCCAGTTTCGAGTACTGTTGTCGGACATCTAAAAACGTGCCTCATAGTGGCACTAGGATGGGCTACATCTGGCAGGTCTGTCGGCGACAAATCAATCATAGGCGTTTTTATTGCGATAGGGGGGATTGTGACGTAGGTTTACATGAATTTTCTAGACATTAATTTCCATTTGCTAAATATGACTTAGGTACTCAGCTGTGATGCTACGGCAGGCAACTCGCGGTTAAAGGCAACGCAATACCAAAAGGGGTTTTCGTTCCGTGCGGCAGCTAGGAAGATAGAGCTGCAATTCTAATGGGCTACTGGAAGCTTATATATATATTATTAGATCGTATGGTTCTAGGCGTTATCATGGTATAAGGAAGGCCTTTACGATCGGTGTGCCAGTATTTATTAGCAGGTCCTGATGGTGCTTAAAGGCGTCGTAAGGTTTCCGAGGGAATTGCGGTAAACGGATGTACAATACGATACCCATCATACACAGAAGTGTTGGTCAAGATATTAGAGCGATACTCAATAGACAGCAGTTATGCTTCTCGGATATTATAAATATCATCCTATATTTTTCTTATTTATATAGAATTATAACGCTAATGGATCTCAGTGAGGCAGCTAACTTAGGCATATTCTAAAGTTAGGTACTAACCAAAACCTGGGTGTGTTAGGTTAGTAGGCAAATTGATCCATCAAGTCGGGTGAGACTACGTAGTAACAAATTCTATAGTCGAGTCCAAGTTATATCGATATGATATAACACTATGACTTAGTAGCTACATATGTCGATGATCACGCAAATACAATCCTGAGTCTCCATGTTGAACTCTTAATATCTCCAACACTCTTATGTTGAACCTTCAGGTCTATCTTCTTCATGGCGGTGCGCATCGGCACCGGTCACAATGAAAATAAAAGGACAGCAAAAATTGCACTCGCTACGATCCACGAGGGATAATAGAAGAGGGTCGACTCCGCGCTGTGCAATGCAGGTTTTCCCCCTTAAGAATCCTCATCCTTGAGCGAAGATTCTTTGAGCAAGGTAAGTATGAAGAAGAAAGGAAAAGACAAAGTAGAATGTGGACAGAAGAACGGTAAATATACATAGGTACGTACCTAGGTGGCATTGGCTAAATTGGTGGGGTACGGCAAGCCACTTGCCATGACAATGATGACATAATTCAACCTGCCCCACTACTTTAAACATTATTATATATCATTGATGAGACCTTCTCCGTTTCATTACCTGTCTTTCTTCTTCAGCTCTCTTTGCCTTTTGGCTTAGATCAAGTGTAGTATCTGTTCTTTTCAGTCTACTCTCTGAAAGAATTACACGGTGACTCAATTTTAAATTATTCTTATTTTTTGCGCGAAGGGTGCGTATCCTCTGTGCTTGCGCATGATAGCCTCCTCTGTATCCCTGGTATCATATTGCTTCCAGGAGATGCAAATGTTGACTTTTGTTACATTCTCTAGAGGTAGGCTCTAGGGGTGCGAGGAGGGCTACTCTCTGTCTACTTGTTTTATTTCTATTTGTACTAGGTATCTATGTATTAATATATTAAGAGATCACCCGAAATCCATTAAGACAATGGTAGAGCTTTGTCTAGGTAGCTTTGAAGACTGGCTATTCCGTAGAAATTTCCATCTATGAGATTGTAGGTAGTCTTAAATTCTACCAACATAGTATCCTAGGTAGGCTAAGTTTAAAACCCCGATTTTATAGAAATATAGCCGTGACCCTTCGACATTGTCACTTGGGCTATGTAAATTATCAATGGAGGCTCCTGTCGGAGCTCGGCTTATGCGTGTATTGTAGTGTACCTAGTAGGTAATCTTGGCGCTAACTTCATTTGGACCTATAGATCTCTTAGCTTAGGTACTATCTACGCTAAATGGTTAGCTTATGTGATAAGCACGGCCCAAGTACCATAAGACATGACCTCACCTAGCAGTCACATCCTACTTCTGTACAGTACATACATAGTAATTGCACAAGGCTTCCGGTTTCCACAATCCTACAGCTACTACCTACATATCAGCCCTTCCCATAAGCTCCATTCAATAAACCTACAGAGCGCATATTGTCTCTATTGTTGATCAATTCAAGTATTTCGAAATTACACAAGGGCTTCAAGATAGTGTTGGCACAGGCCCATTCTTCATAATTGACGTTAAGAGTATTCTCAGATTGCGCTCGTTCATTCATTCTCCCCCTCCCCCACATTCGCCGTTTTTGTCGCCAAACGTCGCAACGCCCTCTCGACTGTATGCGGATAAGTTTACCTGAGAACCCTCACTATTAAACACTTTTAAAGTATAGCTTTGTCTGGTGCGTTATCGGCGACGCAGGTGAATCACTATGTGGAACGACGAGGAAGACAATAACCCTTACGGCACGAGCTTCGAGCGTCGTGATTCCATCACATCCTCTTCTGCGCACCCTACTTCTCCTGGTTCCCACGACTGTAAGTTAAGCCCATATTCTTTTTACCCTGCATGGATCGAGGAAAAATAATGTGGGAAAACATAGCGTTGGATGACTCTCCTGACGAGGCTGATCCCGACTGGGAATATGTAGACCAACATCGCCCGAGCACCCCGTCTTCTACCAGCGAAGATGTTCCGCCACCTCCTACCTACGGGCAACATCAGATTACTGACCCCGACAGCGATGATGAATATGGGACTCAGAATAGCCAGGCGCAGCGAAGAAAACCAGGTGGTTATGATAGCCGGATTGAGCAGATTCTCTACGAAAATCCAGAGCTTCCCATCCTGATCACGGATGCTGGAAAGAGCATGGAGAGCGGCGGCAAATATATCGTTTATACGATCAGAACAGGGGTATGTCTCTATCTGGCTTAGCAGCAACTTGTCATGCTCATATGGGATTTAGGACCTTGAAGTCCGGCGTCGATACTCGGAATTTGCGTCATTACGCGATGCGCTGACTAGGCTTCATCCTACACTTGTTATTCCTCCGATTCCTGAGAAGCATACAATGGCCGATTACGCTGCAAATCCAACCAACGCGAAGCAAGACCAGCAGATTATTGACTTGCGAAAGCGTATGTTGGCTGTCTTCTTGAACCGCTGTCGGCGGATGGAACATATTCGAGACGACGGGGTCTTATGGAGATTCCTCGACCCGAATGTTAGCTGGGTATGCGCGCGTTTATGTCGCCCTAGCGCATTCTTACGACTAACCTGATAATAGAATGAAGTGCTACACTCGCATCCTATCTCATCTATTCCGAAGACGATTATGAAAGCACCACCGCTAGATACAGCAAACCCTACGCCGGCGCACTCATACCTTCCGGTGCCGGCTGCCTCAGCCAAGCTAAAGACGCCCGTGAATCCACCTCCAGGTCCGGTATTTGACAGCTCTAGTACCGTTGCTTCTCAGATACTCCGCCGGTTCCCTCCTGAAGCTCATGGTTTAAACGAACAGGAATTAGATCCGTACTTTATCACCTTTGAAGCATCAATCAAAGAACTAGAGCAAGCACTAATGGGACCGATGGAGAAAGTGAACAGGCGCACACTCAACCACTTAAGTTCTCTGGCAACAGATCTCTCAGATTTAGGTGCCAAGTATAATGCTTTTGCGCTTTCTGAGCCATCCCCATCCCTAGCTGCGGCCATCGAGAGAGTGGGTCAAGCTGCAGATTCGTCATATATCGCGACGGAGGAATTGTCAAGTTCACTTGGGGCGAGCTTCGCCGAACCCATGAGAGAAAGTGCACAGTTTGCGGGGGTTGTTCGTAACGTACTACGATACAGGATTCTCAAAAGAGTCCAGCAAGAAATGGCCAACGATGAACTCCTCAAGAAAAAAGCTCTCTTAGAGCAGCTAGAGAGTAGTGAGGCCGAGGCAAAGCGAATTGATCAATATCTCAGCAGCAGCCAACAAATAGGGGGAAGTCATCAAGTCCACGCACCTCGAAGGTCGGTCAGTATGAGAGAAACATCGACACCGCATTATAAAGAAAGCAGTGGAGAGGACACAGCATCTATTGATTCAGACTTCCCTCCAAGCCATGCAGATGTTTCTTCAGCCCCTTCGGCGAGAGTGGGAGTTCCTGAGAGGTCAACCTCTAGTTCGAACCATAAGAAGGTCCCTAGTGGCAACTCTATCACCAATAAGATCTTTGGTCCGATACGTCATGCGATACAAGGTGTTGCTGATGTAGATCCAGAGAGGACTCGACGTGACGCTATAGGAAAGACACGCGAGAGTATAGAGCAACTAGAACAAGCTCAGGTAGCGGCGGCGCAAGATGTGAGGGACGCGAGTGCAAGCATCCTGCAAGATCTAAAGAGGTTTCAAAATGAGAAAGAAGATGACCTCAGGCGCTATATGGTAAGTTTATCTGTCTATTCTTCTCGAACCTATTATTGCAAGATAACTGATAATGGATCAAGCTTGCCTATGCGAAGAGCCAAATCGAATGGGCGAGAAAGAACAAAGAGACATGGGAGGAGGCGAGGGCCGAGGTTGAAAAGATCGATGAGACGTAGAGCGTCCAGAGGAAAGACCAGCAGGTGCTACAACGTCCTACGGCTAAGGCACGGGACTTGCCAGACGATGATTATTACATTGTTTTATAATTTTACGATGGTTTACCTCATTCGGAATAGATAATCAATAAGACAAACATAACCGATATATCCCTCGAGCCTGGGCGGATTAGAATTTTCAACGGAGTAAGGAGCCCATAAGTTGACTCGAGGTTTTGTCTTCAGTATGATTCAACTACATATTACGTCAAAACTATATGCTCACAGCAATAATACCGAAGATCGAGAGATTGGGATTCTGAACTGCAATTAGGTAAGTCAAGGGTCTGGCCAAGTAATTTGTAGCCTCTTAACACTCTATACTATTAAAATAACTTAAGTATACTACTGCGAGCCACAGACCAGCACTCTTCACATATACGTTATGGAAAATTATAGGCCGAGGGGTAGATTTGCTAAATCAGTACAGACACTGAGTGACGTTCTCTTTTGACTTGGTTAGCATTAGGATTCCAACGATAACGCCGTAAAGACCAAGGACTTCGGCGAATATTAGGATCAGAACCATGCCAATATAGAGTCGTGGCTGCTGACTACTAGCTCTCACTACGGTAGTATTTTATCAGTCATCGTAGCATTCAATTGTAACAACCCCTTAAGAAAAGGGGCAGGAGAAAGACTTATAAAGACTGACCTCCCGCATCCCCAACTATGCCAATAGTGAATCCAGCCGCGAGGCCACTTAACCCGACGCTGATGCCGGCGCCCAGCTGGAGGAAGCCCTGGTGCAAGGGCATCTTCTCGACCAAGTCGCCCGAGATGATAACGCTGGCTACCAGGCCGTAGATGGAGAGGATCTGAGCCATGATCGCACAGAGGCTGCGCGCGTACACGTGGCGACTCGACGTCAGCATTTCCGCTTTCCTAGCGTCCCAAGGTCCGTAGCGACATTTTTTGAGGCGGGGTATGGAAGGGAGGGGGAGCGTACGTGTTCTGCATCAGCCGATCTGGGTGGATTATCCCCGAAGAGAATATTGCCCCGGCTGACTTGGCGGTGCCGTAGGATGCGCCCAGGACTGTGAAGATAATGGAGGCTGCGCAGCCCATCGCTCCGAAGAAGGACTAGGGAGGCGTGCGAGGTTAGATGTGTTGTAAGGCATAGCGAGTTGATGGAATAGGGCTAAGGGATTCAGCACGTACAGCGTATACTGGGCTGTATAGAAGATTATTTACTGTCAGCATGTGATGTGTCTAGTTGGATCTAGTAAGGTGTAAGAGACGGACCAGCGAGCCTCATAGACTACATCAGCGAAGGCGGTATTCATCTCGGATAGTATTGTCTACTGTGCCATGGAAGCCAACGTAACTTGGTAGTTGTAGATGTACGACTTCAATATAGTGAGGTTATTGGGAATGTATGTAGATTTATTCACTTTAGACAAGCTATCGTAGCAGGTAGTAAAAGCTAAGAAATACCTTCCCTTCATTTGTAGGAAACATCATCGAATATGGTCTTATGTTGTACTACGTTGAACAGGTCCTAGGTTTATCATCTATTCGCTCATGGTCTGGTGACGACGTAGGTCTATCAGTGTAGATAAAGTGGCTTGTAGGCAGAAGAAAAAGCTGCTGACTGATTGGCTGTTAGGACATGGCTTGTATCTTTAGGTATATAGAGCATTATGAGAAGCGAGGAGAGACTTTTTTCTATAGGACTAGGTAATTGCATTCGAATGCTAGTAGCTTTATTGTTAATCTGAGCTATGATTGGTACGGAGGTTAATCATGGGGCTTCCTTTGTGGCGTCTCTAAAAAGCCTCAACAAGCCTCATTGTGTATAAGGTGTGTAGGAGGTAGTACAGGTCAAACGTCGCTTGTGTCATGGAAGTGTATAAACTTTCCAGTAACTAGCATTGGTGACTAAGAATATTAGGCTTAACTAGAGGAAGGTCCGACATGATTTCCGTAATTATTAAGTCCTATCTCAATTTTCTCGGATGTCGGGTGTCGGGTGTCACTTGGGGATTATGGAGTTTTCTTGGTATTTGGGATAACACTTTAATATGACTAACCTTTCTTTCTAGCTTGCGCGTTCTTACGTTCTTACGTGTTCTTTCGCAAAGAGCCTCAACTAGGAAACTAATGCGCGATTGCAATTGTTATTGTCACGAGTTATCGTTTGAACCTAACAACTAAACAAAGACATCTCCGTTATATCCGTCTGGGTATGCGCCAAGCGGCTCTTCACTGGCCTCAGCCTTGCGACTAATTAAATTTCGTCTTATGCCAAGAAGACAGTTGGATAATGTTAGTCTGTTGGACCATGGTGAGAAGGGAAAGGTTCCCGGACACCGTTACTTTGTATCGCCAACAAGATTTAGGCATTCTGTTATGGAAATCTATTTTGAGCTCAGTGAAACAATAACGATTGGGCGGCTCTACGAGATCCGTGCTTAGGGCTGTTTGACGTGTTGCTTGGAAACCCCTTCGAAAATTGGACAAAATGGACAAAATGGACCCTTGTCCAACATTTGATACTGCCAATCGTATCAGGATGCTAATATCTTTTTAGAGCCTTGCTCGTTAGAATCATGCTATGAGGTATGTTAGGTATGTAAATGGATTGCTTATTGCTTACGTCGACAACAAAGAACTAATTAGCTCAATAAGATCACTGGGCAAACTGCCTAGATTTTATTTCTTACGAATGACTATTCACAGCCCCTGATTTCTTTGAAGGGAGGTAGTCAGCGACAAGCCGAGAATTTGGATGGACGCGCGTCAGATGCGCCAAGTCTACACGCTATATGCGGACTCCCCACTACCATCTCTCCCCCTACTCTTCGCCGTAACTTGACTGCCAAGTGAGGATCGACTCCCATTTGACAATCCCGGTTCATATCACAAAGCATACGTGCGCATACCATCCTGAGACCCTCAAGTACCTTGGCTCAGCCGAAGTGGCTCAGCTATCTAACTTGTCGTTCGTTACACTCGACCAACCGAACTCTTGGTCCCCTGGCTTTCTATTCACACCACGCCGAGCAACTGGATTGCTGGATTTCTGGATTTATTCTTTTTTATCTTCTTATTCTTTTCAAATAATAATTATCTTTCCCCGCCGTTTTGAATTTCTTATTTCCGTTTCTTATACTACTATTTTTCCCACGCCTTTAGATCTGTTCTTAGCCCCGGCCGGCCACGCACGACTTACGAATCCGTTCCACTGTACTTGATACATCTTTCGCCTCCTTCGCCTTAGACAGCTGTACATATAACTAAGCAATTCAGGCGCCCATCGGTAGAACTTACCTTCGATGTTCAGGTTATAGCATCTCGTACTGTTATTGTAAGCTTCGGACTGGTGTGATAAAATTATCTCGGCGGTCTTCAAATCCTTCACTATGAAATCGACAATAGTGCTTGCCCTTGTGGCAAGTGTCTCGGCCATTCCGGCAAATGCACGTAATTTACAGAGTAGTAGCAGCCATCCAAAAGTTATAAGCTTGGCCACAGAACGGAAGACCATATCAGACCCAGTAAGGCGAGATCGTTTACGGCGGAGAGATGGTACTTTTAGAGCAGAATTAGACAACGAGGTATGATATGAGAATTTTAGGCTTTCGAGTCTGTATTTCTTACTAAGCCATCAACAGGAGACACTCTACTTCGTAAATGGCACACTAGGAACGCCTGCGCAATCAATACGTATGCACCTGGACACAGGTAGCAGTGATCTTTGGGTGAATACTGATTCTTCAACCCTCTGCTCTCAGAGGTCGAATCCTTGCTCTTTCGCGGGAACCTATAACGCCAACTCTTCTTCCACTTACGAATATGTGGGAAGCTGGTTCAACATTTCTTACGTTGATGGCTCTGGGGCCAGCGGAGACTATGTCACTGACACGATCAGAATCGGTGATTTGTCGCTAGAGGATTTCCAGTTCGGAATTGGGTATCAAAGTACTTCCGAGCAAGGTATCCTCGGTATTGGATACCCGGTCAACGAGGTACAAGTCGGCCGGGCTGGAAAGGATGCGTATGACAATCTCCCGAAGAAGATGGTGTCAGCCGGACAAATCGAAAGAAATGCTTACAGTCTTTGGTTGAACGATTTGGATGCGAATAGAGGTAGCATCCTGTTTGGGGGAGTCGATACGGCGCAATACACAGGAAGTCTCCAGACGCTTCCCATCCAATCCAATGGCGGTGTTTTCTCGGAGTTCATGATTACTTTGACCTCCCTGTCAGTGGGGGATAACACTATCGCCGATAACCAGGCCCTTGCTGTCTTGCTAGACTCGGGCTCCTCGCTTACCTATCTACCTGATAGCATGGTCGTGGGGATCTACGATGCGGTTAATGCACAGTACGACTCGAGCGAAGGCGCGGCGTACGTACCATGCTCCCTAGAGAGCCAAACGGACACGATCGACTTCGTTTTTTCAGGACCGAAGATCTCGGTAGAAATGAACGAACTTGTGCTGGATTTGGTGACAACAACGGGACAACGCCCTACGTTCTCGAACGGCGTGGAAGCATGTTTGTTTGGTATTGCCCCAGCCGGTTCGGGAACGAATGTTTTGGGCGATACCTTCCTTCGATCAGCTTATGTTGTTTACGATCTCGACAACAATGAGATCTCGATCGCACAGACCAATTTCAACACAACAGAGTCGAACGTCCAAGAAATCCCTAGCGGATCTGGCATTCCTGATGCTACCGCAGTTGCTAATGCCGTTCAAGCAACAGAGGGTGTCGTACGAGGTAGTGGCAACGGAGGCGCTGGCTTGGGCGACAGTACGGATGGCGCTGCAATGACGAGTGCCTCTGTTTCAGCGGCGGTGCTATTCCTGTCCTTCGGAGTGGCCACGCTAGCCACGATACTATAAGTGTACGGAAATTATATACCCATATTGTTCTGATCCGGATTATTGGATGGCATAAGCATTGTTGGGCGTTAGGGTGCATATAAGTTGCTTTGAATTCGACATAGCCGTTTTTTTTTTCACGGCATTGAAATTCCGGTATAGATGACCGACAGACATTGAGATTACATAGTTGCGTGGTATCTATAGTAGCGATTGTTCGCTTAGCATGATTATATTGATAACGGATATTTAGCACCGAGTACATACGTACGGGATGTTATATAGATTCATGCTACAATTCAAATTACACGCGTTTATTATGTCAGGATTCGTTGGTGTGAAAACGTAAAGGGTTAAAAATCTGAATGTGACTGATACAGGTATCTACCTATCTACTAAGATACTTTTATTGCCTTATCTAAACTTTACTCCGTAGCGGATTTCATCTGATCATTAATTACTATTGAGTGAGTTAATATTTAAGGAGATTGTTTAAGAGAGCATGTTTAACTAATACTACAAGAGGACTTCATTAGGCGATCTCAACGAAGCGCGATTAATACTCTTAGTGTAGGTTCGATATAACGTGGTCTCTTTACCTTCGCTACTGTCCAAGTACGAAAAGGGACATATCATGAGAAGACGCTGAGCATATAGAATAAATCATATCAGGAAATATAGCTTTAGATTTTAGGTCTTGATCTGAGACCATCAGACGAAGCATGCTATCTCCTAATTTCATACCAACTCTTCAGCTTCCCAACCCCTGAGGCCCTTCTAGCTAAGGAAGGCAACAATGTACATAAGCCTCTCGCACCACTATCATTCTAAATACTCGTCACCGGCGCCTACGCAAGAGGCAAGCGACGAAAGGCGGATTCGGTCCGCTATGAATAGATACAAACACTTCGACTGTATGTATGCATATATGGACATATGCCCACCCGTGTTCTCTACAACGAACGACGTACTTGGTATAGCATATACAACACACACACATACATAATATATATATGCTTTCCAACCCATCATAACCCGGGACCGTCGAAGCAAAGCAAACACTAAGCAAAAAAGCAGAAAACATAATTAACTCCAAAGCAAGGCAGAGAGCAAAAAAAAACAACAACAAAAAAGCACTTCGGTACTCCGCGCACCGAAACTTTTTGACCAGTCCCGCCCCTCCCCTACTTTTCTCTATGCAGGAAAAAAGCGAGAAGGACCAAACAATACAGGGAGTAGTAGTAAAAAAGGAAATTTTCTCAGTTGCCCGTCGCTGGCTCTAGGGTGTGTGTGTGTGCGCGTATGTGTGTGCTCTGTGGTGATGTGTCGATGATAAAAGCAGCAAAAGCAAGAGCAAAAAGGAAAAACCAAGGTATTCGCGGAAACGACAGATGCGAAAGGTATACACATAGGTAGATATGATATGCCTCCTTCCCCGCCCCGTAAGCCGAAAGCCATGGTGTCTATATCAATCAATAGCAAGATATCAAAGCACAATAGTGAACGGGCATGTTATGCATGTCCGTCACGATAACATAGAAAACCGCGGGTCGTTCAGTCCCCGAAAAACTCCTGGCTAGCTCCAAGGCCGCGATGGTGATGATGATGATGATGGTGGTGGTAATAGGGTAGTAGTAGTAGTCTATATCCGAAAACCAATAATCAAAGAAAAGCTTTTGTCCGAGGCGGATGATCCGACGGTGTTGTTGGGTGTACAAGTAAGAAGATAGCGTAAAGAGTGTTGCGTTCAGCGGGTATGTTATGCATAAATAGTTCAAGTACAGTAAATATATAAACAGATAACTGATATGTAGCTAAGTTGGCCTATCAAATACGGCCGCCGGGAAGAGGAGTGACGGTTGGGAACAAGGCGAGCGGAGCGGCATGGCTCCGGCTCGTAGTCCTGGCGCGCCTACGGGTCTTGGGCGGTTCCTTTGCCGCTGGCTTCGGCTCCGCGGCGGGCGGGGCCTCGTAGTTAGTCCTCATGAGTAGCCCGGCGTGTGACTGTGTTCTTCCGTGCTTCTCACGGGTAGGCTCCTGCTTCGGGGAGATTTCCTCGTCGAATTTAAGAGCTGACATGGGTGTCATTGGCATCGTCGCCTGTGTAGGCGAGACGATGACAACGGGTCCGGTTTCGCTGACAGGCTTTGATAGGATATGCTGCGTCGAGTCGCGGCCTTGCCAGCTAGACATGCTGCTACCGGTCCATCGAGTAAAGCCCGTAGAGGTCGATGTCGTCGACTTGTGGCGGCTGGAGGTCATGGAATGTTCCGAAAACCTGGAGTCGGTGGTCGAAGCGCTTGAACGAGCGTTTGATGGCTTAAGGTTCTTGCCGAATTTGATAATAGGCTCATCAAGGGTATTTCCTTGAATGACTAGTTCATCATCATCGCTGTCGTCGTCTAATTCTTCTCTCTCGTATCGAAGCATCTGCTGGTGGTAATCGTCTGGGATAAGAAGCGAAGGTGACAGGCCAAAAGCCTGAGCCTCCTTGAAGTTGCGCTCGGGGGATTGAGCACGCGAGCTATCACGAAGGAGTTGCGCTGAAGCCTTCCGTTGTGGGAGCGAGAAGTTAGAAGTTACTGGAAGGGCTAGATTCGGTGTCAAGGCTTCTTGAGCGGTTATGCTGGATACCTGACTGGCTGGGCTCAAGATGGGGACATCTCCAGGAGATAGGAACCCATCCGAAAGACGATTAAAAGTAATGACAGTTTCGGTCTGGTCTCCTAATAACCGACCTCGTACTTCTTGCGGATATACTATATCACATGATGGTCGTTCCCAGGCGTAGTCACAGTTCGCTTCAGCTTCATGCTCGTAACAATAATCGATGTCATCTTCCCAGCTATCGCCACCAAAACCGACAATTGACTGTTCACGAGTGTTCACGTGTGTTGCACGCTGTGAGCTAAAATCGAATTTGCCCAGAGTATCTGAGGCATTGCTAGTCGTTCGCTTCATGGAGAACTGGCGAAGTAGTGGGACCGATATACTGCCCCTGAGAGAAGAGTGGTTGCTCGCAACGCTCATCCGGGATCGGGATGGTCGAGATGATGCATGATGCTCTTCTTCCTCTGGGACATCGGGTAGGGAACTTATACTATTACTCAAGGGCCACGCCACGTCATCCGATGTGGTGACAGCATGAGGCGCCTTAGACATGGGCGAAGGTTCTTCATATTCTGATTCTAGTACAGGTGAGACGAGTGGCACATGCGGAGTTTGCGCCCTTGATGGCGAGCTGGGAGCAAACGGTTGTGGGTTTCGGAAGTTAACGTTTGTTCCAGGATAGTCTACAGACGGCCCAGAAAATGAATCAAATCTGTCGTGTCGTGCCGATGTTCGGCTAGATGTCCTTGGAGGGGGATGTACCTGTTGTGATAGTTGTACCGGTTGTCTTAGAGGCATCATGCTATTTTCTCCTATTGGAGACCTAGGTGGACGAGGAGGTGGAACACGGATCTTATCCTGCGACTGAGAACGCTTCGTTAATCGTATCGGCGGTAGCGGAGGTGGTTGTGATACTCGTAAGTGTGCTCCATCTGCATTCAACCCTACTGATGGATCTTCCTGATGATAGAAGGTCTCAGAGGAATAGCTTGGGTATCGTGACTCCCCGTTCGGGATTCCCTCTAGAAACGCTTCGGTGTGTCGTCGTCCTTGCATGGCTGAGAATTCCGATACGAGCTCTAGGCGATTCGATTGGTCTAGATCAGGCACGCTATCCTTATGCGTATGTGTGAGATGTTGGAAGTTATAAGGCCCCGAGATCTGTAGCTTCTTCTGGGTCGGCCCACTGGATTCTCCTCTCAGTGCCCTTCGTCGCGTGAACACGGACTGGATAAAGTGCTGCTCCTTAGACTCATTTGATGTCTCGACTACATCCAACGAACTGTTGGAGCTACCTTGATCACTGCTTCCTCTGCGAAGTTTACCTTTACGGAAAATCCCCTTTCCAAAGAATTGTAAGCTATCAGGTCGTTCATGCGATGGTGTACCTGTAGACGAGGATCGTTGAGACGGATTTCTCGACAAGCCAAGACTCTCCCGGCTCTGATTCCACGATTGCCTATCCGATGCTGCTGAAAGACGCGAGGACGACCCCGACGACATCGTTAGTTCACTTCGGTGCTTGTCAGCGTTCGAGTTGCGCTTGATGTGATTGCTGAACACTCGGATGCGTTCAGGCGAGGGTGGTCCGTCCATCGCCGGTTCGAGAAGATCGCCAATGCTGTGAGAGCGTTGGTTATGTGGCATGTTAGGAGCGAGAGCCGTTGAAGAGTAGCCAGTCTCGGGGGTATGAGAACGGGCACCAGTCGTAGCTCTCGAGCGTTGCTCCTTGCCGTATGAGTTAGAGGGCATTGACGAATACATTGTTGTATACGTCTAACGCAAGAGATGCGCCTGCCTATTCTCACGTACCGATAAATCGAACAGCTCGACTCGGGGTTAAAGTTCCCGAGTCGTTGTTGATTCGAATATTTCGAGTATCGTGAGAGGCTCTGCGAAAGCGCAGATAGCCACGAGAGAAACTGTGGGGGCGGTGTGGCAGGCCACCTCTGTTTCCGTTAGGGAGATTGGCTATGGATATAAAGAACTGACGCGATGGAGGTATAGTGGAGGGGGCCTGTCAATATGTACCTCGAATTATCATGCAACTCTGTTTTGGTCGAGGGTAGGATTGGATGTAATGGATGTAACAGGGTATAACAGGGTATAGACAGGGGTAAAGGGTCGTTGGTCGGTAAAAGTGAGAGACGTCCTGTTACGCTTTAGTTGGATCCCTTGGCTGCTTGACTGTGCCCCAGTTGAATTTCCGTATGTCAATAGTGGGTTGCTGTTTCGTTCCCGGCTCAAACGGGTGAATAAGAGGAAAATAGATCGTGAGTGACTGGGGCAGAGAAACATAAGTAATGAAATATTTTAATGATATTGATGCTTCAATATCTTAAAATGTGGCGACTCCTATTCGCAACTCATATTCTTTCAAGCCCCGAATACGACCCAGGCTTGCAGTCAGC